CCTTCTCAGCCTTAGCCTTTAGGGCACTATTTCCAGGCACGTGTGTCAGCATTCTAGAAGCACACTCATCGGCGCTAATGCCGCAGACACGCCGCTGATCGACGTGCACGTGCCAAGCTCATCCGGCGGAGCGGAAGCCCCTGTCGCGGAGCGGAGCGGAACTTGCACGTCCATCGTACCACAGTGCCAGCTTCTAGGGGTGGATTTGCTTACCTGACACGTTTTTGCGTCCATTCCAGGTCGCGCTTTGTCTCTCGTGCGGTTTTTAGGCCTTCGGAGAAATTCGCCCGTGCGCCTTTCAGTCGGCGTTGCGCGAGAGCTTGTAGCTCAAGAAGTTCTTGCTGCTTTGCGTTCAATTGGCCAGATCTGTGGGTTTAGGCGCTGTTAGCTTGGTTTTGGTGAATCCTAAGATTTCTTGCTGGGGCTTGTTTTGCGGATTGCCATCCCCTGGTGGTTGTTGTTGCAGGGGAGGAATTGTGAATGCTGAGAAAGTGTTGCAGGGAAACTCACGTCTGCGCTTGTCGTGCTATACCCTTGTCCAATGGTGTTGGATCAAATGCATCCTGCATGCGGTCGCTTAGGACATCCACGACATCGACGCCGGAGTACGATGCGAAGCTGGAGTCGTACTCGCCGGCAGAGCTGAAGGTGAGCCCGCCAGAGGAACGACTGCCGGCCGTGGTGCTTGCATCAGAGAAGTCTGGTGGTGAGCCAGAGACTCTGGAAATTGGGTAGAGAGATGCTGGTGCCGGCGCCTTGGAGGGTGCATGGTGGTATGGGTAGGCAGCAGGCTGGTAATAGTGACGCTGGGTGGCCATGGCGACGATTGACTGCAACAACAGCAAGTGTTATAGTGAAGTAAGGAGGAGTATGAAGCTCAAGTGGACTTCAATGAGGTAGGATGAAGGGTAAGATGGGAGGGATGTGGAAGGATGTGCAAACGGGCCTAACTGGGAGTGATGGGAAAGGAAGAAGAAAGAGAGACAGTCCCCCCCTGGCCAGACGAGGGATTTTATAACCTTCCACGGGAAGTCTTCTGTCCGGCGGATGCTGCCATTCTGACGGAGGCGAGTGTGATGGCAAGGATTGCGAAAGCCTCGAAGGAACCATTGGACCACTCGCGGCACATTGACTCGCACCCCTCCCTCTGTACCCCCAATCCCCGAGCTCCGTCTGCACGTATGTCTCCGTATCTGCCCGCCGATTTGCCTCTTGGACCGCCTTGACCCCGCTCAGAGTGGAAAAAAGACTCAATGTGTCTGGCTGAGGACGCCAGCCTTCCTCCACTAGGGTTTCCGCCAATCCGTGGCAGCTTGGTGCAAAAATGGTCTTGATCTACGCCCCTCTTCCTGGTCTAACTTTTGGGGCCAAAGCGTGGACTGGAAGTATTCAGGAATTGACTAGAAATGACATGGAGGGTGGGTATGAAGGGGGTCTGATGGGTGGAGTTGGTGGGAAAGTAAGATATAAATATGGCCTTGGCCGTCCTTCCTACTCCCACTTTTTCTTGCCTTTTTTTTCTTCTTTCATTTCTCATAATAACCCTGTTTTCCCCGGCCTCGCTCCTGTTGAATTGATTTTTTCTTCAGTAATTCGGGGGCTGGGAAGAGCATGATCAAGGTTGATTCGTTCAGCAAAAAGCCCCAAAGATAAGACGGACTACACAAGAAGTGGTATGACATATTTCCCCCTCTAACTGTTCAATGCTAAGATGACTGTTAGTTTATCAGTTTCCTATACATATACAAACGTTGTAGTTGTATAGTGGCCAAATACGCCCTTCCGCGAAAACCCAAACAGATCCCCGGGATGTCTCGCGGCCTTACATCATCTTTGGGATCGGAGCCCAAGAGCCCAAAAATGAGGATCTCTGCATTCAATTCAGGTCACACGGAGGTTGTTGGACATCACTGCATAAACAAAAGGACCGTGAGAAAGATTAGCATTCGAAAATGTTCCCAAATCAGTGACCCTATGCTTCCTTTGCAAGGTCCTGACAAGAATCATCCTGGCAATATATGAGCAGAAAAGGTAAATCGTGCGACCAATGCGCAATGAGTCCAGGTGGAACGACAAGAAGAAGAAGAATTAAACAGCACACAAAGTGAACATTGATCCTTGTTCCTTCGTTTATCCTACCTAGATGCGGCTGTTATTGCTGCACACGTCGAGAAAGACCCCCCTCTCGTACCCATCCACCAATAGCCATCAGATCCATTGACAGCAAGACAAAGAGAATTGCTGCATCAACAAGCGCTCTAAACGCCCATCAACGTGGGAAGAGAACACACAGCTGCCCCCCACTCTATGCAGATGGCCGATGACTTGCCTGACGATTGCTATGGGGCATGTATGATAAAGGGAAGCCATCCGACAAGCCCCCTCGGGAATACTATGTTTTGAGAAATACTGTGCCGCCCACGGCCTTTCATCATTGGTCCCAGATACTTGCTGACATGAACACCACGCAGGCCCAACTAGGTAGGAAGGAAAATGGCACTGCAGGGCACATCCTTCGAGGTCCGGGTGTTCTAAACTGGATCTGGATCAGCCTTGCTGACTCCAAGTGTCCCTGTTCTTCTTTTTTTTTTGTCCACCCATTGATGCCTCACTGTGCCTAAAGCCCAGCCTCCATGCCTTACAGCCTGACGACTTACGATATGCCCTGTCAACCCACAATGTTACCGAGGAACCCTGTGACACCACCCTCCTGAAATCCTAATCGGTCGTTGAGAACCCTGGTTTGATGAATATTGCAGGGATGCCATTCGTCTCGCTCTATGCTGAAAATGGCTGAGCCCGGTCTCTTATTCGGCAAGGCTAACATCGGGCAGCACGGCAATTAATGACGCGCAGTGCACACTTCGGCTTGAAATGAGCCATACACCTCTTATTTTTCGATCCTTTCGCTCTTCGTCATAGTCTTTCCTCCAATTTGATCTTGACCCGCCCCTCCTTTAACTCAGACTCCAGACAGAGCGGCATATTGCTTTGATCCTTCCAATGTTAATACCCCGTATAGGTACCATGTCAACAGAGTTACCTTGCATGGGTTACACGAGCCCGCTGTTTTGGTCCGAACATTGCAAAGAATCCGACTTGTGCCTACTTTTATTGATCATGGCGCTCAATTAATATGTCTTTTTGTCTAGGGTTACCTAGGTAAGTGTATGGTGAAGTATATATTTCCCAGTCTGAATCAACCATCTTACATCTTTTGCCTCTTCAAATACCAAATTCCAATCAAATTCCAGTCAAATTCAATCCAACTGCAACACTTTTATTATTTTTCCAGCGCACAAGTGGGGGGTTGCGGGGATTTTCTACTTCCTTCACCGCCACATGCGCCATGGCCAACTCACTCGCTTTCCCTTTTTGGGAATCATCACCCTCTCCTCTACAGTTTAGGTTACGATAGGCTATGGTTCATGGAGTGAACTATTTCTAATTGGTTTAATTATCTACTTTACGATGATTTACAAAGTCTTGTACTCCCGTGGTGTGTGCAATGTACTTCTGGTGCCTAACAGCACCTTATTGGAGTACTTTCCAGCCTCTTTTAGTCATATTTAATGATTCATATTAGTAGTCTGCATTAACATTGACTACCACTATACACGCAGACAAAGAGGGTACTAACAATTGAGATCCTGACTGCTTTAGCTTGTAGCAAGTAATGCAAGGACCTGTGGGATTGACGCCGAAAATGACCGCTTTTGAAGCCAGAAACGGCTGCCTTTCCACCCGTAACTTTGGACGTCTAGCCGCCCCTTGACCTCCCACTGCCCTGTAACGCATCAAGCTGAGGCCTACTCCGTAGTTATACTAGAATTCGTTCTTGACAGCGAACCGATGTGTACGGAGTAAACATTGGATAAATCGGTCAACTGCATGTGTGGTTAGAGCAACGTTTGTTTTTATTTTTAGAAAAATAAATTCTATTTGCGATGATTAATTTCACAATTGACATATCTTAAATTTAGGAGGTAAAGATTTGAATATTCTTCTGTACTCGGATTTCCGAGCCAACTAATTGTTTAATCACCAACCGCAAGTTTACTCTTACCATTTGACCATCATGTTTTCACTAGTATCGGCTAGTCCATGAAACATTGTAGAAGATACAAACTTGGCCAACTCTCACGTTTCATTTTATTGTTTATCAACTTCGTAACTCTATGAGCAGTTCTTTGCTTGATCTGGCAAGAAGGACGTAATGCGTGCGTGAACCCCTGCAGTCTACTCAGACATAGGTACCCGTTTTAAATTGAGGCTGCAGCCTCAGGCTTCATACTAGCCAGAGGCAGTTAGCGTTTCTCTTCACGTTTGCTCAGAGTGATGCTTGGCTCAAGTATTGGTAATCGACTGAGAGCAATCTTGTAAGAGAGGGGTGAAAAATTATCGCTGGTAGACGTAGGGGGAGTGGCAGGGTATTAGATTATACGCGGACATCAAAGTAAGTGGAGAAAAATAAGCTAATAATATCTAATAAACACCAGCCTTCTTTTTCTGCTAAGGTGGTGATCAATTTGAATACTTAAAACAATATGATTTCCTTGAACAAGTAAAACACTTACCTAGTAACTTCCTTCATGTTTGACATGCGCATAAAGGGCAAGGATCCTGAGAACTAACACTGCCGTCAAGAACTGTTGACTTCCTATTTACTCTACGTTAGTCTTGCCGTTTCCGGATTAGCGCCCTGGTACGCCGTCCCGTAACCTTTCCCTTAAATCGCCCCGACATAAAAGGCACGACTTCGCCCTTTCGACCTGTTTCTCTCCCTCTCCCCCTCCCTTCAACTACTTTATCTTGCACTCATTGCCGCCCTCCTTTCTTTTACTCTGGGCCCCACCGAACACTACGCCTTGGATGTCAGCCAAACACACTAGCCCTTTCATTTCACCGGAGATACTGCTCGTTAGCTTGATTAGATCATAGCTTCATTCTTGCTAACTAGTAGTATTTATAGTAGTGTTAATACTGTGGAGTTTGATCGGTCAATCATCCTTTTCCTCCCTATCCCATTCAGGCCCACCACCAATCTCCCCTGGTAGAGGATCGTTTGTCTCCAAGTCAAACTCAACCTTATCAAGCAATTGTCGCTCTGAAGCCTGTGCCAGGCCATCCACATACCCATCCGTAGTGAAACACATTCTCGTTCCCAGAGTCACTCCTTCATCCTCCCGCACAATCGCGCAATCTGGGCGGGGAGCCCCGCGACCAAGTCTACAAAGAGTAGCGATAGTTCTCAGAAAGTCCTGGGTATAGTCCTGGTCAGACTGATCCTCCAGTACTTGAATATTATCTATGAACCCATACACCACCCTCGGACCAAGAACCCGAATATCAAGTATTAGCTGGAGCACCTCGGGAACACTCAACATTCCCCGTGCAAGGGCCGCAAAACGCGCAATTGATAGATCGGCTTCAGTATAGCCATAATCTGGGATTAATTGGACAAGTTGTGTGATGATGGATGCAAGGAAAGAGCCTAGATCCAATGCCTTGGAATCTCCTGGTTCGTGGCATTCTGTGAAGCTGCAGAAATAGATGATACACGGGATGTTATTGTTGCGTGCCAGCGCGGCCAAAGAGACCGCGGTCATCGAATTCTGGCTTGGCTGCGGTACGTCATGCGGACCTTGGATCCAGAAATTAGTGGAGCTAGAAGCTCGTAGCCATGTGACCAAGCGATTGTGTACCTCTCTATTGACCTGCAAAAGGGGTGCCTGCTTTGTGACTTGGATCAAGTGGTCGACTTGACTCTTCCACTGATCTGTGAAGCGCTTGATCTCTGCCTGGATCTCTTTGCGGGTGAATTGATAATGTGTCTGTGAGACTGGGGATACCTCGGACTTTGGAGCTTCCAATTCGAGATCATTATTGGTAGAAGCGGATGGTAATATTTCCCCTGCTGTATCTTCTTGTACGCTTGTGATCGAAGACGGTCGAGGTTGTTCTAGACGGAAGTATTGTTGTTGGTCCAAAAGCCTTTCAAGCGATTCACCGACCAACAATCTTTGTTTACAGAGCTGGTTGAGTTGGTCTGGTAGGATCTGGCTGAGCCTTTCCTGATTTTGGTATAACATATTTTGTTGTTGGATCATCATCTCCAGACTTCGGGTGGTGCGGTGGTGGAAGTCAAGGCTGATATGACTGTTCATACGAGATTGGATGGCCAAAATTCGGTTTTTCTTGGACGTAAACAACTCGTTGAAGGCGCTCTCATCAAAGCTGGTGAGGAAGCGTTTCCAGCTTGACTTGGACCATTTGGTAAAGATCTCGGTGAAGAATTCGAAGATGACAACATATAGTTCTTGGATATATCGACGAAGAGACGGGATGTCAACATGCTCAATCATCTGCCGGTTCCAGATATCAATATCATGACTGAGATCTTCGAGGGTATCAGCCACCCCTTCGGCGATCTTTTGGTGGTTGATTGTCGCCTGGGCGATGGCTGACAGGGAGCCTGTTAACAAGGTGACATACTTGTCATCTTTGGGAATGACGGAGAGCAAGGTACTGTGCGACAAGCAGGTGTTGCAGAGACCTTGGAATTTGGATTTCAGCCTGCCCAGCTTGCTTTCATCACGTCCCGACTGCCACGTTGCTGATGCCTTGCTGACTGTGGCCACCAGGAAATTGATATCGGGTCTATCCCAGTCTCCAAGCTCTAAATGCTGGTCCCTAGGCAGATCGCTCCGAAATTTGTTCCACGCGGCATAGAGTCGCTGGCTCTGTTGGAGGAGAACGGCCTCTTCATCTGGGACAGACTCCTCGGCCAGTTCCCGACCTTCCAACAGGAGTTGATCCCATTCAACCCTTAGTGAAAATGATCGTTCTTGATTGCGGTTGACTGCGACCTTGGCTGCCAGGGCCCGACCGAGGGGTTCTCCTGGAGATGAATCCGATATGTCATCGCTGAAGCGGCGGATGAGCCCACCGCTGGGCTCCACCGGTCGACTAAAGTTCATATGCTGGATGAGGCGCAGGGACGGTTGAAAAGGGTCTAATTCTCTTCATAGGAGGAAAAGTTCAGATGGTTTATCTGTCAGTTTGGCTTGAATATCACGCTGGACCGCATTCATAAGCAGAGGGGTCGCGGTAGATTTGCGGTTCCTTCGCTGGTTGGGCCTTTTCTTTTGAGTGGAGAGCAGTACGTCTTGTGACACATGTCTTCGAGGATTCGCAGTCACCAACTGCGGCTGACGTGGTCCCAATGAGAACCCTGCCTGGTGTGCGGAAACATGCACAAGGTGTAGCTGAGAGCAGCGGGGGAGGGGAAACGCGGGCTCAGGGCATCAGCGGACTCTAAGGACCCTAAGGACCAAATGATCCCAACTCTCCTAACACGAACACCATCCTCTTTCCATCCATATGTCTGGCATCTAAGATCCCACTGCTCTCCATAACCCTTTTAGTTGGCCATGGATATTGAAGAGCACATTAAAGAGCTTGAACGCTCAAACTATGAGGAAGAGCCTGGCACTTCGTCAGCCTCGGACTCCGGATTGTCAATCAGAATTCAATCACAACGAGACTTCAAACCAACCAAATCACGGGTTTTTAGAGCGTATCATCCATCTGCAAAAGAAATTGATCTTGCAGAGCTCCGAAGACGCCGGAATGAAGAATCGGAGTGCCCCTCCAGCGAGTCAGGCATTGTTTGGCACGCTAAAATCTTTCCCCGACAGACAAGACGCCTAGGGCCTGACCAAAATCTGGAGAATCCGAGTTTCATATTCGTTGATGATCGACCGATTGAGCTGTCTGTTGACGCAACTCCAAGACAGCCGCAGCCGGACGCGAAGGAGCGCATCCAGCAAGCGGCGACGTGGTGGGCCGGGCCTGTCATAACGATTGAGGTCTTCGTGGAGACTGATCTCACGTCACACAGAGTATCGGAAATCATGAAGGATCCTCGGACTGATCAGTTGCCCCTGAAACATGTGTCCAGGAGACATCTGGTGGTCAACTCATCGTATCTGGCCATTGGCCTTCGTGAAGTTGTTCAATATTACCCATCATTCCACTCCATGATGAGAAAACTGAATATTCCAGAGCCTTATGCCGTTCTAATCCATCACTTTGACTCTATTGAAGCCATGGCGGGCTCTCCCGTCTCGGCTACAATGTGCATGAGCACACACGACAAGAGCCAGGAAGAGATTGACCTGACCAAGAAACATATGCAAATTTTGCTAGAATTCCTGAGACCCATCCGCGAAGAGCGCATAGTGAGATGCGAAGAGTATTTGTCCGAATCTACTGCCCGGGTGGCTTTTGACATGATTTGGTATCTTCTGAAACCCGGAATGGATGTCTATATTCATATCGACGGATCGCCACAAGCCGCGGTGGTCATAGATGTGAAGCACGGTAGTAGTGATGTGTCCAGTGCCTGGGGGCCTGGGAATTCAGATTGGTGGCTTATCGACCTGTGGCGACTGCAGACGGATGGCTCGAGAGTCCGGCGAAGCGCGACCACGGCAATTATTACCTTCTATTCTGGTCTACAAGAGGTAAAAAATCTTGCAGTCTGTCCATGCGCTATCTGGGACGCCCATGACAGTGGTGAACGACGCAAGAATATCTTACGCCGCAGTATAACCTTCTTCAAGGCGCTGCATGAGGGCAATCTCCTTGTGGACTATAATGGGCCCATTATAGGAAGCAACCAATATGTAAGTCCCCGGCTTGCTAGAGATGGATATCTATTATATCGCTCACGTTTGTATAGTATACTGGAAAACTAGTGATCGACCACCGGAGAGGGCAGGAGGAAGCTGGCTACGCCGAGCTTGCTTTCTCACGGATTCGTGATTATTCCAATCGTTTCAGGGACTATGATAATATTATAGTCAACGATGATGGATCTTTTAACACTGGGCAAGAGTCTCAACGACGATTTTTCAGCAATCTTGAGAAATCTAGACATCCTTCTCCTAGGCGTCTCAGCGTTAAGGCCGTCACAGGTTGGGATGACGATCAGAAAGGATGGCCCGGTGTGGTTCCTGTACTTGAGTATAATGACACGGATAGAGTTGAATTCAATGGTCCTGTTGTTGATGAACTCACGGAACATCAACTTCTATTGCTATGCCCACAAGCTCTGGCATATGCACTGAAACACAAGAAATGGAGTGAGCGTTGTCTGTATCCGATAGCAAGTTCCCTCTAACTCCTTCCTACAGTTCTGATCTCATTGGATCACGTTCAAGAATCTGTGCCATCATATGAGAGTATTTCCAACCTGGTCATCGGAGAGGCCGAGTTGAAAACTATCCAGGCTCTCTCAAACCGTCAAAATAGCAAGACCAAACACTGGTCAGCAGACTTTATCGAGGGAAAGGGATCGGGGCAAATTATATTACTGCACGGTATGTAGGCCATTGATCGGTTTTTCACTGTTGACACTCACCGATCATGCCCTCATAGGACCTCCCGGAGTTGGCAAAACCTACACAGTCGGTACGTTAACCCCACCCCTACAGATTGTAGACAAACTCAGCTAAAGAAGGACAGAGGCTATTTCTGAGTGGCTACACCGGCCACTCCTTGCACTGACAGTCGCTGATATCGGCACGATCGAAACTCTAGTCGAAGGTGAACTCTTGAAGTGGTTTAACCTCGCAGAAGCCTGGAATGCCGTACTCCTCGTCGATGAAGCCGATATCTTCCTCGAACGACGACAAAATCGAGATCTCGCTCGGAATGGATTGGTATCAGGTAAGATGCTAAATCACATCATTATCTCGTCCACAGATACTTACGATTGCTACGCAGCCTTCCTCCGACGAATGGAGTACTTCAAAGGCCTCCTCTTCCTGACCACCAATCGCGTCGGCCAAATAGACGACGCTTTCATATCCCGTGTCCACATCGCAATTGGATACTCATCTCTTAACGAAGAAGCACGTCGCAAGGTCTGGAATGGCTTTTTCCGGAAACTAGTTCGTGATCGAGCGGGCAAGATCCAGATCGCCCCAGACGCGAAGTCATGGGTTCTGGAGACCGCAGGCGAGACGCAGCTCAACGGGCGGGATATACGCAATGCATTACAAACGGCGATCACACTGGCAGAGTTTGAGAGTGAAGAGGATCCTGACTATGATGAAACCTTGGTGACGATTGTCACTAAAACGCATTTCCAGAAGGTACTGGACATGTGTAATCGGTTCCGTGGCTACGTGACGAGTATTCGGCGAGAAGATGAGAGGAAGAGGGCCCAGGGACGCGGTGATCGAAATGACTATGGGCGTGGAACTGCTAATGAGATGGAAGGGCCCGTAGACCTTTCCAACTCGATGGGTAGGTAGAACTCGGGGCTACATGATAAGGTTAACTTCAAGGCTGAATATTTGTTGCGTTATATATTTTCGGTATGCGTAAAGCACTTGGCGAGCAGCAAATGGATTCAGTTACTTGGCTGAGCCCCGAAAATTGGCCTGTAGAATCCAGGCGAGGCCAGGTTTCAGGTAGTTTTAGAAGGACACTAACACACCCCCTCCCCCTTTCTCTGACCCTCGTTGTATTACGTCTATTTTTATATAGAATAGTCGAAGACCCTGGAAGAGAGGGCGAACGGAGCATCTTATAGGCGCTTAACTAGGAGAAGTGAAAAGGACGGGGGCCTGAGTTTGGATGCAAAGGAGAGCCACTTTTGGCGTCGATTAAGTGGCTGGTGAAAACGGGGCGAACAATCGTCGGAGTTGAGCGTCAACAATAGGACGAGAGGACAATGGCTAACAGTGCTGGTTGGGCGCAGAATAGTTGACTAGGGGGCGGTACGGCAGGGCGACTCGCAGTGTTAATTTATGGATGGAAAGGATGCCGTCCCTGCCGCCAGAGGCTGTCATTTTCGGCGTCGATTTCACAGGTCCCTATGTTCTAGTTGAATCGACCCCTAACGCGATCGAAAATGAGCAGCTTCTCAATTCTTCAACACCGCCGCACTTAAATGCGTTTGCCTGTCTTGTTCTGATCTAAACCCAGCTAGCTGTTTTTTTTTATTAACCTACGATATACCATCGTTCCTAGGATCTCTCTCACGGTCTCTGAGGGCTAAACGTCCTCTAGGAGCTGCATCTGTCACTCCTGGGGACGAGACGGATCCTTCCTAGGGTAATTAGTCTTCCGCAAACCCCATTTTAGGTCGAAATCTTATAACCTAGACTTAGTAACTAGGGCCCTCGAAAACCTAGTTAGTTAGTAGGTTATAGGCCTAGTTAGTTTATCCTAGTTTCTAACTATATATAGTATAAATATTTAAATAATATACCATTATTTTTCTCTATTTTAGTGCCTATATTGAGAAATTATACTCTCTACGAATAAGATAAAGGAAATTTAAGAAATATCCTTATTATTAGAAGAAGTATATCTAATTTAGTATTAATTACCTCTTAAAATACTTTATTCCATTTGAATTACAATATATACTAATAAACCATAAGTATTAGAAGGGCTTTTTTATCTTATTCGTATATTTAGTATAGCTATTTATTAAATATTAAAATATGTTATATACTAATAATGATGTTTTCTATAGAGTTGGTAAAACGCATGTAAATAACAGTAATTTATGCTGCTATGTCAGTAGGTTATTCGTCCATTTTAGGTGACTTTATGTATGTGTGGGCACTTAGGCAATGCCTAACATGGGTGTGCCCATGGACGGGCGATCTGTACCTGCTAGGTACCTATGGACAGGCGATGTCGTAGTCTAGGTATACTGGCACTTTACAGATTTGGAGGCCCGCGGAATCAGAGACCAAAAGGCATACTAGTAGAGGGAGAGATAGATATATTTGTAGCACGGTGCTTAGTCACTACCCAGGGAAGGAGTAGGATTATCGACACGAAAGAATAGGATACTATATCATCCTCGTGGTTACGCTTCTGGGTTATGGGCATTGTAAGCTGGATGTCGGATCGAGCGGCATCTCCGGTACAAATGAAAGGGGTATTGCGTCGGGCTGAAAGCAGAAAGGATATCGAAACCAAAGAGAAGACAGACAAGTAAATAAAAAAGAGTTGATTATTAACAAATACAGGTCCAGAAAATAGATAGGTGCCATGCGCTCATAATCTGGTATCACAAGAATGTAAAGAAAGGCCAATAAAAAAAAAAAAAAAAAAAAGGGATTCTGCTTGCTTGGTAAACCCAAAATCAAGCAAGGACTAGAGCGCTGGCGCCATGATGCACAGGCTCGGAGGGCGGAGAGAATCTATGCTCGTTAATGAGAAACCAGGGAAGAATAGATGCCCTCCTGACCCTGTGCAAATGCAAATATCACAATAGGACTTCCAAAATGGTGAGATCAGCCCAAAAATTTAAACGAGCACGCTCCATGCCTGTCTAGCGAACTTCCAATGGCTCCCCGGCACAATCCGCCAAATCCAAAAAGACATTGTCCAAAATGAATAACCAAAAGCTCACTCCGTGTTCCATCAAAATAATGTCAAATGCAAGAACCGGAGAGGTGGGATGTGGCCGGCTATATACGTAAAAGGAAATACTAAAACAAAGACATGCTATTGGAGTAGCAAAAATGTCAGGTGTGAAGGTGGCCAGGGCAGGTAAAGACCTGGGGAAAGTCCCTAGCGGCGAGTAGCGATGGCCTGCTGTTGTTCTGGGCTAAGGCGGTCTCGCAGAAGCATGAGTGGGCGACCGGGCTCGAGAAGTCCCATCATCATCTTCCCCAATTCGTTGTGTTTGATCGGTTTGGTAACGTAGTCATTGAACCCTGCGCGGGCAGCGTTTTCGATTTGATCTGTCATTGCGTTTGCTGAAAGAGCCATGATTGGAATCTGTGGGTAATGGTTCTTTTGCTCCCATTCGCGGATATCTCTACAGGTATCGTAACCGTTCTTGATAGGCATCTGAATATCGCACTACAAATCAACGCAGTTAGTTTTGCGGGGCAGAAATGGTATGAAGTAATACTCACGATGATGAGAGAATAGTATCCTGGCTCTTTAGAGAGCACCATGTTAGTGCACTCTAGTCCATTGGATGCGGTTTCCGACATCAGCTTGATCTTGTCCAAATATTTTAGCATGACCTATGTATGAATTAGCAATCAATCCAGCGAGCTCCTCATAGATCAACTTACATCTCGATTGGTTTCGTCATCCTCGACAAGCAGGATTCGATAACCCTTATTGCCCAAAACTTCTTTGACCATCTTGGACACGGTCTTGAAGTTGTTATTGATCTCGCGCGCCATATCCTGGTTGCGATCCTTGCTCAGCTCACGCTTGCTCTTGGGATCGAAGATACTCGAGAAAGCAGAAGGTTTGACAGGCTTTGGCACTATGAAAACCTGCTTTCCTGACGCCGCCAGCTCTTTGACCCGTGAACTAATTTGACGCTTTTGGTAAAGGTCTGCAATGATAACGACGACGGGCGCGGGATCCAAGCTTGAGTCGGAAATGTTTTGAATGACCTCCAGGATATCATCAGTTGGAAGGTTCAAGACAAGATGGGTGCAAGGATTAGGATCGGAAGCAGAGTGCATCACATCTTTCCATTCATCAACATCAACTAACGTTGTGACGTTGAACGAAATTTCATGAGGGACGACCTGCTCAATGTGCTGTTTTATGGCTTGTCGGGAGTTTGTGAGCGGACATAGAATCACAATGGAGAAAGGACCATGGGCAGGCACAGGTACTGGACCTATTGGTGTATTTGGAGAGGCAGATGCTTGAGACATAGGCGACGCCACGCCGGCCGGTGTGTCGGGCTTTGTAACGGCAGGTTGGATTCTTGTATTCGAGACTGCATCTGGCAGATTCACCAAAGCTTTTGTCTGCTCCAACGGAGGCGGCAGGGGTGTGGGGCCAATATCTGGGGTTGGGAGAGCAGAGGATGTAATTGATAACGAGGCGGAAAGGGTGGTATCAGAGCTTTTGCCGGATGAGTCGGAATTTCTGGGAGCTAGAGGAGGTGCTTGTTGATAAGACGTGGTTCTGGACGTTGCCGGTCTTCTTGAGGCAGTTGAATTCTGGCGCATCAATTTGGGCTGCTCAGAAGGAGAAGGTGGCGGAGGAGCATCGACCTTGACGTTAAAAGAGAACTTTGCACCCTGGCCTTCTTTGCTGCTAGGAGTGAGCTTGCCGCCATGCATTTCGACGAGTTGCTTCGACAGGAAAAGTCCTAGACCGCTACCTGCATGTTGCTGTGTCACATTTTCTCCGAGCTGACTGAATCGTTGCATCAGGCGTTCCGCATCCTGAGAGCTGAATCCCTTGCCGGTGTCCACGACCTCAAAGTTCATAAATGCCTGAGTATCACTGGGATTTGCAGATGGATCCCGATACATGTCACAGCAGATGTGGATTTCACCCTGCGCAGTAAACTTGACTGCATTTCCGAGAAGGTTGATCAGGACTTGACGAATTCGGAACCGATCACCAATCACCATCGACGGCAAGTCCTCCCCAATGAGATAGTTGATCTCAAGACCCTTATCAATCGCTCGTGAGGCGATGGTGTCAATTACATCCTCAATCATTGATCGGATATGGAACCAGGATTTGACCATTGACATCTTGCCAGCTTCGACGCGGGAAACATCAAGGATATTGTCCACCAACTCGCGAAGATTGGTGGAGCTATTTTGGATGGTGTCAAGCATTCGCCTCTGGTCACTATCAAGCTGCGTATCCAGGATGAACGGAAGGGTACCGAGAATGCCATTAAGCGGGGTTCGGATCTCGTGTGACATGTTGCTGAAGAACTTCGTCTTGGACTCCATTTGGTGATTCAACTGCTGCATGGCCTTGTTGAGTTCTCTTTCGAGGTTTTTGCGGTCGTTGATGTCGGTACATGTTCCGTACCAGGACGCTTCCTCACTCCCGAAGCTGCTGGTCTTGACGCGAACTACGCGAACCAAATGCCACCGGTAATCACCGCCTCGAGAACGAAGGCGGATCTCGGTGGAATAGAAGACTCGGCCATTTTCGTCTTGCTGCAAAGAAGCAATGCCGCGCTTCACAAGTTCATCGAGGGCCGATCCCACCATGAACTCATAAGGTCCGCTATCATTTTGGTCCGCGTTCTGAGATGTGCTGCGGAGAGACAGCTCGCCGCACTTTTCGAGATCATCAGGATGAACATGTTTAGCGAAGCCGAGGTCATGTGCCTCCTCGAGCGGTTGGCCGGTGTACAGATTCCATTGCTCATTGACGAATATCAATCCGCGGTTCTCCGTTGCCTCAAACACAACCTGTGGGATTGAGTTGGAAAATGCACGATACTTTGCATCAATAGCAAACTTCTCCCTCTCTTGAATTGCCTCAAGCTCAGCAATATGCTGCTCATGAATGTCAAGGAAAGACCCAATCCAGTACAGTACCTCTCCTGTTGTCGATAACAACGGATTGGCCCGGAAGATGAACCAGCGATATGCCGATTCGTCGTTGAATCTTCGGACCCGCACTCTTTCCGTGAACTGTGCACCCGTGCGCAAAGCATTGGCCCATTTGACATGAACATGCTCACTCTCACTGCTATGAATATTCTGCCAAGGATCTCGAAATCTTTGCTCTTGGTGCTGACTTCTTCTGTAAGCATCGAACTTGGAATTGGTCCAGATCACTTCGCCACTCTGGGGTTTTGCCAGGAAGAGATGCAATGGGATCGAATTAAGCATCAGCTGGGCTATTGTGTCAGAGAACGGGCGCGGGAGCTCCCGTTGCAGTTGGGCATACAACGAGTTTGTAGAGGCTTGACGTGATGATTGCTGAGTTGGAGAAAAAGCATTGGGCGGTCTGGTTTCTTGCAGTGGCGATGCGACGTAGAAAGATTGATCTTGTAGGTTGTGCTCATCGCTCGTGGTTGGTTTCCAAGCCACTTTGTCGGGAGAAAGTGGTGTCGATGAGTCAATAGTGGTGGTCTTTGACTTGAGGAGCCGTGGTCTGTTCTGGGATGCATTGTCTCGGGAGCTTTTATTTTGCGGGACATTGAAGTAGCTGTCAGCACCTTCTCCGCCAGGTCGTGAGGCCACTCCTGGAGATTGATTTGCGGACCCGAACCCAATATGACTAAGATCAAATCCAGGGGTCCCCATAGCAGAAACTGCAGGACTGAACTTTATAGACGAACGATCACTAGGGCTAGTGATGCTCGTGCGTGCGGACATTGAGTTGTTGTTGTCGCCAACAGAGTAGTTGACGTGACCGCTTAGTCCTGCAACAAGCTCTAATTCACTGCTTGCATCTGAGAAAGTGCCCCCGAGACCTAAAAGATGACCATAGCGGGGAGTTTCTATCTTGGATGAGAGTTGTCTTTCAAGTTGGCTATATCGCTGAGCCAAGCAGAAAGAAGTCGTTAAATGCGGCATCAGAAGTGAGAGTGATTGCCTGAGGTTAGGAGGATATGGAACGATTGTGCACAACATCGACACAACGGCAACAGGAAATCTCAATGTCGATGGGGAATCCTGGTTAGAGTGACCACCATGTAAAAGAGGAATATGGATAACGGTCTTTGATTGATCGATCCCAATGGCCTCTAGTGGTAGATGATTAGAGTAGTCGTGTGAAGGCGGATGCTTGGAGAAGGCCCCTTCATCGACCGAATGGTTTGAGAAGAACGGATTCTGGTCTGCATGTGTGCGGGGAGCGGGCGAAGGAGCAGGGGACTGAGACCACGGAGACTGCGGAACCTGCTCATATTCATCATACTGTTTCCATCCACTGACACCGAGGCCTTGCTGCATCGGTATACTCCCAATACCCCTGTCACCGGGACCATCGACATCAGGAGTGACTTGAACCATCTCATTCGGACTGTCGGCAGACTCGGCCCAACGCCGTGGATGTTGCGCGCTCTCTGCATATTCACGTGTTAAGATGGTGGGACGGGTACGCCCAAATAACCTGACCACGCCTGTACGCTTTATGAGGGGGTCTAGCTCTACCTCCAGTGGTCTAGCTGTGGGGAACACAGCCTGCCGCATACTGCCGAGGAGACTGTTGATTGTATCGTCTTTGGGTTCGGAGTGCTCTCCCATCAAATGATCCGTGCATGGCGGGTTTTGGGAAGCGATATGCACGTGCTTTTTCTCGGATTTGACGTTTATCTTCGAAACTTGTGGTTGGTTGAGATCGTGGGGGCTGTGGCCTTTGTTTTTATCAAACCCAGCGAATGAGTGCCGAGATAATAAAGATGGCCTGGAAGGTCCAGGCATTTTAGCTTGGTGGAATACTGTCTCGGTTTTCTGTTGCGTGACGCTTTTCCGTGACTGAGGTACCTCTGTTGATGGACCCTTCTCTATATGACGCTCTTGAAGTTCATCCAAAGATGTATCCACGTTCTGGTTAAAAATTGCTTTTTGTCCCCAAGGTACGTTCTCCAAATCGGTCACATCTCCAGGGACAGCGAGTGACACGCGTTCAGCCCCGTAATGTATTTGCAATATATCAATGAGGTTGGACCACCACGCTTCGAGTCCCGAATCCGCATTCAGCTGAAGTGTCAGATCATATAGATTGGGACTGATAAAATTTGGATCTTCTTGGACCTGGCTATGATGAGCGGGCAGAAAAGTCGGATGCGGATCCGACGCTTTTGATTCTGGAGGTAGAGTTTGGGATCCTGGTGTCGAAGATTGAGATTTCTCAGATGGAAGCTTCAGTCTAAATGGCCCCCCACGAGGCGTTGGTTCAACCCCCATTTTGGCTGGTTTGTTTTGGATGTGCGGAATATGTGGAAAGGGATACGACGGCGTATGTGCTGGTTTGCGATCGGAAGATGTCTCTGTCTGCACACCTTTGATTGTCCCCGCGGAACCTACCGAGCCTGCGGAGGTATGCACGATGGAAGCTGGAGCCTCCGTTGAGGTATTGGACAAGGTCTTGGACAAACGTCTCTTTCTTGGGGTATCATTCGAAATGGCGGAGACGGGGTGAGTCTGGGAGGAGACTGGTTGAGTTTGCTGCATCTGTTGGTATACAAGGAGATCTTCCATCTGCTTTCGAAGTTCCTTGAGGGTATGTGAACTGCGTCCTTGATCCTCCTGTCGCTCGGTTTCTGATCGTGCGTCCTCGGTGATGGGTGTTAGACCAACAACCTGCTCTGTGGAGTCACCGCGCGATAAACGAGATGGGTTGAGAGATGACTTTTCGAGAGCATCTACCCTACCCGCCAGTTCATCCACCAGTTTTTGGGATTGGTGACCATGTGGGGGCCGATGACTAGGCGATCTTGGAGGCTGCATTTGGTGAGATTGAGGCACAGGTGGAAGTGTTTCTGTTGGCGAAGGGAATGGAGGACTCCTCCTACTATGGACATCCCCCATTCTCGCACCTCCGTGGAGGTCAAGGGTATTAAAAGGATATCAATAGTCGTGGGGGGGGGAAGTGTTGGATGGAACGATGTGAGGCGTTTTATGGCTTGACCTAGGTCGCAAATGGGGAGGTCAGGTGTTTGGCGGGTGGGGTGGTTTAAGGAAGCCAAAGGAAAGAAAAACAGATGCCAAGGTTAGAATATGAGGTGAGAGTATCGGATTTAGAACCATGTGAAGATGAAGACGAGAACGAATAAGGTTGAGGCGGTGTATCAAAGGGGGGGGAATTGATATATTGAGGTGTTCGAGAGTGAGAGAACTTAGGAAACAGACTGTACCCGCCTGGACCATTGCTTGGATCGATGTGGGAGTGGATGGGAGTGGATGAAGGAAGGAAAAAAGTGGACTGGGGGCGTGATGCACCGGGGGGGTTATGACGTAGGAAAAATCAAAACTTGGCTTTTCTTCTTATATACGGTTATTACTCTTATATTATACTGTAGATCTATTATATTGAGTATATAGCAGACCTCTAAATCACTTTTATCTAGTTTATGATATATCTGAAGTCCACCCTCTTCCCCTTTAAATCTTCAAAAAAAAAAAAGGAAAAGAAATATGTGACGTAGCTCTATATTTTGCCCAGCCCTGGAGGTGTACCTGGATTACCTGTACTCGGGACTGCGGTGAACACCAATGACGATGTTCGTCACAATCCAAATCTCTCCCTTTATACCGGGGAAAGCTGGGCACTGGCAAAATTTATGAAAAATTTTTGAGATATTCACAGTTCACAGCCTATGGATCCACAGGGCATATGACCATATATCTTTTGGTATCTGCCATATACACTTACATGCCAGACAAGCGACTCGTGGCATGTCCAGATTGAAGGAGAAGCTCTCGTGCGGTCTAGACCAGAGGATTCAACCCCCCTATGCCCCTTGTTTAGCCTCGGATTTACGGGGAATGAGGTTCTGTAGAGGGCTAAATGAATTGTCACTCCTGTTGCAGATGCCTAACCCCCCTGGGAACGAGGGGATCGACCCGCCGACGTCAACGGGGCTCCTGTGGCGCCGAAATGGCTTAATGTGGGAATGATTTGTGCGTTGACGGTCAAAGCCCCCCTTTTCCGCAGGAAATCTTAAACACTACGAAATGGATAATCTGGGGTATTTTATGCAATTTGACAATCTATACTCCGTATTTTTTTTAGGACGAACATTGAAACCTTTTGATATCTCAGAGCATCAACTGAAATTCTCCCGTGGAGATTTAGAGTAATACACACATTCCATTCTCACTTGGCCGACTCCCTTATAGTTATGCAGTCTAGGCTCTCTAGCTACATATGCGGTTATCCCTTAGTCTTCTTCGAGCTTTCTGTGGCGCTCGCTACACCTAGTTTTGCATAGTTAACTATAGATCCCCATTGAATGAGAACTGTGATCAACATCATGTTATATGTTGCTTTAGTAAAAACAAGCAGCTACCAGTTATAGTTGAGATTCATTGAAACTTACTTTACTTAGCAGTCTACATATGTTGTAGGGATATGTCCAATATTACATACGTACAACCCCCAAAACAATTGCATGCGAGTCTCCAGGACTACAGCCAAGTGCTTATGAGAATATATGAGAATACACCAACCCCGCATAAAAAGTCAAAACGCCATGCAATCATATCCTCATCTAACAGAACTAGGGGAATTCTGAAGATTCCGACTTGATACCCACTGACTGTGCAGGCTCTTGGCTATCTTTGCCAACCTGGGAGGACTCATCCAAACTGCGCCGAGGATTCAACTCCTTTTGATAAACCGGCTGCTCGTTATCCTTCAAACCCGACCCTGTAGGATCTCTCCGAATGAGAAAACCCTGCACGCGCGCATCATTTGAATCCATCTGTTTGATGGTGCTGTCTTTGCGATCCTGTAAGACGCGCGCCGACTTTGCGTTGACCTCACGTAGTCGATCAGTGACGCCATTATTCACTTGGCCGATCCAAGATGCTTGAAGGGCGCCCGCAAATAGCACCAAGAGGATTACAAGCCGAAAGAAGGTGCGTTGTTCGACAATATGCTGCTGCGGCCCTTGGTGGCGGTTATGCCAATCCTCCCAGTCTTCCCATGTGGCATTCGAGTATATATTCGGTCCATGAGTGTCGCGTGCCATTGTTGTATCCAGTACCGTGTGGGCCCACCCAGTGCCGTTTCGATCATAGGCCGCTCGTTTAATCGGATCGGAAAGGAGTTCATGGGCGTCAACCACAATCCGGTAGCGCTGCAATCGGGTTTCAGCAGTTAATTGATGGAAAAGAGGATGGTCTTTGAGAGCTCGGTCCGGGTGGTAGATCTTAACGAGGTCATAGTAATTTCGTTTCGAGTACGTCGCGCTGCGGGGTAGATTTAAGACATCATAAGGGGTGAAAGATGCATTGCTGGGCCATGAGTAGTTCTGATGTGGGAATTGTGCTGCGGTGGCATAACTCCTGCTTTTGTATGCCTGCAAGCCACATCTTGGAGAGGTGTTTGTGTTGAAACGAGCAAGTGGCAAGACCGTGGTTGAATTCAAAAGTCGCAGGCTGTTGCCATAAAATATATTGATTTTCTTGAACATTGTCACATGGTTTCTCTTCAGACAGCGTGGTCAAAGTATATGTTGCGCTGTTGTCTTAATGTTATCATGAAGGTTGGAATCGAAAGATGCTCTTGTTCTTCGGGACTGCGGGCTGGTCACGTGTATGCAAGCGTTGGAGCTTCAAAGATCTCCAACTTTTTAATCTCTAAGCTTTCCTTTCCCCGCAGTCCCGTTTCAACAGCAACAATGGCTGGGTCTATAGATGATCACCCTGAAAGCTCTGAGCGCCGGCGGCGCTCCGTGAACTCACCCTCAGATCAGACCCATGAACGCCGACGACGAGATGCGCCTCAAGACGACCACTATTCGAGCTCAAGACGACGCGATGAAGACCGCCGGAGCTCTCACCGTGAAAGTTCTCGACGCAGATCATCCCGCAGCCCAGCTGAAAGAACTAGCGGCCGAAGTGATCGTGATCGGCCTCGTCGCGAGCGCAGAGAGCGATCAACAAGCTCAGCTGGTGAAGACCGCCGGAGACACAGACACCGCAGCCACCGACACCGTGATACCCGCCGCGAAGATGAAGGACGATCGTCTCGGAGGCATCGGGATGCGCGATCACGCTCTCGCTCTCGCTCACCCCGAAAATCACGCAGCCCTCCACCACAAGCATTGGAACGGCGTGGCCCCCTCCCCTCGCAGTCCGACGCATTCACCGATGTGGCGAACCCTTCAGATGCACCAGTACCAGAAAAACAAAAGCCAAACTTCAATGCTACTGGTAGACTCGCAGCCGAAAGCAATACAATTCAAGTCCAGGGCGGTACGGAGATAGTTCTGAAATACCATGAGCCTCCAGAGGCGCGCAAGCCGCCCTCCAAAGAAGCTTGGAGGATGTATGTGTTCAAAGGACAAGACCTGCTGGAAACGGTTGAATTGGGTGAACGAAGTTGCTGGCTGGTTGGTCGCGAGCGAATGGTGGTCGACTTCCCACTCGATCATCCCAGCTGCTCGAAGCAGCATGCAGTGCTACAATTCCGATTTGTTGAAAAGCGCAACGAATACGGTGATCGCATTGGCAAGGTCAAGCCTTATTTAATTGATCTTGAGAGTGCAAATGGATCGAGCGTTAACGGGGAGACCATCCCTGCTGGTCGCTACGTGGAAGTCATGGACAAGGACGTGATTCGATTCGGGTTGAGTTCGCGTGAATACGTCCTCATGCTGCCTCCTAGCTGAAGAGTGATATTTTAAGCTTTATATAAAACATTGAAGTGCTACGGGTACGACAACTTTGATGAACATCATATGAAAATAATATTACAAATTGAAACACAAGTGATGCAAGCTTGACTCAGTCTTTATGTGCAGACAAATTCGAAGCCCTTCAATCCATGCGGCACCTGGCCCCCCCCTTTTATCTGGCCCATCGCCTACTTTGTCTTTTCCTTAGCCTCGTTCAGTGCTTCTTCTGCCTTGCCCTTGCCTTTGCCTGCATACTCGGCCGCCTCGCCCTTCACCTTGCCTGCATACTCGGACGCCTCGCCCTTCGCCTTTCCTGCATACTGGGATGCCTCGCCTTTCACTTCTTCCCCCTTTTCCCTTGCTTGCTTGGCCCCGGCGCCAACGGCATCCTTAATCTTGTGGGCGGCTTTCTCTGTTGGCAAGGTCATGTTAGAATCAGCCTCTGCATATTGAATCGAACTCTTGTAGATCTATGAGATCACATTGAAGACATACCACCCGTATTGATGCCCTTGACTGCTACATTGGAAACGACCCGGTCGGCTTTCTTCAATGTATCCTTTGTCGCGTCGACAGGTCCCTTGTTGTATGGGGCTGTAGCTGAGATGGAGCGAATTGCCTGGAAGCCAGGTGCAGTTTGTACCGCTACCCGGGTTCTGAGGAGAGGAGCGAATCGTGCTGCAGACATGATTTTGAATGTGATAGTTTAATGTGGTGGTGTGGTAGAAGTTTCCGATAGCTTGGACTAATTGTAATGTGATTGATGAGATATTTTATGGATTTCCCTAGATTACTACGGAGTAGCTTGTTTAAATAGGTTGGAGCTTTAAAATGTGGTTGTATCATACTTGTTTCCTGCTTGGTCGCCTCCGTCAAGTTGGTTGTGGCGACGTCATGAGTATGTAGCGCATCTCTTACGTCGATTGACAGTCAGTCGCAGCCTGATTTTCAAGGCTTCTTTTCCCCAACCTCCCTTTCGGTAGGTGGATCTATACATGTCTAAATCCGGTTTCGAGTATGTCATTTTTGGGGTCACTCATTTCCTGCTAATGGATGCTGAGAGATGTGCGCGACAGCGGCCAACAAGTATAGCTAGAACCCAAATTTTACGACTTGGGAACAAGAAGAATGCTTAAAAATAAACATAGATATCAGATTAATTACATTGTTAGATAGTATATCAAAAGCAACTGGGTCTGCGATGTAATATTCATCATCATCAACTTCGGTTCATTATCGGTCGCATATGCGGTCTTGTCGCGTCTTTTTGGTAGTTTTTCTCTTAGATACCTTCGCCGTCTTCCCAGGCTTTCTAGATAGACAGCAGGAAAATGCCGAGAATGTGTAAAAGGCGTTTCCAATATATATGCTTTAACTTTGTAGAACTTGAGCTCAAAAGATATGCTACACCTACGGCAGGTGTTGGGGTCCAGCGCGCCTACCGGCGGCAGATGAGTGCTACCATGACTGCAAGCTACAACTTTTACCAAGGTCACGTCATACGTATGTATCCAGAAGAAATAAAACAGTAAGTAAAATCAAAGATGTGCGCTACATTCGAATATTTTAGGACTTAGTTTACTCCGCACACTAGTAAACCTCCATCTTTCGAGCAGTCTTTTCAATCCTCTTTCTCGCCCTCTTCTAATCATATAAATCAAATAAGAGCAATGCAGCAAACAGAGCTGGTGAGCTATATAGGGGCTGGCGCGATGGACTCTTAAAACCTGCCGTATATGCGGGCTACAGTGGGATTCTCTAGATCACACTTCCCTGTCTGGACCTTGCTCGAACGGGTCTCCAGGCATATATATATATATGAATGTGATGTGATAATTAGGTAGAATGGGTGGACAGCTAAGCTCAGATTCAAAGATACTCCGAAATATATGACCGAAGTTCAAGCTGGGTTATTTCTGCATCCAAGGTGTCCCGTTTATATTCCGGTACGGCAAGGCTAAATCGCGCTGTGATCACATATTCACACTGAAAAGAGACTAGCTCTTCCGTTGTATATCGTCGAATGCTGAGACAGAGCTCAATGATGGGCGTGAGATGAAGCCACCCTCGATCTATGCCTTGCATTTCTTCTATAGGATCGGTCCACTTTTGGCCTCATAAACCTTTCAATAATCAATAGAATTGACGACAAACTGAAATCACATTCAAGGTTGTACCTTCCAAAATAAGGAGTTCATTTGGGGTGCATATGTAGGTAATTATCTATAGAAGGTTCCGGACCTCATGCCAGCGCTCATGTCAGCGATTATTCTAGCTGTGAGCGTCTGACCTTATGAGGTTTCCTGTGTATCTTTTCCCATCACTTCTTTGTCACCTTGAGCGCACTTCTTCTTGTTCTTGTTTATCTCTCGAACTCTGCGTTGAATTAATACATTTCTACTACGTTGAACTTGCTGTGCAAAGCCGCTCAACAAAATGGAGCTCACAGCCAACTCCAGCCTCGTTAACCTCCCTGAGCAAGAGGAGGGAAACAAGTTGCCCGGTCATGCTTCTTGTGAGCAGGAGAAGGTAGCTCAAACTGCAAAGGCTGAGCTCAATGCCGAGCAGCCAGCGGGCGAGCCTACCACGCCCGAAGGAACTGAGCATCGAAAGGGTCCTCAATTGGCCTTGATTACATTGGCGTTGTGCTTGGGCGTGTTTCTTATTGCTCTTGGTTTGTCTATAGTCCTTTCCCTTGCCTTCTAAACCTTGAAAGATCAATGACTAACGCATATTCTCTTACGCTGTAGATAACTGCATAATTGCCACGGCAATCCCTAAGATCACCGACCAATTCCACAGCCTCGATGATGTTGGCTGGTATGGGAGTGGTATGTCAAAGCACGATGAACCCTAGTTGATGGGTGTGAGCTGATCTTTTTCTTTACTTTTTTCCAGCATACCTTCTCACCTCGGCTTCGCTCCAGCTGCTTTTCGGAAGATTCTACACCTTTTTCAATGTCAAATGGATCTACCTCATCGCAATCGGTGTGTTTGAACTGGGCAGTCTGATCTGCGGTGTGGCTAACAGCAGCCTGACGCTTATCATGGGCCGTGCTATTGCTGGCATTGGATCTGCGGGCGTTTTCTCGGGCTCACTCATCATTATTTCCCACGCCATCGCCCTAGAGAAGCGCCCATTGTACAACGGATTTATCAGTAGCATGTTCGGCATTTCATCTGTGGCTGGCCCTCTGCTTGGCGGACTTTTCACTGACAAAGTGACGTGGCGCTGGTGTTTTTACATCAATCTTCCAATCGGAGCTGTCACTGTTCTGGTGATTGCAATGTTTTTCCCTGCCCCCAACCTGGGTAATAAGAAGTCGACATGGGCGGAGCGCATCAAGAAGTTTGATCCCATGGGTACAGCTCTTTTCCTCCCTGCCATTGTCTGTTTGTTGCTAGCTCTGCAATGGGGCGGCACCATCTATGCCTGGAATAGCTGGCGTATCATTTTGCTGTTTTGCTTCTTTGCTGTGCTCATTCTCCTGTTTTTATTTGTCCAGTACACACAGCAAGACTTTGCTACAGTCCCATCACGCATCTTCTTCCGCCGTACAGTTTGGTCCGCTGCGTTTTACAGTTTCTGCATCGGCTCTGCTTTCCTCTCCTCTGTCTACTACTTACCCCTCTGGTTCCAAGGCGTCAAAGATGCAAGTCCTGTCAGTTCGGGTATCATGAATCTGCCCATGTTGATTTCCGTTGTGGTTACCTCCCTCTTATCTGGAATCATCATCACCCAGGTTGGCTACTATACACCCTTTATGATTCTTGGCACAGTCCTTCTCTCCATTGGCTCCGGTCTCATGAGCATGTTCCAACCAGATACGTCCAAAGCTGTTTGGATCGGGTATCAGATAATTGCCGGTGCCGGCGCAGGTGCCGGTATGCAGCAGTCTATGATCGCTGTCCAGGTTGTCCTTGAGTTTGATGATATACCTACTGGCACAGCTATCATCGTCTTCGCACAGACTCTTGGTGGTGCTCTCTTTGTTTCTATTGGAAACAACGTTTTCAGGAACAAGCTTGTTGAGTATCTCGCCAAGTACATCCCCACCGTGGATCCTGCTTTGATTCTCAAGACTGGCGCCACTGGCCTCCATAGTGTTGTCAACAAGGCTGATCTACCCGGAGTTATCCATGCTTACAATGACGCACTTACCCAGACCTTCATTGTCGGTGCAGCTGCGGCCTCTGTCAGCATTATCGGCGCTTTGTGGGTGGAGTGGAAGAGTGTCAAGGGAAAGAATATTGCGGCGGGAGGAGCCGCATGATTTTCAAGCAACTTCCTCATCCCAACCGGTTCATTCTATGTTGGGCCTGAACTCGTTGAAAGAAATTCCCGTCTAATGGGATTTATGTATTAGACAAATTGAACAATTCATTTCACTATTTTATTATATGTAAATCACAGGTCACACGTAGACAAGTCTCTTGCACAAAGTATGCTTTTTTTGCCGCCTTCACATATACCTCTCCAAAGACCAACTATTCTTGTCATTTTAGTTGAGCTATCCAGCCCCTACCCTGCTTATCGGCCAGTGATAACCCTAAACTGCCACCCGTGGACCTCGGGACCTGGCCAGCCTGGGCAGCTAACCCAATGCGTCTTAGCGTCCTGCCAACCCCAGATAAGCAGCGGAGAACATCGAGTTCCAGGCTGACTTCGCAATATCTTATCCTATGGAACATTCCACTCCTTGAAATGCCAACCAAGCGACGGATTTTGTCCTGCCAGCCGTGTCGGCGCTTGAAGACACGATGCGAGGTTCTTCCGGGTTCAAGGCAGTGTGCTCGATGCATCTCCCTAAGGTAGGTGGCCTAATAGAATCCAATCATTTATTGAGGATTGTTGGGGGTTAATCGGACACAAAATAGGCTTGAATGCTCTCTTCCATCCACGTCTTCTATCACTAGCCCAGAATCAAGCTCTATCGGCAGACCAGAGAGGACTCCTGACCAGCATCTTGGATGTCATTGTGCACACAGGTATTTCTAATTTCACTTGTATAGAACAACGCTGATTACTAACCGATAAGCACCAGACTTGATGCTATCGAAGCCTCACTCTCTGAGATGAAAGAATTACTAAAAGCTCACCTTCTCAGCAATGACCGGTCAATGCCAAGAGATCTTATCAATGAAATGGGCGGAACGAGCAGTAATTTAAAACCGAGAACAGATATCAATGATAGCAAAGCCACTATGCACGTGCCCTCAGAGGCAGATATATCGGCGACCACCGACATCCAACCAGCACCAATCACAGTGGTCCGCCACGTGGGGAGTCTAATCACGGAGCCCGTCACAACCGGGGAGAACAACTCCCTTCGTGGAAATATGACTGAAATGGGCTTGGACTCGGACAGTTTTGCCAGTGTTTTCCAGCACGGCTTTGAGCAGATAGCATCCTGGTACCCATTTCCGAATGAGACCCTGACAGATCTCAAACAAAACCATCCTCTGCTATTTGCTGTGTGTCTTCTAGCAGGGATCAGAGCAACGGCCGGTCTAAACCGCACCAACTTGCACATAACCCTTTATACGTTGGTCAAGACCCACTTGGGCATGAAGACTCTAGATACGCCCATTGATATCTCCACCATACACGCCATGCTTATCTTCAGTGCCTGGAGTTTTGGGCCTCTTGTGCCAGGTGGGAGGTATATTGATAGCTGGCTGATGAGCAGCACTACCATCACCCACTGCATGCTCAGCTTTCCTCTATCTGAGCTTGTCTCCCAAGTCGGCTTGTACGATGAAACAAATCGGAACATGTGCAGAATGTGGATTCAGGCGTCACTGGTGCATCTGAAGTACGTACCATTCAAAGTTACAGTGGTGAACCGCTTCTGGAATGTGGACAACAAAGCTGATTAGGTTTCAAGATACGCAATTGGCACCGGTCGGCCATCGGTGGTTTCATGCGACCGTCTTCATAAGTGGACGGAGATTGTCAAATACCCTGGGTTTGAAACGTTCGACCACATCATTGCCGCAGAGCTTAAGCTATATATTCACCTGTACGAAGCCATCTATCACACCGTCAGTTCAGTCCCCGAGGCCTGGGAGAATGTGAACAGATGGGGACGCAAATATCTCGGAGGTAAGCATTTCAATCTAACCGTGTTGGAGTGTTATTCCCATGCTGACCTTCAAACACAGACGGCAATAATACACTAAGATGGGCGCACTGTTGCGCCTCCCTAATTTTATCTCGATGGGAACTGGCAAAGCAGAATCAAACCATGTCTCCGAACTCGCTGATGCGCAATGAGCGTATCAGTGAGCTGACTCAAACGGTCATCCGTCATGCTCAGCTGGTACTGAGAGAGATCTTTGTCCTCTGCACTTCCGAGACTGCATTTGTGAGACCGACATACGACTACCTGCTTACCGCATACGCGGGCGTCACTCTGGCAGAGTACTGCGCGAGTATAACAGATGTGCACGCAACATATACATTGATGGAAGATGTTCGGACGCAGGCTAGGATTCCCAAGAGTATTGAGGGGGTGTTTAGTTGGGCAACCAACGTTGTGCAGAAGAACGCAAAGGATCTTTTGGATTCGAAAGTGGCAGTAATTCCCGAAGACACCTTTTATTCATATCCAGGGTCGGTCGCAGATTGGGCGCCGTTTCGCTTTATTGACTCGATGCCCACTTCTGATTGGGATGGAATGAATGGCTCTATGCATCAATTTTGAAATATATAGAAATGGCGTTGTCTGTTATTTGACGGTAGATTAAATTGGAATACATATCTCTCTGAGTCAACATTATCTTTAATCAGAAATGGGCTTCCCGTGTGCGAGCTCAAGACGGTTTCGATGCCACTATACCTGAAAGTTAGACGCGTCCAATACCGGAAAAAATTATAGATGGGGATAAGAATTACCTTTCCACAAGAGATAGGCCCATAAAGCGCAGGATGATCCTCATCAACACACGAAGGCACAACCTTACAAACCGAATCGGGATTGAACCCCAGGAAGAAAGGCATCGAGTACCTGGAGCTAGGCTGACGATTGTAGACCCTATGCACCGTGGACTTAAACCTATTATTCGAAAGACGCTGGAGGAAATCGCCAATATTAACCACTAGCGTGCCAGCTATCGGCCGAGCATCGAGCCACTCGTCACTGGCAGATAGTACCTGCAAACCACCAGACATATCCTGCCACAGAAGAGTGACGCACTGGATATCAGTATGGGAGCCGATCCCGACATCGACATCCCCATTGCTTTCCTCGAGTGCATCAGCTGGTGTAGCGGGATAGTGTACGTAAAGCCCGTCTGCACCGGGGTTCGTGGTCACCGAGTCAAAGTAATCTTCCGGCATGTCTAGAGCGAGAGCAAAGATACGAATCATCTTGCGCGCGAGCGTGAGGCGACGCTCATAGAATTCAATTGTTGTTTCCTGGAATCCAGGGAGATGGCTTGTTGTATCCCAAGCGAAGTCATCTTCGCTGGACAGCGTCTCCCTGCCGGGGACAGTTGGATCATTCTTGCGATTATAGCGCAGAGAGAATGTCTCTTTGCGATCTGAGCATGTTTGTCAGTTATTGGTAATATAACAAGGATACACCTGGCCAGATGGGGCTGGAGGGGTGCCTACCCCTTGTTTCGGTTTTGTTAATTTGGGTAGTCCCTAGCCCATGCCATCCATCAGCGTTCTTTTGAATCTTGCTTGAAGCTAGCTGTTTCTTTTCGATCGGCTGGCCGAAGAAAGCTTGTGCTTGGGATAGGGCATTCTGGATGAGCTCTTCTGAGATCCCGTGGTTTTTGATATAGAAGAAGCCCGTGCTCTCGGCTGCTGTTCTGACTTTGGACGCGAGGGCCTTTCTCGCTTCTAGATCCCCGTCAATAGAAGCGAGATCTATGATCGGAATCTCATCCTCGGTTGATGGGCGCGGAGGAGCAGTGGACACTCGGCGGAATTCTGGGCCGTTGAGCGTCAAAAGTTCGACTTGAGTGTACTCGAGCAGGGTTGTCATGATTAGTGTGATAGATGGCCAATACCAAGTCGAGGATGGTCGTGAATTTATCCATCGTTCTTCTCCCCGCAATATGCTCGGAACATTGGAATGTCAAGTCCACCGCTAACCGTCGGATAAGCGTTGCGACGGCAATCCCCGGGCTATCTCCATTCGCCCACATGCAAATGTGGTTGGCTCAAAAGATAAGCCGAGATACGTTACTTTTGTTACATTTGCTTTTTATTGTTGTGAGGAGAGATAGCATCGTCGACGCCTCTCGGGATAGTGAAGGGTGTTTTTCACCCAGTGGACAAGTGCGGATGACTCCTTATCTGTCCATTGGCCGCTTCAAAATGCCTAAATAGCTCTGAAAAGCACGATATATCCTGCACGTCCTTCTCCGCCATCCTTTCCCCCTTTATTCAAGTTTCAGGGTTCGCCACTAAGATCAGCACTCAAATCCAACCATCTTTATCTTTTTACCTTTTCTCCACACTCTATCTACCCCACCAACCCAGTATACAACTTCAATTATGTCTAAACTATCGCGGCTGCATGAGCTCCTACTAGTGAAAAGAACTCAACGAGATGGCATCGATCGCCCAGTTGATATGCTGGACAATGACTCAATCCGACCGACACCACTAAAGGATCGAACATGGACCCAACTCACCTATATCATGTTCTGGTTCTCTGCGACGGCGAACGTCAGCAATTTGTACACAGCTTCCACGGGAATGGCTATGGGACTGACCATGTGGGAAGCAATCGGATGCTCCTTCGGTGGTCAGATCCTTGCTGGTGCCTTGATGGCTATCAACGGGCGTGCTGGTGCCATGTATCGCATTCCGTTCCCCGTTCTTTGTCGTTCCAGCTTTGGACATTGGGGAGCACTGTGGCCGACTTTTAATCGTGCGGTCATGTCAATTGTATGGAACGGTGTCAATACTGTACAGGGAGGGCAATGTTTATAGTGAGTTTTGCTTTTTCTTGTTAATCTCGCTCTTTCACCGGGTGAGCGAAGCACGGTAAGTGTGGTTTATTGACGTTCTTTTATAGTGTCTTTCTCCATGCTATATTCCCTTCTATTGCAAATATCCCGAATCACATGGGACATAAGTCGGCTTTGACTTCAGGACAGATGATGTGTTTCTTCATTTATTGGTACAATGGCTAGTGACTCAATGCTTGATCTATTGCTAACTAATCTCAATAGGCTTATCAATTGCGCATTTTTGGTGGTGCCCGTACCAAAGATGAAGTCTCTGGTCTATATCAAAGTCGTGGTCTACTTTGGCGCAGCCTTTGCTATGCTGGGATGGACTGTGTCTCTCGCCGGTGGCTCTCTGAAGACAATCAATGCGCCCTCGAAGGTTCACGGCTCCGAGAAAAGTTTTCTCATTTTCAGGTTCCTCTTCTTGGGACTCGCAAGTTGCGGAACCTTTATCTCCAACGCGTCTGATCTCCAGCGATATGCTAGAAAGCCCAATGACGTCCTCATCGGCCAGTTCATCAGCTTTCCGCTGTCCAACTTTTTGGTTGCCATTTTGGGAAATCTTATCGCATCAGCTAGCAAAGCTATCTTTGGAGAGGTTTGTTATATCGAATGGCTTGTTTAAACCTTTGTACTAACTAAATTATCTAGCTCATCTGGAGCCCGCTTAATTTCTTGGACAAATTGATGGAAGGAGAGCGATACACCTCTGGCAACCGCGCAGCCTGTGCCTTCATTTCTCTGGCATTCGTTTATTCGACTGTCTTCTCTGCCATTTTCGAGAATTCTATCCCGTAAGTATCCCCTCATATCGCACATTTCTATTTCAAATGCTAACAATCCTCAGTGCGGGTAACGACATTGCAGCCCTGCTGCCAAAATACATTTCAATCAAACGAGGATTCTTCATCTGTGCCGGTAAGAAAAGAAGAAAAGACCTTTAATAATCTCACTTGCCTGAACCCAAAACTAACAAACTCACTAGTCCTCTCCTTTGCCATCTGCCCCTGGTATCTCCTCGCATCAGCCTCAATCTTCATCACATTCCTCTCCTCCTACCAGATCTTCCTATCAGCAATTACTGGAATTCTCATCTGCGATTACTACCTTATTCGCCGAGGGCTGCTCAACATTCCAGCCCTGTATGTCACAAGCCCAAGTCCGTACCGATACTTCCACGGATTCAACCCGCGAGCATTCTTGGCCTACGTTATTGCGATTGCGCCCAACTTCTATGGGTTCCTTCACCAGATGGGTGTCAAGGCCCCTCTAGGTATCCAGCGATTCTACTATATCGCTTACCCTACTGGTCTGATCATCGCATTTGTCGTTTATTACGTGTCATGTTTGGCCTCCCCCCCGGCTGATATGAAGGAGGCATCCGGATGGATAGAACCAAAAGACTTTGTGGAGGATAATGATGCTTCCGGGAGTGATGGATATACTATTAATGCTGTTGAGCCCGACTTTGCGGAGAAGGGGAATGTTGCGGTTACTACCGCAGCTCATGGTGGAAAGGGTTCATTCTAATGAGATATGTCTTGTTGAATTTTCTGGGGTGCCTATATTGCAGAAGGAAGCATGATTAATATTTTGGTGCTATAGCTTAATGTCTACGACCGGAGCCCATATACACAGAATTTGAGGCGTTTCATTTTCATCTATACAATTCGTTGGTAAAGCTCGGTTTATATCGCCACGAGCTGCGTAATGATGAGCCAGTTATCAGGTAACGGATCCTGATACGCTTCTACTACATATTTCAGCATTGGAGTTTGCAATGGGTATCGATCTACTTTGTACATATACTACGCGAGGGCAATGTGATGACCCGTAACAAAATTGAAATGTGCCGAGTGCATTATTGTTGATTTCAAGATGTGAGGTTTCTGGAGATAGTTTCGGGTCTTGTGGCAATTTGAGATCTAGCGCTGTAGATAACATACATATGACGTTATATCTTGGATGAAGTATAAAACATCTTGGTAATTGCACTTCCAAATATCCAGATACTTTCAAGGAATCTTCAATATTCTTTTTTTATACCCGGGTTAGTCCCTTAAAATGCCCTTTGGAACTCTCTCCGTCAATGGCAATGCGGTTCCTCAATTTGCTCCTCCATACTCGATAAATACTCAGAGCTTCAGCGACGTCACCCTTATTACGATTCCTTACCGGGTCACCGCTGCAAGTATTCGTCATTTGGTTCCAGACGTCCTCGAGCTGGAAAATGAGCCATTAGTCTCTGTTATGCTAGTCGACTATAGAATGAGCACCTTCGGCGCATATAAAGAGTATGTTCACTCTGTCGAAGTGACTTACAAAGGCAAAGTCTTCGGCTACTATCTCTCTTTGATCATGAACAGCGACTCCTCCATCTTCTGCGGCCGTGAGCAATACGGCTACCCTAAGCGTTACGGACACGTTTCCCTCATCGCGGACACCGGATCACACATCGTACGGGGCCATGTCGAGAGACCGGTGGGACAGAAGATCGTCAACCTTGATTTTGCGCCCTCAAGCCTCCTTCCCACTGCGTCTCAGACCAACCCGGGATTGAATCTTCGTGTCATTCCCTCTGCGCTGCCAAATCAGCCGCCGTCGGTTAAAGAGCTGGTGCCTGCCATCACGGACATCCACCCGAAGGAGATCTACGGTGGGACTGGGTCTGTTTCTTTCCCTGAGCCTTCTGCGTTGAATCCTCTGCATGAACTGGAAATTCTCCCATACGAGCCTGCTGTGATGCTCCGTGGAGCGACGGGTGTACTCAATCAGCCCACTGAGGTGTTTGAGCTGTAAATAATGGTTGCTCAATGTACAGGGGTGCTTTAAAGATCTCATTTACAGGTGCCGGGCGCGTTTTCCATTTGATGTGTAAAAGGTCAAGTTCTCATTATTGTTGAAGCCCGCACTTCTCATCCCTAACACGGTTTGTTAACCGTCCATAAACTATTTATATTACTCTAAAGCGTTTCTACCTCGAAGGGGAGAAGTTTATTGTCTACGCAATAAGGCTAGCTTTTCATATCACATAATTCACTATTTCGCAAAGCCTTGTTCGGATAGACAGGAGAAACCGCACCCTGTACCGAGGGTCCGTTTTAGCAAATGAATGAAAATTCTCTTGCCTGCCCCATAATTTAGGAATGAGACCGGATAGTCGATCTATTTGTGGGTTCTAGGATGCCTATTCACTAATGCCTTAGATGAACTAACGGATAATTGTATGTATTGAATATGTCAAGGAACTGCGTTTTGTCTACAGCGGTGGTGTATCGGCCAAGATACTTCCCATCATCCTATACTAGCGATCAGTAAGGAGCCCCAAACATCGAAAAGAGCAAAAGACGACTTACATAGCGGGGTACCGGGCCCCAGAAATCTCCGTTCGCTCTACCAAGTCCCGGATATCCTGCACCTCCTTGTCCGTCAGCTCCACTCGAGCAGACTTAGTGTTCTCATCAACCCTTTTGGTTGACCTGGTCCCTGGGATGGGGAAAATATCGGGTCCCTGGGCAAGCAGCCATGCAATAGCAACCTGTGAAGGGGTAATTCCATGCGCCTGAGCCACACTCTTCAGCCCTTCCACCAGCTCCAAGATCTTGGGGAAGTTCTCCTCTGAGTACTTAGGCGCCATGCGACGGAAGTCCCCCTCGGGGAAATCAGCGGGAGAATTAATCTCTCCAGTCAATATTCCACGGCCAACGGGGCTATAGGCCACAACCGCAATACCCAACTCGTGGCAGGTCTTCAGAAGGTTAACTGAAGGCGACTCGACGTCCAGTGCAAATGCACTATACTCCACTTGGTATGCGGTGATCGGATGGACGGCATGGGCTCGACGGAGAGTTGCTTCTGAAACTTCAGACAGGCCGAGGTATCGGATCTTTCCTTGACTGCATGCTCAACTGTTAGTGATGCACTGATGCAGTGTAATTGGAGAAGGGGGCAAGGACAAGGGCGGGGACCCACTTCTTCAACTCCACCATAGCTGTGACAGTCTTCTCAATAGGCGTCACTCCATCCGCCCGGTGGCAGTAATACAAGTCGATAGTGTCAACACCAAGTCTCTCAAGGCTTTTCGCGCAAGCCTGCTTGACATATTCGGGATCAGAGCGGACAGACAATCCCACCTTCGGGTCCCGCTGGACAGCAAACTTGGTAGCAAGGAAAATGTCGTCGCGCTTGCCAGAGCGCTTGAACCATTCACCAACAATATCTTCGCTATCAGCATACACATCGGCAGTATCCCAGAACCACTGTCCAGTGGCATGCGCATGCTCCAGAAAAGCGACCTTTTCATCGAGGGAGCCCGCTGGACCGTAGATTCCACCGATGCTCATCAGGCCCAAGCCCACAGCAGGCACCTTAGGGCCGTTGCGACCAAGAGCTCGAATTGGAATAGACATTGCTGCGTGGAGATTGCAAGATATGTATCCAAAGGAAAATGCTAATGAACAGAAGAAATTACACTTTGGAGGGACTCTTTAAATATGTTCCCACGGGGAATTGAGTAATCTCTGTAATGTCGTGATTAGTTGGATTAAACAAATTTATGAACATAATTAAAGGAAGCACATAGTTATTCACCAATGATGTAACTATACACAAGTTGTACGGAGTTAAGACCGGATTTAACAGACCTGCAGGAGTCTACATTGACGCACCAAAGAAGCTTAGTCCAGTGTGTAGTTAACAAAAAGGGGTGTGCAAATAGTAACCTTCATGTATCTTGTTTCTATGGTTGACGGCTCGCACTTCTCTCTCATGCCAAACTTCCATTTCATGACTCGTAAAGCTCCCTAAACGCACTTTTCGTTTAAAGAAGTACCTCTGGTGTATCAAATTCAATCAGCTCGCCATTCTGTATCATAGCGATGCGGTCAAAGTCAAGGATGGTCTCGAGTCGATGAGCAACAGCCAAGATCGTGCAGTCCGCAAAATCTTCACGAACAACTCGTTGCATCAACGCGTCGGAAACAATATCCACATTACTTGACATTTCGTCGAGAATCACGATTTTACTTTTGCGCAAAAGGGCTCGTGCAAGACAAAAGAGTTGTCTTTGACCATGAGAGAAAAAATTGGCATCTAGGGGGGCGTTGAATCCGCCTTTCCTCTCAACAATATCCCACAGTTCAACGCGACGAAGAGCGCGCTCAATCTCCTGAAGGCTGTTGACATTGGATGGATCAATATTGGCACGAACAGTACCGTGTGTGAAAAAAGGCTCCTGTGGAATGGCATTAAGAGCTGCACGTGTAATCTGCCGTGGGATGTGTGCGATATCCACACCGTCAATCAGAATCCGACTTTGTGACTCGATTTCCAGCAGTCGGAACAGGGTTGCTAGAAGCGAGCTTTTGCCGCTGCCACTGCGACCACATATCCCGATCTTTTCACCAGGTTGGATCAGTAGGTTCAGATTGCGAAGTACGTGTGGTTGATCCTCCCCTGCCTTGTAAGATGCGTAGACATTCTGAAACTCGATTGCACCCTTAGATGGCCAGGAGGACAAATCAAAGTTCATAGCCTGGAGTCCTTCGTTCTCGGCTGGCTGGTTTTCCGAGGCGGTATGAGTAACAAAGTCTCGAATTCGAGCGATAGCCCCGAGGGAAGTCTCAAGCTCTGCCCAATTTCGTAGAATCTGTGAAAGTGACTGGCTGAAAGTGATGACATTAAGAATGGCGAGACCGACATATCCAGTGCCAACCGCACTTCGCAACTTGACGACGAGAGCCATCAGAATAGCACCGAGGATAGCCACAGACAGATCCAGTGCTAGTTCCAGCCATCTCTGAATACAGAAAAGCAAATAAAATGGTTTCTGCGACGCGTCAAGTAAGGCTAGATTCTGGTCTTCGAATGCAGACGCCCAGCCGAAGGCACGGATTGTCACTAGGCCTGATAGGCTCTCAATAAATTGGGAGAATAGCGGCGATTTTGCCTCGAGGTCTAGAAGGCGCATTTGGCGTGATGTGCGCAGGTAGAACTTCTGCAGCATCCACAAAAACAGGAAAAACGGTGGTACCACAGCGGCAAAGTATCGAGCAGATATACACATCATGATAGCGGACATGAGTCCACCTGATAGAGAGAATATAAAATCGAGCGCTGAGTAAGGTAAATCATGATCAAATAAGGTCATATCTTGGCTGAATCTGATCATAGTTGTATGGTTAGCGGTAATCTAGCATACTTCAAGCTGAATTTCTTGAACCCAGTTAAGCTTACCTGTTCATAGTGGTGCCAGTATCAACTGAAGTGAAAAAAGACAAGGGTGCATGCATAACCGAATTTAGAAGACGCTTGTGTAGAGTTTCAGCGCTTTTGGGCGCAAAGAACATGAATAAATGGTAGGATCCACCCACAAGCGCGAAGGCCGTTATTATTGACACCAAGGCGTATAGACCTAGGTAGAAGGGGTTCACAGCACTACCATGTGTTGCCAATGCGCTCACCCAAGATTTGACTAGCAATTCGCTCAGCTTTGGTGACACTCCTTCAAGGACAAAGAACGTCATCCAAAAAGCACTGGATGCCCAATGCACAGAGCCAAAGTAATATAAGTAAAGAGAAAAGTCTCCATTTTGCCTGGTCAATTCTCCTTCCATGGCATCATGGTTTCTTTGATCGGAGCTATCGAGTACGGGGTTTGTAGCCTCTTGTTGTTGGGGGTTCACTTTGTCATTTGCCTGTGATTTGTACTGTGCTTTCAAGTGGGCTAGATAGCCACCGCTGGCTTTAAGCTCTTCCAGGGTGCCCTGCTCTGCAATAGAGCCATCGCCTTTCATAGCCACAATATGATCCGCATAAGAAAGTCGGTGCACGGCGTGCGTAGATAGCAACACCGTCGTACCTAGTCGACGAAAAAGTCACTTTCTCGCAAAAAGGCCTTTAAAGATATGCTCCTCGGTGTCAGTGTCAAGGCCCGACAAGATATCATCCAAAATTATAACATTTTTGCATGCGTAAACAGCACGAGCCAGGGCAAGTCGTTGTTTTTGTCCCCCGGACAAAGAAATTCCCGAAGAACCAACTTTTGTCGCTAGAAATTGGAATGAAGATAAGCAATAACACAGAAAGTTCTTGGAATAAAAACTCACAGTGGCCATTTGGGAGGTTTGCAACATCCTGATCCAATCCACAGGCGCTGACAACCTCACGATACCATGTCTCCGTATAATTCGAGACACCCAGGATATTGTCCCTGAATGAAGTGTTGCGGATCCAGGGTGTTTGATCTACGAATGCTGTATCTCGGTATTTCGTATATAGAAACCCTTGTGTTGATGGTGTTTCTCCCAGAATTCCTTTCATGAGAGTGCTCTTACCACATCCTGTTGAGCCAATAATAAAACAAAATTGTCCTTTTTGAACGGTCAAATTGATATCGTGGACCGCGAAAGCTGCATGGTTGCCCCATGCGAAGCTCACGTCTCGGGCGGTAATTACTTCCGATACTGAGCTTTGCCTCAATGGACAGAGATCTGAGAGTTCTAGCCCTTCCAAGCTTGGCTGAATCCGTTGTGTTGTGGGTGAAGAATCTTCCAAATTCATGCGATGATCACGTCTACCCTCTGACTGAAGGAACTTTTGGACGCGATTGAAAGATGCTAGAGCAGTGTTCATAGCGGGAATAGCTCGTATGAATGTATTAATAGGCCCAGCCAAAAGCGAAATCAGGGATAAGGTCGTGTAAACCGAATTCACGTTCAAAGAATGACCCTTTTGCGGAATAGTTGCAAAGATAGCGAACGTCAAGGGTGGAGCAAGAAATCTGAGACTGTTTGCAAGAAAGACACGCAAAACAAGCAACCTACGAAAGAGCTCTGCCTCCTGAAGCTCACTCACCCTCAGCCCTTGGACAATACCCACAAGCCAATCAGTGAAGCCAAGCATCTTGACAGATTTCATAGACCCCAAAATAGTGGACGTGACATCAACTCGAGTTTGAATGCTCTTCATCCATATTCTTTGGGCACGTCTCATGGATTTTGCCATGGAAATAATAGCGACTGTGGATATAAGTGATAGAATAGCTGGCACGAGCGCCACGATTCCCAGTTGGCGAGTCAAGAGATAGATAACAATGACTAGCTCAAGGGGTACTCCCCAGAGATCATTGATCAATTGGAAACCATCACAAATGGCTTGAACATCACTAGACATCAGAGTCACTGCAACTGATTCATCGAGGGCTGTGACGCTGAGATCGAGCGTTTTGGAATAAATAATGCTCACCAAACTACCACGGACGCTTGTCACGAAGCGAAATGTCATGTGGTAGAAGACGCCATTCGAAACCGCGACACCAAGAAGTACTATAAAAAAGGCGCCTGTGAGGCCCCAGCCAATGCTGTCCGGCTGGCCCTGGTCGTTTGCGAAAGCAATCGTGCGCGTGAGCAGGAAAGGCTGAGCATATCTAAAGCCCATTTGCAACAAACGCGGAACGACACAAAAAAGCAATGGCTTTGTATTCGCACGTAACACTGCCCAGAAAAAAGCTCTTGGTTTATGTTGTGTTGCAGCACTCCACGCATTCTTCATTCGCTGTTGGAGAACCGTGGAGGACATTTCACTATCGATCGGATACAGATCGTGATTTTGAAGAACACGCTGGAATACAGATGTCATGAGTTGGTTGAGCCAGAAGAAAAACGATTTACTGTAAATGCCGCTTGTTTCTTCGGGCGACAAATCACGATATGGTCCTAATAGCAGCTTTCGCTTTTCGACTGCTTCAGTAAGAAGAACCATCACCTTGATGCCTATCATGCTGGAAAATATCCCGGCAATGGATCTGTTGTTCGAAGCAAGGAATAGCGTTCGCAGGCGAGCAATGTCGAATATTAGAGTGATGAGGATGTAACCGTTAATAATGGGTGATGGGCGAATAGAACGTAAATGCTCGAGCCGCGAAAGCAGACATAAACCTAGACTGGCGATAAAAGCCAGTGCAGACTCGGCGATAGTAGCAGACGTGCGTAGCGATGAATTCAAAACACGTAGGATCAACAGCGCCATATGGATTGCGGCAAACATGGCCAAGAAGACTGATTTACTCTCGCGCAAAAATCCCCCCGGGGATACTTTTGGCCGCTGGCCATAGAGGCTTATGATGCGGTATGGTAGGCTCAGTAAGAGAAGAGCCGATGGTAGTAAAGAGAGAATAGTGTCTTCGAAAAGTGGCGTAAAGTCAAAGTTGATAGAAGTAGCAGAGCCAAACGAATCCAAGCTAGGCCGAGTGACTGGCAGAAAGGAACCATTTGACAGGTCACGAATGACAAGTCCGGACATTGTTTAAGAGTTGATTCGCAGCGCTAATAGTAGTAGACAAAGCGGTTCAGATAGTGAGCAAAGGATAAACAGCCGATTTATGTACGGGACCGGGACCGGGACCTTTGATGGCCCCGACAAGTGTGATTAGGCAACAATGTAAAATGACGTGATTTGACGAATCAGAGGAAAATCAAAAGGATCTAAAGATAAGCTAGTTGGAGTGGAAAAAAAGTATTGTTTGAAATATAGATAGCGTATCACTCACAGGGAAGAACGTATGTTCTTAGAAACGATGAAAGTGACAGCTTAACCCCTAATCAGCATTTCGGAAAGGGTACCTTGTATATGTATGTTCCAGTTAGAGGACCTTTCAACTGCTTTTAACGCCATTCATATGGTATTAAAACTGTGCTAGGTTGAAGTCGTTTGATTCTTGGCTCAGTATGTTTTGAGCGGTGATTATAGTTAGAGGTAAGTTAAACTTGCAGCACCTATCCATTCAACAACATCTCAACAATGGTGAACGAATCGTGGCTTGCAAAAGGCATGCGGTTTCTTCCACGCAGTTTTGAATCCTGTTGGAGCTTATTCTAGGTCTAACATGTTTAAAGGCAAAGGAAGTACCCTGTTCGATAGGGAAGATGTAGACCAAGATTAAAATTCTTCAGCTGCACTTGACTAATCTCAAAGAGGAACCTGCGGAGTAAAAGAAAATGCAAAGCTAGCCTCTTTACAAGGAACCTGGTACTTTTTCAGAGTACCAGGGCCACAACGCGCAGTTCCCAATCCTGCGTGTGCAGCATCTAACCGAAGGAAGACGTCTGCCCTCCTCTTCAAGTCTTTCGGATGAGCCGCATTGGCGATATCTTCTGCACTGTAATGTAGTGCCGCAAAGTCAAACTCATCCCCTGTCTTTCTAGCCTCATCCACTCGCGTCACCACGAACCCAACACCCTGGCTGTTCGTGAGCTGAAGCCAGCGTGTGCCCGTACGGTTTCCATTCTCCTGTGGATACTCATAAGATGTGAACAGACTATCTGGGGTACGGCTATGTAATCCAAGCTTTTGGGAGTTGCGCTTATCAGCATAGGATTCCTCAGGTCCACAGCCAAACCAATCCACTGCTGTAAAATCGGAGGGTAGCTGCATATCGAGACCTATCCGAGGTAGTATGGTAGGCTGATAGCCCCGAGGACGAACATTGTGAGAAATTACAACTGTACCATCTCCATGAATTGTGTAGACAATGGTGCTGGTAAATCCCCAGTCTCGTATGACAGCTCCGATGTAGGCCTCGACGGTAATCTCAACACTGTTTGTATCAGGGTTCCGCAAAGAGACGGAGATCACCCGTTGCTGTAGATTGTTTATAGAGTAGGCACTCCATCTTGCAGCGTCGTACTTAGTGTCATTTTCTGTCGGAGGTCGCCAGGCTGCAAAGGTTGGTGCCGTTGTAAACAAATTCTGGCCATGCATCGTCCAGCTTGCCATGCGACCCCGGATTCGATCAAACTCGATGGAAAATTTAGAGCCGTTCACTTGATAGCAGGTTGCTGTTTCATGAATGTTGATGGCAAGGTTGTCCTGCACTGTGGCCGGGATGCTTGGCCGTTCGTGCTCCAAGAGCGAAGATTGGCACCATGCAACTTCATGACCCGCTTCTGCCCATGACGTAGGCTGGGAGATCTGAAGGCTTACGGTAACCCAGCATTCTAAAATATTCTCTAGGTGAGTTGGAACCTCCGGGAGCAGAATGGTGCCTGTTTCCGAAGGCAGCACTTTTGGACAAGGCTTTCGGTCTGAGATAATCGTGTTCTGTTCACTGGGTAATTGTTAGCTTTATGAAAAGGAATGGACCATATTTTGGAACATACTGTCCATCGAATGTACATATCTGGACGACAACCAACAAATTTTCCAGAACGTCGAAGTCAAACAAGTTTTGCAAGAAAATTTGTCCATCACGAATGGAAAGTTTAACAGGTTCGACCACCTTTTTCAACTCCACCATGCCACGTCCTGCAGAGTGGTCAGACTGACAAAGTCCATCCAGCGCAAAGGTACCATCATGTGGAGAGTCGCCAAAGTCGCCTCCATAAGCGAAGTAGCCTTTGTCTTCCCTCCATATTCCAAGATTGGCAAACTCCCAGATGAAGCCTCCTTGCAAGCGCCGATATTTGTGGAACAATTGCTGATACTCTTCTAGTGCTCCAAGTCCATTTCCAATTGCCATTCCATACTCACAGAGTATGATCGGCTTCTCGAAGTCATCGCCCTCGGCTAATGCTTTTCGCTCTAGATTTTCTAGCTCCAGGTACATGAATGAACACAGGTCTGCTGTCTTTGACTTTCTGTCCCCTTCATAGTGGACTAGACGAGTAGGGTCATGCTTTTTGGCATACTCGGACATCGCAACATGATTGCATCCATACCAGGCCTCGTTGCCCAAGCTCCAGATAATGATGGATGGGTGATTTTTATCGCGTTGGAGCATTTGGGTGATCCGATCCAGGTATGCCTCACGCCATGATGGGTTATCACTGATGTATTTGGCCAGAACTGGGCTAAGGTACTCCTCAATTGATTCTGAGCCGTTCGCTCGCCAAACTTCTTCTGGCAACTCCTTCATATCAACGTCCCCGCGAATGAAACCATGGCATTCGAGATCGGCCTCGTCAATCACCCACAAGCCGATCTCATCACAGAAATCGTAGAATTGCGGGTGGGATGGGTAGTGAGAGCATCGAACAGCATTGACGTTGTGCTTTTTCATCAAAATCAAATCATTCCTTAGGAATTCAAGCGGCACCGCGCGCCCATCCGAGGGGTGGAAGTCATGATGATTGACACCGCGGAACAGAATGGCTTTTCCGTTTACTGTAACGTTGCCGTTGCGGAGTTCGACTTGCCGGAATCCAATTTTCTGCTTGATGGTTTGTTTTTTGCCATTCGGGGATATGAGGAGCAGATCCATTTTGTAGCGATATGGGGTCTCTGCGGTCCACTTCTCAGGGGCCAAAAATGGCAATTCCACCTCCAAGCTTTCGCAACCTGTTGGAGCTGCCTGAGTGGAATGTTGAATGGGAATATCGTCGTGATCCCGAACATGGACCTCGATCGTACATGCCTCCTCAAGGTGAAGCTTAACACCAACCTTCAAGGTGGCGTTTTCATAGTTTTCATCAAGCCAGGTTTGAACAAAGAAGTCTTCAATTCGGGCCATAGCCGAAAAAGCTAAGAGATGAAAGTCTCTAAAGATACCTACGTCACGTTAATTAGATTGAAAGTTCCACAAGGGTGCGGTATACTCACCAGAAAGCCACCATTGATCTTGGTCTTCGAGATAGCTGCCATCGCACCATTGATATACCAGAACAGTAACTTCATTGTCCTGCTCGAAGGAGATGTGATTGGTGATGTCGAACTCTGCAGAGTTCCTACTTCCCTGGCTATACCCAATCTGCTTTCCATTGACGCCGAGATGAAAGGCACTGTCCACGCCATCAAACCTGAGTCGTATCTGAGATGAACGACTCCAATCTGATGGGATGCTGAAATTTCTTTTGTACGTTCCCACTGAGTTCTCGGTCGGAACAAAGGGTGGATCAATCGGGAATGGATAAGGTACATTGGTATAATGAGGCTTGCCGTAGCCTTGGAGTTGCCAGTGGGCCGGGACCTGGATGGATTTCCACTCGTCGACCTCGTGAAAGGGGGTCGGTGCAAGATGGAAGTCCCAAGTTCCGTTTAAAACAACAGCATCTTCGGGAATCCAATATGAACGCGCTGGGAGACGATTCCGATGAATCACAGACTCGTTGCAAAAGTCGGGCCTCTCAGTGTATGAACCCATGATGACTGCTACAGGAGGAAAGACTATCAACGAGATGATCCATCTTTATAACAGTAGTCAATGGTTTTTTATTTTCGGTCATTGTCTTTAACTGGGACTCTGAATGGCTCGTGGGAGTACTTCGAGGACGTCCCGCGGAGGAATTACGTAGATTCATTCCAGTGAATTGGTATCTTTCTAGGATAGCTGGTCTAGACGCCTGTCTCCTTTCGCCCTTCGGGACATATCATAAAATGAAATTTGTTTAATACGCGTATTCGAAAGCGTGGGGGCGATTTTACTTGGGCCCTGGGACTTAGGGTACTTAGGGCTAGTACCCCGCGGAGTATTTGTGGATAGTCTGCCCCAACCCCGCGGTCGGCTCTATATTGTTCCAGCGGTACGAGGGACGTGCATACGCGTACCCCCAGTAAAAGCCACAACCCCGGACTAACATCCTGAATTCAGTGATGCCTTGATTAACCAGATGTTTGGAGATCGGCTTTCTTCCCATTTTTGCGGAGTTAAAGATTGTTGGCCATTGGATCGAGCCCACTGACACACATGATTCCTCCGCGGCTTGAGCAGTGACTCCTATTTCGCCCAATTCTCCGTGGATTTTGCTGTCAAGTCAAGTCCATACCATGTAGCAATAGAATATGAATCACTTTATATATCCATAGAATGCTACTGGTCAATTAGCTATCTTAGTGCGCAGATTTCACGATTCACGATGGCTGAAAATGATGAAAAAGCCATGTTCTCGGCTAGCGATGTTGTCCAAGACCACAATACCTTAACAACGGACCTCCCCCGGGTCGAAGAACTACCGCTACCCAAAGACTTTGCATGGGGCACAGCTACAGCAGCATATCAGGTTGAAGGAGGCGCGTCTCAGGATGGCAAGGGGCCGTCAATCTGGGACACTTACTCCCATCTGGAACCCTCTCGCACCAACGGGGAAAACGCTGATGTTGCTTGCGACCACTACAACCTCGCGGAAGAAGACGTCAAGTTGATGGTATCTCTGGGAGTTGATGTATACCGCTTCTCCATCTCCTGGTCTCGGGTCATTCCCCTAGGGGGACGTAATGACACGGTCAATGAAAAAGGAATCGCTTTTTACAGCAATTTGATTGATCAACTCCTGGCTCATGGTATTGAGCCTGTTGCGACCCTCTACCACTGGGATGTACCCCAGGCACTCTACGACCGATATGGAGCGTTCTTAAATACCAAGGAGTTCCAGGCAGACTTCAAACATTACGCACGCCTGTGCTTTACCCGATTCGGTGACCGTGTTCAGAAATGGGTGACTTTCAACGAACCATATATAATCTCCATCTTCGCCTATTTGAATGGAACCCTTGCTCCAGGTCACTGTCGCGAGGCTGGAACGGACACGAAAACAGAGCCGTGGCGCGTTGGGCACACTGTCATTCTCTCACATGCGGTTATAGTCCAGATGTATATGGATGAATTTCATCCTTTGCAGAAAGGACAGATGTCTATTGTACTCAATGGACACTTCTATGAGCCGTATGATGACCAGAGCGCACTCGATCGAATTGCTGCGGAACACCGGCTCATCTTTTATATTGGTTGGTTTGGAGACACTGTGTTCCTTGGACAAGATTACCCACCGGTGATGCGAGCCTATCTTGGCTCTCGATTGCCTGAATTCACACCAGAAGAACGCCAACTTCTCGCACACACGGCCCCGATGAATTCATTCTACGGAATGAACCATTATTCCACCAAGTATGCCCGTGCCTTGTCTGATCCCCCAGCCGAGGACGACTGGTCTGGTAATATCGAAGAACTGCCCACCAACAGCCGTGGAGAAGAGGTCGGGCCTGTCACAGGCGTAGCCTGGCTTCGGGTGGCACCAGATGGGTTCCGGAAGCTACTAAACTGGGTTTGGAACCGTTATCATCTACCCATCATTGTTACTGAAAATGGATGCCCGTGCCCAGGAGAGGCCGTGGTGTCGACAGCCGTCAAAGATGTGCTTCGGCAACAGTATATTGGATTGTACTTGGATGCCATCTCACGCGCCATTTATGAAGATGGAGTTCCGGTACACGGATATTATGTATGGAGCTTGATGGACAACTATGGTAAGCTTTCCTTCGAACAATGGAATTCTCAGGCTAATATTCCTCAGAGTGGTCTGCTGGCTACGGAACTCGATTCGGCATTGTTCACGTTGATTTCAACACTTTGGAACGGACGGTGAAGGATTCGGCTCACTACTTGAAAACTTCCATGGAACAACGTAGAGAAAGTTTTCAATAGCCTGGAGGATATTGATCAGTGGAATATCCAGATACCCAGAATAACATTATAATTCACATTTAAATCCATCAATTGTGTTAGTGCACATAGAATCTCGCTTCACCACATGACTTGGCGAGGTTTTGCCAATTGCAAGCCGCAGCAAGCCCTAAGGTCCACGGGTTGACTTGCTACTTACATAATGTCTCCCCGCATATTCCCCGGTCTATTTAGTGCGCAGACTTCCCCGGTTAGACTTGTTTTCTCCGTGGCCCCCCGACCCCTGTCTTTACGATCTTGTTTGACGTTACTTTCAACATTACCCCCGCGGAAGATTTGAAAAACATGCCTCCGTTACGACGGACAGTGACAACTCGTGCATGCGATGCTTGCCGACGTCGGAAGGTCAAATGTGATGTACGATGCTACGCTCTTCCCTGAAGCACAGACTAACTGGTGGGAAATAGGCAGAAGAAGTGTGTGGCAATTGTCGGATCTCCCAATTGTCATGTTCCTATACCTCATCCCCACAAAAACGGGGACCAAAAATACCTCGAAGATCGGCGCCCGCACTGGAACTCCAGGAAACTGCAGCAGCACCGCGAGTGAATCATGGCCCAGCGGTTGAAGACTTGATATGGCCAAGCCCCAATACAAGCGAGGCAACAGCGATATCCCAATCAGGAACGCTCATGACTTCAGCAGCCGAAACGGATCTCACTCCCTCGGCTGGATTGGCCCAAACAATCAGAGATAATTTTATGGATCTGATGGGCTCGGTGCTGCAGTCGCTACCCGTAGTGGGGATCGCCGAGCACTGCATTGAGCTTTACATGCAGTATACATTTCCGACGGCTCCGATCGTCCATGAACCCACTTTACGAGCCGTCGCCAGGCGATTCTTTTCTGAAATAGACGTCACAGAGCTGTTTAGAGCAAATACCCACCAAGAAGAAGTTACTTTGATGCGGAATTTTGCTCTCATCACTGGTCTCTGTGCCGCTGTTGCGTCGACAATACCCCAGTCTATCTTACAGTATCGGGAATTGATTGGAAACATATGTCTCAATTCATCCCGAGAAATGCTCAAGATCATTGAAGATTTTGATGTAGAACATCCAAATTCTACATCAATATCCACCCGAATACTTCACACTGTCGCCTTACAGAACATCACTGGCACAGCACAGTTGGCCCGGTATGTTCTAGGTCAAGCGGCCATGCTAGTACTAAACATGCGGCTATACAGCGAGGAAACTTTCAAGAGCCATGATGCCCTTGAGGCCCAACTACTGCGCCACATCTACTGGCAAATGTATGCAGCAGATCAGGCATCTGTATGTTTGCGCAACCGCCCGTTTCATCTGCACGATTTGCTCTACGACGAAGAGCCAACAATTGGTCGTCCGACAGCAGAGCTTTTGATTCCTCAGATTGACATGAGCAAAGCATCTTATGACGAAATATTAGAAAGGCGTCTGCTCGTTGGTTTCTATTTTCTTCCGCGCCTTTGGTCATCCGCAGCGAGTCTAATTTATGAACTCAAAATTCATGGAAAAGGCAACCGAAATGTCGAAAAGACACAACTGACCCATTTTTACATGGAATTTCTCGATATAATGGATGATCTTCCTACCTGGTTGCAGGCTGCAAATATAATAATCTCCCCTAACGATGGAAATGCTGCTCAATTCCAGAAAACAGCTTTCTGGGTTCAGAGATGCACAATTCTGGTGACATTTCAGTGTCTACGGTTGGTTATTCTACAGCAATGTATTGAAAGCAAGTTATGTGATATTATGGGATTGAATGACCAGCCTCTGACATTGGAGCTGACAAAGATTGGGATGATCCACGACTTTGTGCAGACTTTGCATGATATCCCATTTGTTTATTTGCAAGTCAAAGGAGAGCCGACAGTAAGTCTCACAACAACTTATATCATTTGAATCTTTGCTAATTTTTCTTATCAGGTGGAAAGGATTCGCCGAGTTGGGAGTATAATCTTAGAGATCCTCGACAATGCTATCAACGAGAGAATTCGTATTCGTGCTGAGCATTATTTCACTAGACTCCTCGACATACTGGCCCGATTAGACTCCAAGTCCTCGGATGTTTTAGTGGAACTACGGGAATCAAGCCAAGCGAGAATAGGGATTCGTCTACATGAGCAGTTGGCTCTATGACACCTGTACGCTTCTACTTTTCTTTTTAAATAATTCCAGCCACCATCTAGGCTTCCCAGTTTTGGGCTAGAATGGGAATGCAAGGAGAAAACTTCCGGCGAGCGATTCCAATCTTCCTCCACGAAAAAATTTGTATCCGGTGCAGTGGCTTTTCGAATTTTAAGCGTCCTCAGTGCAAGTACCCTGGATTCGAACCCCACATCTCAGATGTATATGTGAAGCCCTCGCATTCAAGAAAAATAATACAATATAATATGCATGCTACGATCACAGTTCTGCCTATACTAGGGGGCATATCAGTGGGTAATACGGCATTAGAGTGCGAATAGACCAACGCTAGATTTATAGATAGCAGCGTGACCTACTACATGTATGGACTTCCCATAGAATAATTACGAATCGCTAAGATCTTATAGCCCACGGCACCCAGTGGAGCCCTACCCTGGGCTAGAAATGGCTGAAATAAAGTATAAGAGAATGGAGCTAAATTGCGTAAATCTGTGTTGATATACTATATTGTACATTGTTGTTCTCCTACTCAGACCGCTCCTTCCTAGTAGGCACCGTCCATCCATTCAGAATACCACAGCCGGCGTTGAGATACGCCGCATATCCGAGCCACACAGCGTAGGGAACAAGAAGCCAGAAAGCGGTCCGATCGGCCGTCCACCAGTTAACCATCAGGGCACCCACGTTGCCCGCCAATAGGGTCAGATCTCCCAAGGCTACGGCCGGTCGGCCCAGCCGGAAGAAGAGGGGCATCCAGAGGAAATTCAAGGCCAGTTGCGTGGTATAGAGGGTCTGGGCAGTGGAATTGGCATCACGGACAGCTAGAGAAAAAGATTGCGACGCGGTGGTGGTAGCGTGGTGAGAGGCGTAACCCATCAATCCATAAATCAGGGTCCAGGCCGGCGCGAAGAGCCATCCTGGGGGACTGTAGGGTGGCTGCTTCAGCTGCTTGTAGGTTTCGCGATTTTGCTTTCCTACAGAGTTGTCAGTGATTTTCTGTAATGATCACCGGTCGACTTACGATTGGTCAAGAGGGCCACTGCAGTCCCTACCGTGATTGGCGTTGCAACTGCCAGATAGGGGTTGGTGAGGAGAACATGAGGCAGAGCGAAAGACCAAGGCATTTTGGCGAATGAAATGAAATAAAATAAAATCAAGTTCTGTATTCTATATTCTGGCTCTACAATCAGTTTTTAAAGAACAAAATCCGATGCCATCGGAATCTGGAATTTTTTGGCCCCTACGTCATCCCCCTGCCTTGGCACGGCCACAAGCCACCGGGAAGAGTCAATAACCGCCATTCGTCAGCTGTTTTCTTTTTTTTTTTTATAGACTTATAGGAAAGAGACCAATCATGGTGAAATCGAGGTAGGGTAGAACGGATGAGATATATAAGAAAACATATCTAGGATTTCAAAAGTTAGATATCAGTTGGAGATCAACGTATCTGTCCCCGATATATATATTGCCAGAGTAGAAGACCCACTCTTTGACTATTTCCTGGCATTATATCGAATCTACGTTGAATATTATTATACATTTGCGATATACGGGGCAGACTGTAATACCCTTAGTGATCGAAATAAGATCAGTATCATCACTACTTCTGTTCGCAAATTGCTCAATTAGATTTAGTCAAACAAATCAAAAAGGGTAAGACATTTTCGTTGCATAAGAATAGACTTCAGAAGTTCTCTAAAGAAAGGTTTATTTGAAAAGGGATATAGTATAGGCGCAGGTATACAATACGCTTTGTAGAACAAAATATATAGGGTGTTATTATAATAGTATACTTAGATCCTTCGCAAACACAGAAAGTGTGTTTGAGGACGAGGCCTTTATAATAATTGAGTTTTATTTTGCGGTTGAGTTAATTCTAAATTTGAAAGTGAAGGCCAATGAATAGCTAGAGATTTAAGAGTGTGTGCATTGTAACGCTCCTATTCTATTGAAAGATTGGTGAACTCAACGACCGGTCCATCATCTTCACTGACTGCAAATATTCCTATCACTGTCCCAACAAAATCTACAGCTGTAAGTGCTAAAGTATCTATGGACGCAATTTGTGTGAAGCCTTCATCGGAGCCAATCCAAGCTCTATATGATATCGTATAGCTCTGCTCTGTATAAGTCATTCGAAGAGTTAATTCTTCAAAGGAGGGCACTGTGTGCTTTTCGGTCCGCGTAGTCTTTTGGGCATGATTCACAAGTTCAAAGACAACCTCGGAGCTTGCTGCCTCATAGAATACCCGAGCATAGCGGTGCTCATCTTTGTAGCAAGCGAGACCAGCTTTCAGCTTGGTCGGCTCTGGAACACTCGATGAGTGGCGGAGGGTGACGATGCTCTCACCGCTCAATCGACGTTGTCTTTTCCCAACAAAGGTAGGGGATTGGGTAGGATGCGGCAAGTCAATCTTCGAAGCTGTAAGGGTGACCTGTGTGCCGCTGTTTGAGATATTGTATTTGCTGAGATCTGGATCCCGGATGTAGACAAAGTCGACATTTGGCTCGGTGGAGAGATCGCGACAGGCTTCCGGTCGCGTCGAGTAAGTGGGATTTAGATTGCGTTGAACACGGTCGAAACTCAACCATTCCTCATCCCACCTGCCGGAAGTTAAAAAGGTCTCTCTTCCCATGATTTGCCTGCCGCTGCTGTCCTTTCGCACGGCAAGACAAACTCCCCACCAGTTCCCTTCGCCGTCTTCAAAGGCGTCGCAGTGTCCCACGTGTTGTATGTACTCAGATGTGCCGCGAGCAGTAAGAATAGGATTGTTGGGGCACCCCTCATATGGGCCCCAGATATCCTTGGAGCGGGCCATTGTGACCATATGATTCTCATGTGTGCCGTCCTCTGAGATCATCAAATAGTACCATTCATTTCGCTTGTAAATATGAGGACCCTCTGGATAAAGGCCACCGGAGCCGGGCCAAATTGTCCGTTCGGGAGAAATCTTCTCCCCAGTGAGAAGATCGATTTCGAACAGACTGATTCCTGGTTCGCCAGCACCCTGCGCGTACACTTTATCACCGTCAAAAAAGAGACTGGGGTCGATTCCATTGAAGTCAAATTACACAGGATCACTCCACTCGTTCGCCCAGATATCTTTGGTTGAAACAATGAAGTTCTTTTTCACGGCTTTCGGGTCCGCTGACAACTTGTCAGCACGGATGGCGTTGGTACAAATCACATAGAACGTCCCTTTGTCATGTCGAATTGTGGGTGCGTACAGACCACCGGTAGCAAGCTGTGAATAGCCAGTGCCTGACGAGGGATTCAAAGTTGTATTCGATCTTGCTAGGCTTAATTGACCTTGCCGATAAATTGCGTTGCCTAAATAGTCATACTTGTTAGTATCGAATTTTGCTACACATAGCTGAACAACTTACCTATCTGATGCCAGGAGAGTAGATATTTAGAGGCATAGATGGGCAATCCAGGAAACAGGTGGAAGGATGAGTTGACAAGGTAGTACCAGTCTCCAACTTTCACCACAGAAGGGTCTGGCGCGAAGCCAGGAATGATAGGGTTGATATCGGTCATTTTACTCTTTGGGGGTGATTGCCAGAAATCAATTTAGTGAATTGAAGAGGATGGGAAGTATTTGGTCGCCCTGGTGGCTTAAGTACCTATACCATTCCTATTCCGTAAGGTATTACTCAGCTAAGCCCTAAGTCATGGCAGGTTTCCTTTAACCGTATTCTCCCTCCTCAATGTGCTCCGAGAGACTAGCACGCGGGAAAAAGTCGATTTTCCCTTCGAGAATGTACAAAATTACTTCGACTAATCTTTATCCTATTGCAAGCCGAAAATGACATCAAGTACGTCTAAAATGAGGGTAGGGTGTCATTTCCCAATTTATCATGCTATAGCCCATGGCGATTAACCGTGACCAATCGGCTCCTTCAAACCCGAAGGACATTCGATATAGTCGCCATCTTCTCTTTCTCCACGGGGGAATTCTGGGGCCGACCAATCAATCATATCTCCAATTTGGAGAAACCCCCAAAAATCATTAGGTCAGAAAAGCCGCGGTGTATCGTGTTCGTATTTTGACTTTGTGCGGTCAATGAAGGGGGACAGTAGGAATGTGCAAGTGGGTCATGCCATACATAATACTCGACATCTACTCCGTACGGAGTATTCTCCCGATCGTATCCAAAACGACGTTGCTCTAGCCGCTTAATACAACCAATCTGATGGCTCGGTCTACTTTCAGTTCAGGAAAAACCGATGGTACCCAGAGTATAGAACATGAGTTAACGCTTAGCCTAAGTTGTCACCCAATCGGGTAATTACCTGCTCCGTGGAGAAATTCCAGATCCTCATGATCATGGCCTAAACATCAACTGATCTCAACTGATGTGTGGAGACTCCGCAAAATTTAATATTTACCCCACAACCTTGTCCGGGGTGTATGGGGATTAGAGTGACCAATGACACGGTAAAATCAAGGCTTTGTATCTACATCGATACGTCTTGGACAGTACTTAAACTCCATCATGCCTCCAGACAATTCGTTTTTCAACTTGTTCTCACCCCAACAACTCCTCGCAAAATGGGTTCAATCAAGGAAGTTAGTGCGGAAATTGAGCATAGCTCCGAGATGACTGCATTTCACGATGAGCATAAAGAAGCCGATCCCGTTACTGTCGTTTCGGCAGCTCAGGCTGCTGAAAACCTCGATCATGTTAAGCCATCCCCTTGGACGCCGAGTATGTTTCGTCTTTACACCGTCCTAATGTGCGCTTACCTGGGTGCTTGCACCAACGGCTTCGACGGTTCCGTCATGGGGTATGTAGACTTCTGGATTGATTCGCTTTCAACACGCACTTATTTGATATGCAGCGGATTGAACGCCATGACTTCATATCTGGAATACTTCCATATGTATGTGAGCTGAACACTTCCATTCTCGCGCTTAGCTAACTCCTACACAGGGAATCCGCTTCTGCTTCAACTGGCCTCGTGTTTGCCATTTATGGAATTGGTACGGAATATCTTGAAATTCTGCCAATAATTCCATGTCTAACTTTGGAAAAGGATCAATCTGTGCCCTCCCCCTCGTCGGCCCTGTAAACGATTATCTCGGCCGGCGTGCTGGAATGTTCACCGGAGCAACCATTATTATCGTCGGCGCTATTGTCATCGCAAAGTCGCTCAGCACTGGCATGTTCTTGGGCGGACGTTTTATCCTGGGATTCGGGGTTGCCTTTTGTAACATCAGTGCACCCGTTTATGTCGGCGAAATCGCTCACCCATACTGGCGTGGAACACTGATGGGTATCTACTCAAGTCTTGCGTTCGTTCTTTCGTCTCACCCGCATCACAAACGATGGTTGCTGTTCAGAACACTAACATCTAAGCTAGTGGTATCGGTTCTATTGTGGCTACATGGGTAGTTTATGCTGCTCAGTTCTTAGGCCCGAACGGATGGCGCATTCCTCTCTGGTGTCAGTTGATCTCATCTGGCATTCTCTTCATCTTTGTCTGGACTTTACCAGAAAGCCCAAGATGGCTGGTTGCTCAGGGACGACTCGATGCTGCGAGAAAGGTGTTAATCCGCTACAACGGCGAAGGAAACCCCGAGCATCCCCTCGTACATCTAGAGATGGCAGAAATGGAGGCCCAAATCTCGATGACAGGATCTGATAAGAGATGGTGGGATTATAGCGAGCTCTGGAAGACCCGTGCTGCGCGTCGCCGTTTAATCTGTGTGCTGACCATGGCTACCTTTGGACAGTGGTCAGGAAGCTCGCTCACAAGTGCCTATTTGCCGGTTATGCTCCAAAATGCCGGAATCACTGAGCAGAATAAGCTGATGTTGAACGGCATCTTTACCGTCCTGACATTCCTTTCAAACTTGTGTGGCGCCAGACTAATGGACAAGGTTGGAAGAAGACCACTTCTTCTCGGTACACTCAGTTTCTGCGTTGTATGTTTTGCGATCATCATTCCAACCTCGAAGCACGCTACTGAGCACCCAGAGAACAAGCTCATTGCGAACACATCAATCGCTTTTATTTACCTCTTTGGTCTAAGTTGGTACTTGGCATGGGCTCCTCTTTCACCTATGTATATCGTTGAGGTGCTTGACACGAACACAAGAGCTAAAGGAAAGTCCCTCGCTCAGCTTTTCACGGCAGTTTGCTCAACTGTTATCACATACTCATCTTCTCCCGCATTTGCAGCACTGAAGTATTACCTTTATGCTGTGTTTATCGGATGGGATCTCATGGAGCTCGTTGTTATATATTTCTTTTGGCCTGAAACTAGAGGCCGCACCCTTGAGGAGCTCGAGGAAGTTTTCTCAGCTCCGAACCCGGTAAAGAAGAGCTTGGAGCCGAAGAGTACTCAGACAGTCATGAACGCCATTCACGCTAGGAAGAGGGATGTGGAGATGACAGAGACCACCAATCCCGTTTAAAACAGTCTGATACCCTGTCAGCCTGTATTGGTCAAATTCGAATGTTTCAATCAATTTATATACAATATTTTGTATATTCAAAGCTTCAATCTCAGTGCATAGTTATTAAAACTATCAGAAAGTTTCACGAGCAGGCCCGTCCTTTTTTACAGGAACATGAATACAAGAAACATTCAATACGTATGAATTGACACTAAAGACAGAGACGGAGGGGGAAAAAAGGAGGAAGAAAGAGAAACTCCCTTCATAGCAATAATCAACATCAACATATCCTATTTCACATAGGTTCGGATAGGAAAACTCAATGCAGCCCAATTCTCCGATGTGCCATTGCGGCTATATCCGCCATTTCGGACAGTACCCTTTTTGTTTGACGTTCTGATTCCAAGCTTGCTAACCGCTGGCAATTCAAGTAGGTCAAATGATGTTGGTTGGGAGGTGATAATGATTTTAATGGTGTCTTCGCACTGCCTGTGACCTTTCCCAACCAGCTCAGTTGGCACTTTCATTGCGAATTTTCTCCTCATTTCTTTGAACCCAAGATCGGGATTTGGAGGAGGGATCACTTCACAGCCTCTTGAAATATTGACAATCTGCCAGGATGGTCCCAGGCTATATATGTGGACGTATAGCTCTGTTTGTCCCTTGTTTGTCACTATCACACGATGCACTACACCCTCATCTGTTTCTACCAAATTTCCGGGTGCATAAGTCTCACCAGACGCACTGATGATATGCGCATCAAACAGCTGCTGAAATTGTTCTGCGTTTGTATTGTTGTTTAAATCTCTGGTGAAGTTGTATCTCACCAGATGCTCAACAATGTTTGAAATGGAGCTAAAGTCATTTTTGCCATGAACCATATCTGGCAGATTTTCAATGATTTTCCCGTGCACGTCATAGATTTCGTACTGGCTGTTGTTGTTCATAGTAATATAGAATAAGTACGGTTGTTCTTCATTCATATGACAGCTTAGAGACAGCGCCTGCAATGCTCCCAGAAGCTTTTGCAGGTGTGGAAGGTCACCGGCTAGTCGAACCGGGTATTTTTGGAAATATATCCTAGGATACCCTGTGGCAAACCATGTAGTTCGGTTAAGTGAGGATGCCGAGCTTCCAAGCAGTTCTACCTTGGAGGTGAGAGGCCCTACCTGGACAACTTGAACAGATAAAGAGTGTCCGCTTGACTGGGAGCGATCCCCTTCGGAATCAATGCCTTGTAAAGCAAAGCAGTCTCCTATAGAAACCCCATGGGCATTGCCAGCGCTCAACATAAAGCTTTTATCCCGATTCATAATAATCGAAGTAATCATGCGGGGATTCCCAAAGTCGGATTGTTGAAAGAATGGTTGATTTCTATTTCCATATACGACAGGACTTTGCTGATGCAAATTCGACTCTCGAAATTTGCTAGTTAAATGTTTATGAATAGCATCGTGTCTGATCCCAAGACCATTGATCTCGATGAAGGAGAACAGAAAGTATGACAAGGCTCCATGCATTTGACCATTGCCGAGCTCAATTTCTTTCGCCACTTCATGGGGCCCACACGCGGCGAGGATTGCGTACACATCCGGATTGATTAGCCAATTGGGTAACATGGAAGCATCTCGATCTCCGGTGCCTGAACGGCTGGTCTCCTCTGCGCAGCTATTTGCAAGGTCAGGGTTGTAAGGAAGGTACCGAGCCCTGGAGTCTTCGCGGCGATAAACGGCAGCAGAGAAACAACAGTCAAGCACAAGAGTAATCGCCAGTCCTTTATCGGCCATTTTCCGTAGATAATTGGCTAACACAGCGCCGTACAGGTATTTTTCACGGCCCTCATTACGCTCATCTAGCAAGACCAAAGCCAGATCTCCTGTAGACCAGTTGGAGTGTAAATATTTTGATCCTACTCGAGTCCCGTGACCAGAGTAATGTACATAAACCAGGTCCCCAGTCTTTGCTGAAGAAAGCACTCGCATTAGAGCGGAGATTACATTTTGGTGAGTTGGCCAGAGATGCTGCGGTTCCATCAAACTTCGACCTCCTGAATCATTGTCGCCCTTGGTCGCTGTCAACATCTCCGTCTGAACTGAAGTCGAAGCTTCCTTTAAATATCGCTCTATTCTTTGCACATCCCGGACGCTCCCTTCAAGGGGCTTTTCTTGGTAAGCGTTGATTCCGACCAGGATTGCGTACCGCGAAATGGGAGGGTTTGTATCGGACATAGTGAGGCTGTATCTCGATTATCTTATATCAAAGCCAAGATATTTATGCAAATGATACTGATGAAGTCTCACGGAGAGAGGAATGACGTATTCTATTCCAAATTTGAAGGAGCAAATGTAGGTATGCACCACAGCTGACAACAGACTGTAAGCGAATATTGCGGGGCAGATGTGTCCTTGTCGGCTGCTGCCCGACTATACCCGTTACATGTGCATTCTAAAAACAATTATCATAGGCCCAAAGACCTACATACACCATTTATGCATCCGCCAGATTAGCCATCTGTATCATATTGCCTCCTTTTGCAGGATTACCGTCTTCATCACAAAGGGTACAAGCATCGGTGGCTGGTATCGACGCAACAGTAAATGGTCCCTCGAGTCCATCCGTCCCAACAACATACACGAGATCTCCCACATGAAACTTTGGTCTCTGTAAACTCACTTTATCAGTAGTTACCTCGAGGTTTTCTTTACTGGGGAATAGTTTCATACATCCACGTAAGACTTTATATATGGGCGGGAGCCGCCCTCGCGAATACTGTGGTGTTTTTAGTAAGCCTTGAAAGTCCAACGAAAAAAGGAGAATAGTTCATACTTCTCGGTCATGGTTCGCTAAAATTACTTATAGTGACTTAAGGTGAGGTAGTTCTTCAAGATATTGAGTTCGATCGCCTGATCAACCAGGAAGTGTTTTTGACGGCATTTATACGAGAGCGGGGGCCATGACACGTAGGTAACGGGGCCAACAATTCAACCGGAGATCCGGATTTCCAATCAAATTTGAAGAGCCTTAAGTGACGAGCGAACCTGAGTACTCGAGACCGTGGCTGTGTTTCATGCTGCATCCACTACTGGCTAACTATCATAATATTGCCAAACGTTCGAAGAACTGAACAGGGCGCTCTCAGAAGATCAAATAGGTTTCATTAGATATTAATATAGAAGCATGTTTCTCAATTCCATCCGAAAAAGAAAAGAAAAGCCAGAAGATGACTTCCCCTGCAAGCTCCCTTCCTATGTGGGAGCCTAAAAAACAACCACAAGCAAAGAAGAGTAAATACTTTCCTGATTTGGTCTCTCAATCTAGATCAGCAAGCCGCTAATATTTGCGAAGTTGAAGATTATCGATCCGGCTATCCTAGGCTCACCGCACTTCTCTCTTCTCATACTCCGTATTTCATATGCAGGTCCTTCACTCGCCTTCGAGCTCGAGTTCTCCTGTTGAAGCAGGACAAGATCTCTCTCCTAGAACAAAAGCTAGATCAACTTGATGAGCAAGAATCCTGCCCCTTGTTCCTAGGCAAAAGCCGGAATGATAAAAACCTGGATCGGAGAACAGTACTGTCCGAAATTGATTCTTGTCTTACTGATTACGGTAAGTAGTCATTTGAGCATCACATAGTTGAGTATTCACATATTTCTAGATAACTTTCTTGATCGAACTCACCGTACCCTGGAGCTTAGCTCTCCATCTCAAAGGGATGTCGAGTCTCTGCAAAATTGGCTCGATGGCACAGGAGCAGTAGCCAGAGATGAACGGGTATACCTCACACACTTCCAGGATTTAGTCACTGTAGCCCCTACTGGTGATACGGCTGTGGTGCGCCTAGAAACATGGATTGAGGACAAGATGATTCGCTACTACGGCAGTTTCCGAAAGGTACATCAATATCCACCCTGGTTACCTCCAGAAGCTAATATATAATAGGGACCTTTTCATGATGCTTCAAATGACACAAACGTGTATATTTATTCAGGGCCTTGGATCAGACGAGCAGCTAAAGCAATACTCTTATTCATGATCACAATGCTCCTTTTAGTTCCAGTCATTCTATGCAATGTCATTCGCAGCGCGTCACTCCGAGTGATGATTATTATGGCATTTACCATATCATATCTCCTCATTCTCTCGGTTCTAGCGAAGTCAAGGACAATGGAGCTTATTATTGCAGGGGCAACGTGAGTTCAATACAGCTCCCTTCTTAATTTTCATAGGGATTTACTTGATTCTAACACTCACCAAGTTACGCGACTGTTTTGACAGTCTTTGTTTCTAATGGGTCGTGAGGTCAAATTACCAGGCATAGCATGCCTGGTCTACCAATCGTGAGAACCTTTAACATAGACCGCCGCGTTCTATCCCCCGCTTCCCATCTATATCCTCAAAGGGTGTATCTGTGTGTCAACCAAAATGGGCTATTCATGTACCCTTCATTTATTGCGAGTTTGGGCCGCATGTCATATTGCTTGTAAATCTTGAGGAATGTCAAAAGTAGATTACCTCAATACTCCAACATATATTTCATAAATCAACTCAGTCGCGGGATGGTATGTAGCAGATCCCTAGTGAATGACCCAATCACCTTGCAACCGAGTGAGGCTGAGATAAAATGTCGGGCATAACCCACCTAAGCTGTTTGCAGGCTCCTGAGGTCGGGCCGCAGAATTGGCCTGCTGGCACCAATCAAGCCTGGCGTAGCGTAAGCTGACATTGACAAAACACTGTTGACAAAATCTTTTTATTAAGTACCATAACAAATTGTACTCGCATTGAAGATATACGTGATAAAAGGTAGTCACCCCAAACGGGTTAGGCCAATGTACAAACAGTGTGTGGGCTGGAGGTCTGCCTTGGAAAGCCCATAATCTCATTATAATAAGGGCGCGTCACCCCGGTCTTTAGGAGTTAACTCGAGGTGATTTTTATTTCTCTATTTTGACGCATCGAAAAAAGAAATGGACGAAGCTCAACAATACATCCCACTCACACAGACAGTCGTCGACGCCATACCAGATGACCACATAGACTGGGCAAGATTCTTCGATCTCCTCGGCCATGACCTGGAGCAGGCAAAATGGCCTGCATTCTTGAACCACCTCGCACAGTATTTGTACGATCTATATTTTGACAATGACGAGCTCCCCGACCTCGAAGAGGCTATCAAACTTACACGGGGAGCTGTCCATCTCACGAGCGAAGACGATCCGAATTACGATCACGCGTCGTATCTGAATAATCTAGCAAATCTACTGGGTGACAAGTATATCAGAACGGGGATAGTAAACAATCTTGAAGAAGCGATCGCCGTTGCACAGCAGGCCATCAATGCAATACCGAAGACCCACCCGAGTCGGTCAAAGTACTTGAATAACCTGGGCAACCAGCTGAATGATCGATACCTGATAACAGGCGTGCTTGCTGACCTTGACGAAGCCATCCAAGTTGGCTGGGAAGCTATCCGCATCACGCCGGAAGACTATATCCACAGGCCGGCATTTTTCAATAATCTGGGTAACCGACTCGGGGACAGGTATCTCAGAACAAACTCCCTGGACGACCTCGATGAAGCAATACGCGTCAAACAGGAAGCTGTCAAAGTTACGCCAAAGAACCACCCAGACCGCGCAGGGCGCTTGAATAATCTCGCAATCGAACTAAGTGCCAGGTACCTGACGACATTTGATCCGCCGGACATTGAAATGGCCATCCAGGCCGGCCGCGAGGCTATCAGGAGCACACCAGCCGGTCATGCAGACTTGACGATGTATTTACACAGTCTGGGCAACTCGCTTGATTACAGCGCCGACGCTTCAAACCTCGAAGAGGCTGTTCAAGTTGGGCGCGAGGCCGTCAATGCCACGCCGCGAGACCACCCAGACCGAGCCATGGCCCTGAACAGTCTAGGGAAGCGCCTCGGTGAGAGATTCTTGAATACAGGCGCATCTTCGGATATCGACGAGGCTATTGCATGCCACCATGATGCTTTGCATCAGGGAAATGCGTCCACCATTCATCGCATAGTTGCCGGTCGAGCGGTAATTAAATTCTGTGCAACCCGTCAGCACTGGCTGCAAGCATATACTGCAGCAGAGACTGCTGTCGACCTTATTCCTAAATTAACTCTGCGGTCGCTCGAGAATTCAGATAAGCAGTATCAGCTTGGTCAGGTGGTTGGACTTGCTTCCGATGCCGCAGCCGTTGCATTGAATGCACACAAGTCCCCGTCAGTTGCATTATGGTTTCTTGAGCAGGGTCGTGCCCTGCTCGCAGCATCCCTTGAAGAGATGAGGATCGATATCCTCGAGCTGCAGGAGCAGTACCCAGAGCTGGCAAGGGAGTTTATTCATCTTCGAGACCAACTCGAGCTCCCGATTGACCCGGACGAATCGTTGCCAATATCAGATGAGTTTCTAGGACAGTCATTTGAACAAGCGGCCCACGCAGACCTACGACACAAAGCCGCCAGCGATTTTGACAGGCTAATCGCCGAAATTCGGGAACAACCAGGAATGAACGACTTCCTACTGCCGCCCAGCACAGCAGACATCCATAGTGCGGCCGAAAAGGGGCCCATCGTACTAATCAACGTCAGTGACTACCGCTGCGACGCGATTCTCATTGATCAGCATCGGATCCGCTCCCTTCTTCTACCCGCCTTGCATAACGCGGATGTCAAGAGATTTGCACAGTCTGATAACCTTGGTAGCCCCAAAATTCTCGAATGGCTGTGGACTGCTATTGCCCATCCCATCCTTCAAACTCTAGGGCTTTTCCAGCCCCCATCCGCCAACGAAGACTGGCCACACATATGGTGGATTCTCACAGGTCTCCTGACGAAATTCGCCATCCATGCCGCGGGCCAATATAGCCATGACAGTGGTGGTGACATAGTGACCTCCTATGAGTCCGTCCTGGATAGAGCTATGTCATCCTACAGTTCATCCGTGAAAGCGATCATTCACGGCCGCAGGCGCACTGTATCAACTAGTGCTAATATGACCTCGATACCCGGGGGAGCCAGCTCGCAGCAGGAAGCGCTCCTTATCGCCATAGAGGACACGCCCGGAAAATGGGACCTCCCGTTTGCCCCAGAGGAAATCAGAACCCTACATCCGCTGTGCATGTCCATGGGCCTCATACCTGTCTCCCCCTCCACCGGCAGACGGAAGGAAGACGTGCAGACCCATCTGCCGCGGTGCAGGATCTTTCATTTCGCAGGCCATGGGTACACAGACACCTACGATCCATTGAATAGCAATCTTCGTTTGTGGGATGGGGGGATGCTCCGTGTTGCGGATCTTCTTGCGATGAATATTCGAGAATCTTCGCCCTTCCTGGCATACCTGTCTGCGTGCGGCACGGGGCGAATCCGCGACGCAAGGTTCGTGGATGAGAGTATTCATTTGATTAGCGGGTGTCAACTTGCGGGTTTTAGACACGTTATTGGGACGCTTTGGGACGTTAATGATGAAGCCTGTGTGGGTATGGCGAGAATCACGTACGAGACATTGAGAGATAGAGGGGGGGCGGGGTGGGGGGCGGGAGCGGATGAGGCTATATGTCTGGGGCTGCATGAGGCCACGAGGGCCATGAGAGGGCGGTGGTTCAAGAAGGTTGGGAAGATTACTAGACGGGGGCAGAGGAAGTTAGTTCGCAATGGGTCCTTGGAGGAGAGTCTCGTACTTGATGGTCAGCATGGCAACAGATTGCCGAGGGACATTGATCTATTTGATGACGATGATGATGAAGATGGGGATAGTGAGGAGGGAGAGACTGCACGAGCACTTTGGGTTCCATATGTCCATTTTGGCGTATAACTACCTACATCTGATCCCTTCGCTGTGATCAGTGTCTCAAAGCGGCCGTTCGGTTGTTCGGCTGTTGAACCGTACGGGGAGTATATATATCTTGGGCTTCCACGTATATCCACAGTATTTATCGAAACCATAAGTTCCTAGATACCAAGTTAAGCCCTCAATTGCCAATCTCCAATTCAATTCAAATTCAATTCCAAAATGTCGACAGGTCGTACCCTTACGCCAAAACCACATGATCCCTCCCAGATAAATGCCACAAAGGGCCCAGACTTGGAAAAGAACATTCAAAAGGAAGTGATCCCGCAATGGAAAAAGAACAAGGCCCCTGATGGCGGACTGGCTGCTTGGTCTGTGGTCCTAGGCTCATGGTGTGTGCTATTCTGCACCTTTGGATGGATCAACAGTACGATCAACTTTTACCACTGAGAAATACAAATGACCTTTGTACCATATTGACAATGACAGGTGTTGGAATTTTCCAAAATTACTACGAGTCAACTTTACTGCGCCAGTATTCAGCTAGCACAATTGCTTGGATCCCATCTTTACAGATATTCTTCATGTATGCTATGGTAGGGTCTTTCCATTACCCTCCCTCTTATGCTCAGTTTGTTGATGTCATCGTTTCTCAACCAGGGCCCCATATCCGGTCATTTGTACGACAACTATGGGCCCCGTTACTCAATCTTGTTCGGATCGCTTCTTCACGTCTTCGGCCTGATGATGTGTTCCATCTCGAAGAAATACTATCAGATATTACTCTCACAAGGCGTATGCAGCGCCATTGGAGTCTCAATCATCTTCCAACCCGGTAAGCCAGAGCTTCTAGTGGCATATCTACTCAGAAATATAGTATAGCTGATATATACCAACAATTATAGCGACTAGTGTCATTCCAGGTTGGTTTGACAACAGGCGTGGCATAGCTTACGGTCTGATGTCCACCGGGTCCAGTATCGGGGGAGTAATTTTCCCAATCATGATACAACGGTTGATCCCGGAAGTGGGATTTGCGTGGGCCATGCGTGCTGGAGCTTTTGTGATCTTACTTCTCCTTACAATCGCCAACTTGACGATCCGATCCCGGATACCTCCATCACCTCGGCCCGTATCACGGGCTGCGTTGACACAGCCATTGAAAGAGCCAAAGATGCTCCTGGTAATTGCGGGTTTTACTCTTCTGACCTTTGGGGTGTACATACCCATTGATTACCTCGTCGTTGAGGGACTCTCGAGTGGCATCAATACCAACCTCTCTCAGTGCTTGCTGGCGATTCTGAATGCTGGAAGGTACGCATGAAACCACCTCTGCCCCCCTCCCTTGATATTTATTAACTCGTGTTATTAAAGCTTCTTCGGCCGCCTTGGGGCTGGTATGGTTGCCGATCGAATTGGGACATACAATGTCTTCGCCGTGGTATGCTATCTAGCCGGGATATTTATTATTGCCATTTGGATCCCCGCCACCAGCACTGCAGGAACTATTGTATTTGCCGTTCTTTTTGGATGTTGCTCAGGCGCATATGTCTCGTTAGCAGCAGCTCTGGTGGTCAAGATTTCACCCTTGCCGCAGATCGGATACCGAGTGGGCCTGATTTTCCTCTTCGCTTCCATAGGCGGGTTGACGACCAATCCTATTGCCGGTGGTATTCTATCTCATGACAATGGGTCCTATCTTGGAATAAAAGTGTTTGCCGGTGTTCTTCTGCTAGCCGGGACAACCTGTGTTTTCGGAACCCGATTGCTGCACACCGGACTGAAATTGGTTGCGATATTTTGATTTGATTTGGCCAGGCTGATGCTATATATGTTATCTAAGGAGGTATTTAAATATGTTAATATTTCAAGGTCTCTTATTTCTTTGTTTGCTATGGATCTGTATATATCTACTATTAGGGCGTATATATTACCCCCCTAGTTTAGATTCTGGTGTCTTACTCTTTCAGACTAGTCCCACCGACCTCTTTGTTATCCCCAGTTGATATCTGTATATGGCCTTTAGTAGCTTCGTTGTATAGCCTTGGGTCATGATCATGCATGCACCTGAGTAGATATATGGCACTTGACAGTGGGTGAAATTATAGATCTCCACTCCGAAAGCAAGCACCAAAGAAAATATTGAAATCCGATCTCTCATTGTATTAAAAAAAACCCCGTAGCATTCCCTTTCTCAAGAAGCTAATGCGATGTGACTCTGCTATATTTTCACTATCCTTGGCCCGCAAGCCATAAGCCGGACGGATTCCAATCTGGGAAGCAGATCGAATCTAAATTCCAACCCATAGCATCTTCAAACCCCAGAATGCTGCTAGGGATCGCATCTCCCCGAATATCATCTTCTGGGGGTCCTGTGATCTCAGGAACTGTTAAATTGTTTGAGGTGCGCGCGGACATAAATGGACTCGAAGAAAAGGAAATTCGTATATTGATTGCTTTTTCCCGAAGCTTTCGTAATACGTTCCATTTCAGACCAGGACTCGGCCAGCTGGGGTCTTCAACCAAATTGAACGACTTATCGACCACCTGCCACGCTCGATCGGCGCAGTGGACTCCAGGCCGAACACGAAGATGCCACAGTGTATATGTCAAGAGATGGTATTGAGTAAACGTCGAGAAGAGCCAATGGAAGTTACTGAGAAGTTCACCTGTTTTTAGCTCGTTGTCAACCTCAATGGTATCGCAAGCCAGCAAAAGCGTCTGTTCGGTGGCTCGTGAGGCTGATTCCTCCGCACTGAGTCCTCGAAGGTATTGCTGGCGAATGAAGACGCTGAGCTTTCCCATAAGCACCTGGCCCAACAATAGCGCTGATTTTTGAATAGGAATATTAGGATCGCAATGCTGCAAGTAGCGATCTTTTATGCGTGACGTGGTGCTTTGTAAAAGCTGCTCTAAGGTAGTCATTTTGTCATCCCCGTTGAGCACAGCCACGGAAAGTCGAGACACTTGTTGAAGTGCTTGGTTCATCTCGGCAGCTACCAGGAACAGCGTCATCTCTGTCCAATGCGGCTTTGAAGTCGGGGCCACTTCCATGCTGGAGGAAATATCTCGGTCGTCTATGTTGAGGGGAAGCTTTGTATTGGAAAAGCCACTAAACCCATTAGTTGAGAGAGCATGGTCTTCACCAACACGCGCGTCACATCCAATAATCTGATACCATAGGCGGCGACGGATCTCGCACTCCAGTGGTGAGAGATTAAAACGTTCTCCATCACGGTGCAGGCCCATCCATTGTGCCGTTCGGAGAAGGATGCCGTTCAATGTCCATCCAGATATACCACAGTTGTGATTCCGATGGCAAAGCTAGAGCCGAGTAGTTAGCATTTATACTAGATGTGAGCGAATTAGACTGAAGGGCCGGCTGGATTCACCAAGTAAATTGACATTGCTTGCAGTGAGACAATGGTGGGCGAGTCTAGGAATGCAGCCGAATGCAAGGAGACCTCTAAACCTCGCTGAAATCTTTTAAGAACGGACTGCCGGTCCTCACCAAATATGATAAGGGTGTCTACCTGGTGCAGGCTTGTGACTGCCGCAAAGTAAATGGAGAACAGAAGAGCGTTGAGGTCTTGGGAAGCAGTCTTTGGGTTGTTAATGGCGGCAAATACAGCGGGTTGCGTGGTCGGGATGTGAAGTACTTTAAGAAGAACGTCCACATTGTTAAAGTAGACTTGCCAGAGGTGCGTGGATTGCCCTCGAGATGGGAAGAGAGATAAGGCGTCGACAGTCAATTGGGGGTTAGAGATGAGGCCATCAAAGCTAATCATTGGGCTCGCCTCGCTGTTGTTAGTGCTTGCCGGAGTATTAATGGCGTATTGAAGCTCGCTCTCCTGTTCGTACACTGGTAAGTCCAAGTTTCTGCTGATGAATAAATCTTGTGGTTCACTGACCTTCTCTAAGACGCGCGAGAAGAGCAACTCGTTAACATATCGAGTAGATGTGCCTTCTTTCACCAAAAGGCCTTCCGTGAGCGCGGTACGATCGCCGGTTGGAGCCGACATATCAGTATTTGTATCATGTAACTGTGATGAGACAGAGGATGATCTGCTAGTTGTATCCGGGGAGTCTTTGTGGTTGATCGCAGTGATGGCTCGTTCCAGCATCTCCAGGCGGGTTCCGCCTCTCCTGGTAGATGAATTTTTCGAGCGACGTTTGATTCGTCCTGGGCCTGGATATTGGCAAGGAACATTGACTCGCAGGCAGGTCGAACAGGGTATGGCCCGGTTGCAACGTACCTTACGCTCATGGCAGCGGAGACATGATCGTTCCACGTTCCACGTCATAGCGCCTTGCAATGAGTTGCAGAGACGATCGGTCGCCATTTTGTTGTGTTGGAGACTCCATGATAAAAAAACCCAGTTGATCACGCTACGCTGACCGATTGGGATATTTTTTCGGTGAAGTGTTTCAGTCTCAGAAATTTGGTGTGTACAGCCCGTTCAATGACCGGAACGGCCGATGTATTGATCAACAACCTGGCCCCCAAAGCCAACGAAACACATGACACAAGGCTGATCGAACAAATTCAACAGGTTTCCTGAGGGGAGGAAAAGAAACATTGAATTCTCTTGCTGAGTAAAAACTGTAAGGCAGTCTCCAACCCATGTAGCGCTAGCTAGCTATACCCTGCCTAATGAAGCCGAACGACCGAACGACCGAACGGCCGGGCCCTGTATCATGATGTATGACCCACAAGCCAAAAAAGAGGAATCGAATTGGAAATCAAAACGCAGTAGTCACACTAATCAAGTTCAACTGAGTTTAACCTTGGAATGAGCAGTAAATTATGCAAAAGAGCCCTAGGGGTGGGAGTGACCACTCATCAGACGGTCGACAGGCTTGCATGGAGACCTCCGCGAAGGCCACAAAGCCCATAGCCTAACCCAACCTAACCCGCAAATGGGCTGGGCTTTTGGGCCCGGGTAAAGGCCCATCAGGCCTAATTGGCACTAAACAATGATGGATCTAGCCCTTATATCGGGGTAATATTTTCTTATCTTAATTGAGACATATTCAATGATTACTAAAATTAAATTATACACTGATATAGATATTATTACTCTATATTCCAATTCCAACTTCAAAGTCTATGTAATCAGTAGAAGGACAGTATACAACGATTATAAGACGCCGGTTTGTAAGCGCTAAGACCCCTTGATGTGCTATGATGGGCCCCTATCGATAGCCTATCATATCCCATAGCCAAGGGCTGGTTGGGCCTTGGGCCCCCATTTATGGGCTTTGCGGAGGTCTCTTACATTAGCGTATTGCACTCTGGTGCTACCCTCAGGTTACATGCCTTTTTACCCCTCCCCGACTTAACCGCTACCTAAGAGCCGCATTGAAAGCATCACGCCTTCAAATAGCAATAATAGCCAATCAGAATTAACCCTCGAAGCCCCTATGATATATAGGCTGCAAGCTGTGTTGGTGTCAGGTGCATATATCTCTCTACCTTACCCTTAGCTAACTTTACATATAGAGTAAGCAATAATTAGATCACTCGCCTTCTCTCGTAAAAGATCTATTTCTATCCATCCCATCTGAATGCATAACATATTCCTTTATTCTCTCATAAATTATTGCATTATTGTCTTTTTACGAGATGGAATCCAGCGATCACGCTGAAAGGACAGAAAGGCCACGCTCAGACTCGGTGTCGAGTGTGCATTCTCATGACCACTTCATCGAGAGGCTCTTTATCGAGAGCGAAAACAATCTCAGCAGAGACGTACTGCCACTAAGACCTCTGATCGAGCCCATTCCTGACTTGACACCCGAGTCAGCCGCTGAATCTGTTGAGGGCCAAAAAGAGGAAAAGAAACCGACAGAAAACATATCCTCTACATCAACTTCAACCTGGTTTGTCTTGGAAGGACTGGCGATAGTTCTATCCCTTTTATTACTGATCGCCATCATTGTCACCTTGTCTCAGTTTGACGGCCATCCCCAACCTGCCTGGAAATATGTATCGCTGAACTCCGTAATCTCCTGGTTAAGCACCATCTCGAAAGCATGTGTGCTGTTTGTCATCAGTGAAGCGTTGGGACAATTGAAATGGGTGTGGTTTACGCAAAAGACTCAATCGCTGCCCGATCTAGGGACTTTTGATAGAGCCAGTCGTGGGTTGTATGGCAGTGTAGAGCTAATCTAGAGTCTCCAAGCGAGGTAGTTTGATAAAATTCCCATTTTACCAGTCACGAGCTGATTATATAGGCATTTCGCAGTTTTGGGCAGTCTGGCTGTCATTCTCGCACTCGCCTTCGATCCCTTCACCCAGAACCTGGTGCACTATTATTCGAAGCTGGTCACTGATGTCTCGCAAATTGCGACTGTGTCGAGTTCCGTTTTGTACAACGTGATTGGTCTAACAATTCACTCTGGCGCAGGTGTGTCAAAGCCAATCCGTCTATCCCGAGTGTGAACTGACTGTATCGATTAGTATGGTACGTGGACCCGGTATTCAAGGCCAATGTCTACAGTTCGCTACTCAACAACGACAAGACGAAGCCATGGTCTATCCCACAATATACCTGCAGCACTGGAAACTGCACCTGGGATCCAATTGCTACCTTAGAACTGACTTCGAGCTGCGCGAACATCACAGATCATCTGAAGTTTGTTTGTTATAACGACAAAGAGTTCATTGCCGGATACGGGGGGCCAAACTGCTCTGTCAATCTTCCGGGCAGCCCTACCTCAGCGAGCTTCGTGTTCAATAAATCAGATGGCTACCCAGTCACAGTAGCAGCCGTCAAATCAACCCAGGCAATAGTGTACAAAAATCCATATCACTTTGCTACGCAGATGATAGCCCCAGACGGACTGCTATTGGAAGGACCATTTCTACCGGGAAAGACCAAATGGCAGGCACTAGAATGTGCCCTGATTCCCACAGTCCGGAGCGTCCGTACAACCGTTACAAATGGCACCTATCACGAAGAGAGCCTAGCTACCTGGACGAACATCACATTTCAATACGAGCCTTCAGGACCAGGATACTATCTCTATCCGCCGTGGGGACCGGACATGGGAATGGAACATAACCAGAGCTTTGTATTGAGCTCACTGTCCTTTGTCGCGATGGGATGGTTCTTCAACAGTATCTTCGGCGGCCGCGCGAAACTCAGTTCCCGATTTGGAGTTACGTTTACCTCCTCCGCCGATTCGTATGCTGGCGCCGATATCATCGAGGCCATCGCATACGCCAACATTACCGGCTGTACAGCTAACACGGCCGAGAAATTGCAATGTGTTGTGGAAAATGTGGCGGCGGCAGCATCCAAGACCTTTCGGGACTCAGTGGCTCCGGGCTACGAGCCAGGAAACGGTACGATTGTTGGCCAGGCAAAGTCCAGCATGACTTATGTTGCTGTTCATTGGCAGTGGATTGCTCTCCCGGCTGTAGTGTGGCTTCTAGGTCTTGCGACTTTGATAGGTACTATATGGAAGACCCGACGGGGTAGCGTTCCACAGTGGAAGAATGATCTGATACCTTTGTTGTTCTTGTATAAAAATGAACAGGATGAGGGTGTCCCGGGCGAGAGGACAGACAGTCTCAAAGTGAGACTATACAAAAGCGATGATAGGATGGTGTTAGGTGAATAGTTAACATATAGATTCCAGGGTGATTTCTTTCTTATCTGTCACTTCCTATGTTGATTATATCAACTAAATATTCTGAGGTATTGTTAAGTAGCCTCAACCCATGCGATCAACGCGCCAGTTGGCTATTAAACTAAGACTTTCTCCGCTCACGCGAGTCATAGACGACCATATCATTGGTAGTGAATTCCTTCCTACACAAAGACCTTTTAACCTCACCCACTTTGGGAGAGCAGCGACCCCCGAAACGAAAATCCGTTTCCCCGCCCTCTTGGTATTTAATCACCGGTTATCTCGTCGCCTATTGAGCCCAGCACGTTATTCTAAAGCTACTTACTTCATATATAGTGAAGTTATAAGCCAATGCCGCATTGACACATTCGGGGAACAGGAGAACTCCCACTTCTTGTTAGTCCAGTAGTTGCTGCGAGTTGAGCAATCTTATATCTACTTCGTTTCCAGTCTCCCGATCGGGCTATACCCAAGAGACGATCCATTTACGCAATTATGAATTGGTTGACGAACTTGTTCACGGGAAAGGATTCTGCGAAAACAGCAGAACAAAAATCCAAAAATCGAGAGAGCAAAAGACACAGTCGAAATGTTCTTGCGCGGGAGAAGATGCTCCGACAGGGGAAGGATAATGAAGCTAAAATGGCGAGCCTTTTCTGGGGATCACCGGGTCAGACATACGAGAATAATGTTCGTGGGCCAGGTGAACGGGTTTGAAAAATCAACTGGTGAACTCTTCGTAGGACTCTATTCAGCGGAGACAAATACGCGAAATGAGATGAAAATATCAAGGTATCTACCTATCGGTGACCTGCTAGGTGACCTTTGCCTATAGTGCTGGGAGGCTGAGACAATAGGATTGGATCTAGTACTATCGGTCGAATCAATATCCTTCCTACTAAGAGAAAGTAGAAACTTCACCTCCCGCTTATACCCGTTGAATAACGCCAGATGTAAAGCAGTCATTAACGGCGGCGCTTTATAAGCCTCGATGGCCTTCCAAAATATAGGGAACTATAATGAAAATACTTTCCTACTCATCTCGTACATTTGCTGAACTTGACTGGCCGCTTTTTGGTCTTAGGTCAGACTCATCTTCCGTTTGTGGTCCGGCCAATATGCTGCTGAATAATCAAGAAAGCTTCGAATGATAGAGTCTGGATCCTCAATATCGTGCTCCACGTCCTCTATCAGTAGGTATCGCAAACAGATCACAGCCATTTGATCCTCGGTGTCCGTCAGGCTCCACGAGTATAAGTAGTTGATACTATGAGAGTTACTCTTCTTAACAAGAAATTCTCTGGCTGTCTGATAAATCAAGTAGATCTTGGAATTGTTGATGAAAATAAAAGGTCAACTATACCACATGTCTGGTTGATGGTCAGCTATTCTTCATCCACTCAATTTAGTGACCAAATAAGAATTGTACCGATATGAAAAAGACCCGCATAAGACGTTCCAATTCTTCCATATTACCGGAGTTGTAAGCCGTCAAGTTATCAGGTAGTACCGGCGGCAACTCTTCAATCACTGAAAGGCCCGCGACATCTGCTGCAATAGAAGCATATCCAGTTTCAGTTTCGATCAACTGTTGGATGTTCTGAAGAAATGACAGGGCTGCACAATTCCCAAGGTATACTATGCCGTTATCAGTTATCAGTCGGCTTTACTTATATAGCAAGTTCCATTGAAAGACAGAAGAATCAATATACCCACCAACTTTCCCTTTATTGTCATATAGGACATGTGATAATCCAGGTACTATAACCTGTGGTTTATTCGTAGATGTACTTTCACCGTATGATTGGGTAGACCGTTCTGTCCCATGTACCTCCGGTAGGGAACCTGATACCGCAGCCGATACTTCCATTCCCCTAATCGCTTGTGGTACAGTCTTAGGAGTATGGCATATACGCTCTCGGCGGTTGCGACGAGAACCTAATGACTGCTCATGCGGCGAGTAAGCGCAACTTGTCGAGCGATCGTGTTTTATGCACTGTTCGCAAGGAACAAATCCATCGCATTTCTGTTTTGTCATGCGACAGTAGGCACACGCCTTAGCGATTCGCTTGCGAAACTTTGGGTCGACTTTGGGCCGAGGCATTGCCGTGAAGAGATATGAATACAAATTAATATCCCAATTCGCAGAAAAATAGAGAGAGGAAGAGAGAGAAATGTGGATTAGGATGGCGCCGAGCCCTGCCCAGGCGGAGGTTGTTCCGAGTTACGTAACTAGGGTGGAAACCCCTCGCACCTTATACAACATGATCCACGATGATTAACTGTGCGAGAAGTCAGATGCGTCCGTGGTGCTCATTCATCTTTCAACCCCTTTCGCCAGGATGAAGGACTTCAGGATCATTCGTCTGGAGTTTCTGGTTACAGAAAGCGTTAAAGACAAAACCAAGTACAAAAGATCCTAAATACCATACTGGGATGAATGTGGGAGATATCAGTGAGCAAATCAATCGAATCGGCGAAAACATTGCGAAGGAGGAAATGATGCTATGGTGTTGAGATTGAGTTCAGCGCAGCGTGATTTCATAGTACGGCGGTCGTGGAGTACTACGGCGGTTAATGGCGCCCAAGCCGCCGAAGGACGCGAGTGGGGCCCTGAGGCGCTGCCACCAATGGCATTTTTCCCCTTGTCGCTCGTTGCTGCGCTTCATGTTCGCGACGGGGATTGAGGCTGGGGGCTGAGCCATGCAGGTTGGCGACGTGCCTTTCCCTCTTCTTTGTAGGTTTTCCATGAATCTTCTTCAAAAACTGTCGATTCAGCCACTTTGGCTCAGGCTTTGTTTTATCAACGGGTATGTCCGACCCTCGGAGCTACAACGTGGGCTGGATCTGCGCCTTGGGCGTGGAATACGTGGCGGCCCAAGAATTCCTCGATGAAGAGCACGACAAACCGAGCTTTGTGTCGCCAAATGACACAAACGAATATGCTCTCGGCAAAATGGGCGACCACAAGGTCGTCATCGCTGTTTTGCCCGATGGCGAATATGGCACAGCTTCCGCCGCTACAGTCGCAGCAAATATGATGAACAGCTTTCCCAATGTGAGAATAGGCCTTATGGTTGGGATTGGTGGCGGTGCGCCGAGTCATACTCACGATATTCGCCTCGGCGATATTGTGGTCAGTGCCCCTCGCAATGGCACAGGAGGGGTGTTCCAATATGATTTTGGCAAGGTGATTCAGGAACAAACCTTTCAGCACACAGGGTTTTTGAACCAACCTCCATCCATCCTACGGGGGGCTGTAGCTGGCGTCCAGGCGCAATATGAGAGGAAGGGACATCAGATTGAAGAGGCCATCAATATCGTTCTTCACAACAATCCACGGCTGCGCCAGAAATACGGACGGCCGGAATCCAAAATGGATACGCTCTTTCGCTCAGACGTGATCCATGAGGCCGCGTGTGCTGCCGGATCTTGTACGCAAGTTGCCTCGAACTTGGTTGCACGACGTGAACGTACAGCGCATGAGGACAACCCTGCCATTCACTACGGATTAGTTGCTTCTGCCAACCAGCTGATGAAAGACGCATCCATACGGGATAGGCTTACGGCGGAGAAAGATGTTCTCTGTTTTGAGATGGAAGCAGGTGGCCTAATGAACACCTTCCCTTGTCTAGTTATCAGAGGTATTTGCGACTATTCAGATTCGCATAAGAATAAAGGTTGGCAAGGGCACGCGGCGATGGTGGCAGCGGCATACGCCAGAGACGTGTTGCAAAGGATCCAGCTTAGCAGGGTTGAGGCTGAGGAGAGGATCAGTCAGGTTATATCTGGTTAGTACCGGCCTACATTAGAAATGTTCTGTTAGATACATATTAATATAAGGCATTTCATCCAGACCATTTCAAAGGCAACAAAGAGCTTCTAGACCGAGCGTACGCTCATCAAGAATACCAATATAACGAGCAGAAGGAACAAATGTTGGCAGACAAGCGACAACGTTGTCACCGGATGTTCAAGACATCGAATTACGAAGAGCAAAAGAATGTCAATCTGCAGCGAGCCGAAGGGACCTGTAAATGGGCTTTGCAGAGTTTTGAATACGTTCGCTGGTGCGAGAGCAATTGCAATGACCTTCTATGGGTGTCCGCCGATCCAGGCTGCGGAAAGTCTGTCCTTGCCAGGTCTATCATTGATGAATGGGCGCAAAATCCCCCGAGTCCAGGACTCACAGTCTGCTACTTTTTCTTCAAGGAGAATGATAAACAAAACAACCTGGCTACAGCCCTATGTTCAGTACTACACCAGCTTTTCAGCCAACAGCCTTGGCTATTAGAGCTTGCAATCAAGCCCTGGGAACAGAACGGGGATAGCCTCCGCCAAGATGTCAATGAGCTATGGGAAATCTTTTTAAAAGCCACATCGGGCAATCACCCAATGGGCTCCTCTCTCACTGTCCAAGGCACCCGGTCCTCCAAGACGATATGCATCTTCGATGCGCTCGACGAATGCCGTGAGAGTGACCAGGACTATCTGATTCGCAAATTTATATTATTTCACAGCAAGCAACACTCGACACAAGATACGTACTTGAAATTCCTCGTCACAAGTCGTCCATACAACTCCATCGAAAATCACTTCCGAACTATTACGGACTCTCTTCCATATCTGCACCTGAAAGGAGAGGAAGAAAATGATCAGCTCCACGAGGAGATAAACACAGTGGTGAAGATACAAGTGGAGAATCTGGCGGAAACAGCAAGGCTTTCGTCAGATGTTCGGGAGAAAATCGAGCAACACCTCCTGCAGTTGAAGCATCGAACATACCTTTGGCTACATTTAGCCATGGACGATATTCGATCTACATTTGAGAACAGCCTTCGGCCTGCTGACGAGTTAATCGAAATGATACCCCCTTCGGTGGACGAAGCCTATGAAAAGATCCTCCGTCGAGTTCCATCTAACAAAATCAGCGAAGTAAGAAAGGTTTTCCAGATTCTTCTTGGGGCACGGCGCCCTTTGACAATAACAGAGATGGCCATGGCTTTGGGGATATCTGCCCGCTCGGACTCGCGAACCGCAGCGGAGGCCGGGATAGACCCAACTTTGTTAGAGCGCCTGCTGCCAAGTCTATGTGGCCTCTTTGTCTTTTTCAACAACTCCAAGGTATATCTGATTCACCTGACGGCCAGGGATTATCTCCTTAGAGAGACATACACCAGCCATCCGCTTTCCACATTCTCCTGCAGCTTCACAGATGTTGAGGATGAAATGGCGCAGATCTGTTTGCGATACTTCGATATTGAGGATTTCGATAGCTATGACACCCTCCAATCTTCCAATTCTCCACCTTTTGGCAAATATTCAGGGGTATATTGGAACAGCCATGTTCGGCATATGTCATCGATTGCAGCGCAGGAAGTCAGGGATCTATTATATCGGGTCTATAGTGCAAAGCGGAAAAAGCTGGCAACACGATTTGGGCTTTCGAGTCCTTTTTTTTCGAAGGTAATGCCGCCTTTGGGGCCAGGATCGAAGCCCGAGCTGGATTCCATGCAAATTGCAGCCATAATGGGACACCGGCAAGAGGTTCTCCGGTTACTTTTGGAAGGAGAAAGCAAACTAAAGCTTGCAGAATACACAACATACCATCCATTGGAGTTAGCAGCAGAGGCTGGGCACTCTGCTGTTGTTTTACTGATATTGAACAACGGAGGAGATGTCAATGCTTGTAATGGATCTGCACTGATAGCTGCTTGTGTCTCAAACCATAGCGACATTGTGCAGATATTGCTGAGACACGGAGCTGATGTCAATCAAAGGAGTGAATCTGGCACAGCCTTGGCCCATGCTTGTGCCCGTGATTCCATCCAGATTGTGCAAACACTGTTGAGCCACGGGGCCGATCCCAATATTTCAGATAGCTTGGGCAAGATTCCCCTGCACAGTGCTTGCGGTGGAGGAAATGAGAAGATGGCTGTGATGCTGCTGGAATATGGAGCTGATATCAATGCACGAGATGAACTTGGCTGCAATGTCCTGGAAGCTACTTGCATTGGAGGAGCAGCAAACGAGAAGATCATCCTCTTACTGCTTGAACATGGATTCGATATCAATACGACTGAAACCGCAGATGGCAGAAGCTTTCTGTACAATGCTTTTCACAATCAGGATGATAAGCTTATGCACATATTGTTGAAGCATGGGGCTGGTGTGAATACCCGAACAAGTGGCATGACTATACTGTGCTTTGCTACATCGAAACGGCGGAGCAAGGTTGTGGAAATGATGTTGGACCATGGGGCTGATGTTAATGCGCGCACAGAAGATTCAAAGAGATTCCAGCTTCCACGAGAACTTCCGAGCAAGACTGCGCAGATGCTACTGAACCATGGGATTGATGTTAATGCGGATCATTCAATTGGCACCAGTGCCCTACACATCGCTTGTTTGAACCAAGATAACGACCTTGTCCAAATATTACTGAGACATGGGGCGGATGTCAATTCGCAAGATCAAATGGGTACCAGTGCCCTCAACATCGCTTGTACGAACCAATACAACGATATTGTGCAAACGTTGCTGAAACATGGGGCGGATGTCAATGTACTTAATCAAATTGGTACCAGTGCCCTGGATGTCGCTTGTGTGATCCAAAACCACCATCTTGTGCAAACACTGCTGAAACATGGGGCCGATGTTAATTCACAAAATCTCAAAGGAAAAAGTATTCTCCAGATCGCTTGCCTAGCAGGCAACGAGGGCATTGTGCAGACACTGTTAGAGCACGGAGCCAATGCCAACCTACACGATCAAGTTGGTACCAGTGCCTTACACATCGCTTGTGCAAACCAGGATAACCGCCTTGTGGAGATATTGCTGAAACATCGGGCCGATGTCAACTCAGAAAGTCTAAAAGGAAAAAGTGTTTTACAGATCGCTTGCCTAGCAGGCAACGAGAACGTTGTGCAGACACTGCTCGAACACGGCGCCGATGCCAATCTATACGATCGAACTGAGTTGAGTAACTTGGAGATTGCTTCACTGGCTCAGAACAACAAGCTTGTACAGATGTTGTTAAAATACGGAGCTGATGTCAATGCACAAAGTCCAAATCGTCGAAGTTTCCTGGAAGCGAACTGCGCAGCAGGGAATGAGGAGATTGTGCAAATTCTACTCGATCTCGGAGCCGATCGTGATATTGAGGGTGGGCGTCATAGCAGTGCACTGCAGATTGCTGAATTGGAAGGTCACAAGAAGATCGTACAGATACTGTTGGAGCATGGGGCTGTTCGTGAATACCCAGCATGGCGACGTCGTGTATTTCTCATTTGTTGTATCATTTGTCTGTTCTCTTTTTTGATCCAGTACATATGGCTGAGATAGTATAGTCATACATACACATATATACGCCTAGATTCCCAGGATTGCGAAGAGGTATAGCGGCCAGTGCTTGATTGCTCTGAAATATGGATTTAATGTCTAATGATGCCTGAATTTTGGCCGGCAGAAAGGTAAGATACCTATATTACCATAATAATTTCTTTTGGTAAGCAAGTAGTTACCCAATCGCTAGATTACTGTAGGCAGTGGCTAAGATAAAGCTATTCCTAATTAGGAACTTCAAGCTATTCGTAACTTTCTAAGTTAATCCTGATCACTATATTCAACTTCTTTCTTTTATTAATTTTAGTTAAAAGTAGTAAATATACTTACTAAAACTAAAGGTCACAAGGTATTTATAATATAGTGTTAAATACTAGATGTAAACACCAGTATGGAATATGTGTCTTCTGAATGGATTGTAACAAAAGATAATTGATTGTATGTCTAAGAACTATGAATATGGAAAGATGGGCGGCATTTTATGTCGCCCATGGGCGTGTGAGATTCTGAAGGAATCTCATAGACATGATCACGCCCTTCGGCCGATGTAGCGACCCTAGGGGTTTCTGGTCCGGATTGAAATGGGCAGTGCAACATCATGTCATTGATATAGATCAAACTACATTAGTTTGCATGATTTGAAAAGCTCTCTAGATCTCATCAACTAAATTTGGTGTACCCTCACTTTGACATGAAATCAGCCTCCAAAATAGCCCATCTGTGAGCCATTTGCCTTGCCAAGAAGCAAACCAGGGTGCACTTTCGCAACGAGAAAAATGCGCCTGATAGCCAACACAACACCGCGCCTTGGAAAATGTAATATCTTTACCACCATAAATTAGAATGACTGTGTTGCCTTGTCAAATTATCCCTTTTGATGGCAGGAAACCGAATTACTCTCGCCTGATAGAAACTCGGACGAAATTCCGGATGGACACCACATGCAACTAGCGTCACCCCCACCTGGGATTGGAGCCTCAATTTGGAGGTATTACTTGGATAGGTAGTGGGGAAGTCTGGGTCTCCCCTAACGTTGCTGCCGCAGTGCATTATCATGGATTATGCAATAATGTCCTTTGTTTTGCGATTTAACATGCGCAAGTCGCTAGTGTAGAGAATGCAGCAATCTTACCCTCCCCATCTAGCTGTTGGTGCCACGTAACCAGCCAGTTCTAGGTAGAAATGTGTTATATACAGATTGGCCAGTGTGTACAGCCCCTCCGTAGGACGTGCATATCAAAATGCCACCACTTTCTCGAAATGGCCATAATGTCGCGCAAATGAGAACTGCTCTATGACATGATTGGGCCTCTTCTATTTGTCTACCTTGCGAGGCCATTACCTGTGATCAAGTCAGGTATTGAATCTCACTGCATGAAAATACATAAAAGGAACCGAATCTCACCTTCCAAGGTTCCTCTGCTCTGAGTACTTTAAGTTGCACTTTTACTTTCATACTCAATCCTGTTACCACATTGTCCCCGTCTCTCCAAACACGGTCAATAAAGAACGCAGATATGTCTAGACAAATCCAGGTATTCGTCGATTATCCAATCTCAGCTGCTTCCAAGTGGGCGGACAGCACTGGAAGGACTTACAGCGAAGTCAAGACCAAGGTATGATTCAGCCCAAGTAAGAGGCATTGATCTTGAAGAGAGTCCACCAATAGCTATTAATCCGCAATCAGTTCCTTAAATCCGATCCTAGCAAGGTTTGCGGCTTCGGTTGCTTCTTGGCGGGAAACGTCAGGTTGGAGATGTCTATTGACTGGGATCCACAAAACGGCTTTCATGTGGATGTCCAAAAAGGTAACCAATACCGCAGCTTTATTAAGCAAGGAGCTGGACAGAAGAAAGGTGCCGCGGCTGGAGGGGGGAATGTTTCAGTCTTGGACTGGCGCACCGCTATCAGCGATCTGAACAATTGGTACACAACTGGAAGTGAGAAGCATATGGTGGATGCTTTAGTGTCTGGACAAGTCATTTGTCAAAATTAAGCTAAGACTTGGTGGCCCTTCGGTCCTGCTAGCTCCCAACATGTTGAATGAGACTGCTTTCACGAAGGAAAGCCTTACATTCTGTTAGCTAAATATATCTAACTATAGCTGGTATTATTAGGGTAACTTCTGTAAGGGGTATACGTTGTTACGTGTAAAGACTTTATGGTTGAAAAGATATTCAATGTCTTTTAAGATATAATCTTGTTTGGGGTTTCAATTAAAAGCGTTAAAGATGATACATCAACCCTTTTGTTGAAGCTCTTCTAGATGCTATAGTTTTTGTCAACTCGAAACTCCAATTACCACCATGCTGTTGGGTATCTCCCAAGCCTGAAAATGAAAGAAACCCCTATGAAAAATCAAACAAACCAGATGCAAGATGAGCAAGTATAAAAGACAATGAGCGCACCAAAATAACAACCTTGTATGCAAATGCAAGACCAATAACAATGAAAACCAACACCAAAACACCAATGCTAAAATACAGCATCATCATGAGAACCGCACACCCAGCCCAGAATAATTAGAGCCCACAGGGGAACTCCCACTACGCGGACGAGTCCCATATACCTCCAGCCGCGGTGCAGGCGCATAGACCTGACCATCATGCTGAATTAAAGGACCCGACAAATTAGGATGATATAGATGATACTGCTGTGGATGCGGAGGCAGGATGCGAGTCGATTCATGGAGTCGGAGACGTGCATCTCGCACATCAACGCGGTGTCCGCCAAAATGCAAGTACTGCACTGGCTCAATCTCCTGGTTCCAGCTCGGGTCGATATACTTCAGTCGCTCATCCATGGACCGGAGCTGGCCATGTGAGGACGCAGGTGGACTGGGGTAGATGGGATCTGACTGGAGAGCACTACCCGCTAGGGGCAATTCGGTTGTCCAGTTAGCAGTCCCAGCGAGCAGTTGTTGTTGATGTTGGATACTCGATGGTGGACTTGGGATCATCTCGGGGGCTTGTTGGAAGCTTGGAATTGGTGAGAACCGCGGGGGATATCGCACGGGTTCTGTGACCCACGATTGATAAGAGTACCCGGAAGAGTCGCGCGACATTGGCTCAGGAATTGGGCGCTCTGGCGCTGAGCCCACGTGTAGTTGGCTATTCGACAGTGACAATCCGCTGGGCATGATTGCGGATGGATGAGCGATGGAGGAAGGTCTAGAAGGGCCTGGGGCAGTTATTGAGCCTAATGCTAATTGGGAGGGCCTTCTGCGGCTTGGGAGAGTGACTGAGATGTTCTCGTCGTATGGCAGTGGTGGTGGATATGGGAGGAGCGATGGCACGCTTGCAGATAGACTTCGTGGGACCTCCAGATGTGGTACTGAACCACGCCGGGAGGGAGCCCGGGATCCAGGCGCGGTATGCAAATCTGCTATGCGGTGGTGACTGGGCATATTGTACTCGGGCTCACTGTAGGTTGACTGACTCAGAGGCTCGACCATCAACTCCTCGGACACATCATGATAAAGCGGAGAAGTAAAGGTGTATCCCGCTTGACTGTCGAGCGACTCAGTGGACGGTTTTATCTGCAAACTACCATTCAAATGCAGCCCGCTAGCTGGATCCAAAGCCTGCAAAGTGGAAACCGAGGATCGACGCTTCACCGTAGAGTCTTCCTCTAACCTTTGTCGGGTGGCCACACTCGCATAAGTTGGCATGTTCTCTTTGTTTTTAGGCTGAGAGGTGATTCTAGGCTGCAGGGCGTCAGCGGATGCCTGAGAATTGCTAGACCGACGCACTGCCGCAAGTGCTTTTTCAGCCTCCGAAGCCGACCTCAAAGAGCTCCCCATGTCGCCAGTGGCTGTGCGACTTGATGAGCCTGTTCCTTGGATGGAGGACAGTTTGACCAGTGGTATGTCGGTCTTGGTATTTCTAAAACGACGACGACCTTTGTTTGGCCTCTTTGTTTGGTTCTCTTTATTTGACCATGGCTTTGAGCGTCGATTGACCACTTGCCACTCTGATAGGCCAGTGGTTGGGGGACTCGATGAGGAAGATGTGTTGTTTGGTATCTCTGTTGCTTGGCTTATTTGCGACATAGCAGGAGAGATTCGAACTGCCCCCTTAGCTTCCCCGTCAGTTTCATAGCCTTCTTCGGATTCGTACCCAGACTGTCTGAATATATGTGGCGGGAAAAGCTCTAATCTGAATTGGGGAGGTGGCATAGCCATCTCCTCGGGAGACTCCGCTCGAGGTGAGCCGAGATCACTCCAGTTGAATGTAGACCGGCGTGATGGACCTTCGTCGGCTGACGACTCACGGAAGGATGACGATGAGCTGCTTGACCTGTCGAAAACCGACTTTTGGTTCCGTAGAGAGTGGTGTGAAGAGCTTGGAGACGTGTTCTCTATTTCTTTGCTTATCATCTTTGTCAATCGTCGCAAATTCTCTCGTGTTTCACGAACGATGAGAGGATGGAGATTGATTGCTGCCTTCTTTGGAAAGAGCTCAAGCAGTCGTGATGCGTGAGTTTCGTACTCTCGGTAGTCCCGGACAAGGCCACAATCTTCGTAATGAGCCATCCGCCCCATAGCGGTGTCGTAAGACGTGATGAGGAAGCGAGTCGCAACAACCAGCCAAGTATCAAAGAAGCCAGGGTCATTATTGTTCATCATGGCTTTGTTCTCCTCGTCCTTGATTCGGAGCTCATCGCGACAGAACCCCTGCACCACACTGTGAATCTTGACTACGTCGACCACCGATTCATGACGGTACATGGAGAAAAACCCTTCTTGGCTACTCTCTGTCAGGGAATCTGAGAGGTCTGGAACCGTCTTCACATCTGAGCCCATCTGATCGCTCTCAAAACGATGCATAGATGATCTTTGCTGAAAGAGATCAGCATCCGAAATCCGTTCAACCAACCCATAGTGAATGAGGATTCCAAGTGTGGTATCGAGATCAGGATCTTCTCCTATTTGGGCGCTGGTCTGGATCTCCAAATTCTCAGCAGCCATAGCCGCTCGACCAAGGTTCAGAAGGCCCACGGGGACCTGGTGGCCAAGAAAGGAAAGAAGATTAATCAAGTGCAATGCCTGCTTTTGCTGCAACCGAAACAAATCGTTCATGATGCTCAAGAAAGGTTCTGCAAGCTTCTTGTCGGTCACCTGGGATTTGACATGATACTTCTCAATCGGTTTACCCGTTGCATTGAGACGGTGTCCAATTGCATGGATCGCTAAAGGCAGACATTCATAGTGCTCAACTATCCGGGTAGCCTTGGAGATTTGCTCAGGTGTCGCTCGCGTAATCCCAAGATCTTTGAACAGAAGCTTGCAGGCGTCTTCCACTTTCAACCGCGAGATCATTAGGCAATAGGGCTCGTACAGTCGCTGCTTTTTGCGCAGTGTTGTGTCAACCGAGGTGTATATGATACTGCACTGTTTGCTCCACGGCAAAACCTCCCTGAAGTTGTTGATATCGTCGTCGCGGTCGAAGGTAACACCATCAAAGACGAGGAGCCAATCTTTGCGTGTCTGAAGCCACAGGCGGACTGCATTCACGTATTTTTCAGTCTCATGATACTCAGTGTTCACAGTCGCTTTCTGTTCAATCAGCGTAGCGGCTTGGGCAATCTCCCAAAAGCACTTGTACGTAGATTCACGGGACTTGGCATCAATCCAAAATATGCCGCCGGGGTAGCAGTCTCGCTGAGTGAACACGTACTGCCTCGCTAGATGTGTTTTGCCGGAGCCTGGAACACCGGAGATCAGCACAGCCATTGTCTTCTCTGGACGTGCCTTGGCTTTGAACAACCGGCTGTGCAACACGTCAAGTTCTTTTTCCATTCCAAAAAAAGTAGCGTTAGGATGAAACCCCGGAGGTGCCACGAATAAGGGCGAATCTTTGTTGGAATCGTGGGAAAGTTGGAGAAGTCCACTGTTTCCCAGATCAGATACCGGGGAATTTCGACCTTCAGTCGCAGGGGCACGCGGTAGAGATAGTATGGATTGGCCTATGATGAAGTCAGCCAGCGTGACTAAATAATGTGATTATTCTCATATTGAGAAGATGGAGCTAGTTTGAAGACATGAGATGGGAGCCACCCTGAGGACAAGACCAAAACCCTAAGTACAAAAATGAAGAACACAATGTGCATTGTATCAAAAAATAGAGTGGATTGCAAAAGTATTAGGCCCATTGACTCGATAGCGAATGGCCAAAAAAATCATATACAAGCATTGGGAGAAAAGTGAGCAAACTGAGCTCGAAGAAAAAGCAGAATAAAACCAATAACCAAAGGCAAATTCGGCTCGCCGGTCAGTTTCGTCAAACAGGAGGCTCCTCAATCTCATAGTCCCTCAACGTCACAGCCACTTCCGGTGCAGGGAGAAGGTATAAATCCCTACCAGTTCGGTTCAAATCAGGCATGCTTCGATTTGCCGGGTCATCTACTCTTGCTGCAATAGTCAGCATCCAAACAACGACATATAAGAAAAGTAGCAGTTTTGCGAAAGACTCACCGTCATAGATTTCCCTTGCCTTGGCCTTCTTTTCCTGTGTGCGGGCTTTCTTCTCTTCCTCCCAACGCTCCGTAATCACAGAAGGAGCCTGACGTGAGTACCGAAGAATCGCTTCCGCCACAACCTCATAGCCAGCCGCATTATCATCGTCAAACTTGCACATATGGCTGTGGTCAGCCTCGATACCCGCCCGTTCAACACCCTCCATGTACGGCGCAGCCGAGTGCTCGTCCACGATCACTTCGCGAGTACCATGCACGTCTGTGGACCGTGTTTCATGGAAGAAGTATATGTGAAATCGGCCCATGATATCAACGAAGAGACTGTTGATGTTCTGCAGTGTTTCATTGTTCGTCCGCAGAGCTTTGACAAGCTGTGGAGATGCCTCCATGAACTTCTTCGGGAACACAGCATTGCAGATATTGTGCAACAACAGACCCCATTTCGCAATGTCCGATCCATTGTGAGGTGTACCGAGGAAGAGGATGCCAAAGGTTGACACATAGACTGAGCGTAGATGCTCGGTCTTCTCACTCGAGAGACTACGGGAGTATATCAGGGCGCGCTTCACAATAAGGCCTCCCAGTGAATGGCAGATGAAGATAATCGGACGATTAGAGCAGTCTCGCAGCTACATGAGAAATTTAGGTCAGTTCTTGAAGCTCCATACCAGAGGGAGAAGATATCAAAAGCAAAAGCAATCAGAAACAAAAGTGGATATATCGACGTACATTTCGATTAGCAGCGAGACTGGATGCAAGGGTCTCAGCATGGCTGACGACCGAATCACGCGAAGCTCCATCCGTGAAGGCAGTGACATTGGCATTATAGCCATAAGTAAGAATGCGGGGACGCAGTGAGGCAAGTACGTCTGGGAGAAGGTCCGTAGGCCAGAAGCAACCAGTTGTTTTGCTGGTCCAAGAGTCATGAGGGTGTCCGTTGAGACCGTGAACAAAGACAATATCGATTGTAGGATCGTCGCGCGGGGTATAGATCTGCGTCAGGCCAAATGCCTTGATGGCCTTTGGATCGGCGATACGGGGCTTAGACATGATGGATCAGACAATAGCCAGAGCCAGGATGCTATTGCCATAGTATATGAAGATGAGAAGAGAAGAAAAAAGTCAAGAGCCAGTCCGGAATTTGGGTTTTATAAATATAATGCAGGTGACTTGGGTGAGGGTGACTGGGGATAACTGGGCAGTGTGCACCCCTGACCCAGGTCACCCGGACTATTTTGGTCGATCCATGGGGTTTCTGCATCGGTTTTGAATCCCGGGTGACGGCCCGCATATTATTTTCTCGATCATTTTTGGTGTCTTATAAGAGGTTTTGCCTATTGGTGGTTCAACCCGGGGTTCCTTGCACTGCCTTGTCAGATCGGGTAACCTGCCAGGTACCGTGCCACTCAGACCTCGAGTTGCCGTTATTCATACACATGCATATACCTAGGATATGTACAATATTGCATCATTGCATCATTACTGAGTATGCCTTGTTAGGGGTATGCTGCTTGGAGTATTCCAAGAGTATTCCCTATATAGGCAGTGACCAGTGAGTCATGTAGTAGATCAACCATGGGAAATGAAACATACTTTTGTGAATTTGGCCTCCGACCGTCCTGCAATGTATTATCCGACTGATGTGTCTGCTTGTAATGTTGTTTACGCAGTCTATACTGTAGCCTATTCATCTTTGGCTAGGTAGAGTAAGTAGAACGTATGTAAGAACTACGGAGTATATATCTATGAGACTTATAGATCAGCCAGAAGCTTAAAAGCACAACCAAGGAAACAAAAAAGATATTCGTCGGGGTCCAATATTGGAAATAGGGTGGTATATCACTATTTACTATTTCCAGTCACCGAATGAAATATATGTGCTAATAGGTTCTTGCCTCCATTAGATTGCCCTCCTGATCAGAACCATGTCCACATGATGTCTTGGTATGTAAGTACATACCACTCTACCCCGAGTAGTATAAATACTCAGCCTATTTAAATCAGAATTACTTCTTCTGAACTGCTAATAGGAATAATCTATACATAAAAGTCCATAGAATTATAGGACATATCATTTTGGTAATATAGGTTACCTAGGTAGATCACTTTTTCTACATATATCACTCCACACCCAACCCGAATCACAGAACATTACCTCCCACGGAACGCCGGCTTCCGCTTCTCAACAAAGGCGCGCAGCGCCTCATACCGATCATCAGTCTCGACAACTGCTTCATAAGCCGCATTCTCCGCCCGCTCACCCAGAGCGTGGGCATCGACAGCCTGCATCGCCATCTTGATAGCAATAGGGCCACCTTCACAGATATCTAGAGCAAGCTTGATACTTTCCCGCAGGACACGTTCGCGCGCAACGCCCTCCTGAGCCTCCTCCTCAGGCAGTATCTCCACAAGCCGATCACAGAGCCCAATGAAGTAAGACTCGGGTCCGGTCACCCGGCGGCCAGTGAGGATCATGTCCCGGGCGCGGTTGACGCCGATAATCGGAGGCAGTCGGTATGTGCCGCCTGCGCCGGGAATAATAGCGAGACGTGTTTCTGGGAGGCCCACGACGCTGGACGATGCGAAGACGCGCAGGTGCGTGCACAGGGCGAGCTCGAGGCCGCCGCCGAGGGCTAGGGACGAGACGGCGGAAATGGTGGGGATTTCGAGGGAGGCGAGTTTTTGGAAGGTGGAGCGAAGTTTGAGGAGGAAGTCTTCGGTTCTGGATGGTCGCATTGAGTGGTTAGCTGCATATATTCGCGTATATTCTAGTTTCAAGCCCGGGGCACCGGGCACCGGGCATCGGGCACAGGATTGTTTCTCACTCGGCCATGCTCATGTTAGCGCGTTCCTTCAGGTCTGCGCCTGCGCAGAACGCTGCGTCTGCGTTGCTTGCTACAACCAATGCCCGGGTTGGCCCGTTGCCTCCTTCGGCGGCGATGGCGTCCACATGCTTCGAGAGCGTGTCGAGTAAGTGGGTAGAGATCGCATTGCGGGCTTTGGGACGGTTCAGTTGCAGCACGCGCACATGCCCTGAGCCTGGGGCGGGGACCTGCTGGGTCTTGATTATGTCGTCTTCTGTGCTGGTGCTGTAGCGAGAGATGAAAACCCGGGTGGGCACCGCGGTCGCCCGGAGGTGCGCGAGGGGTGTGGAGAGGCGGACTAGGCGCGTTGACATGATGCTTGCCATTGTGCAGGTGACAATTCAAAGATCGAGTGGGAGTACACTCGATCGCGATATTAAAATGGGGAAAGATAGATCACTGCGCTGAAAAGTTCTTGGGTGGAAGTTGTTCTCGGAGCTCGGGTGTGGGGAAAGCTCTGAGGCCGATGATTACCGAAAGCTACAACACTTGAGGATGACTGAGGTATAACTATGGGGTATCATGTACATTGACAAAGGTCCTCTAAAACTACAATATTATATACACGGTCACTGACAGTATTCTGCAACCTCCGCATCACTCGGCCAGTCCCAGCCTGTCCGGCTGATAAGGTCGTATGCCTCCACGATCAGATCCGATGGTACCCGCGTGTCAATCCGTTGCTGTTGTCTTTCCAAAAACACCCTGATCGCCACAAGGGTTCGACGCATCATTTTGTCTCCGTTTGCATGTTCGTCTGCAGCTTCTTTCAATATATCAGCTGACCGACACATCCAGTGCAGCAGATGTAACAACCCTTCGTCATCTCCTACAGACCCCAGAGCCCGAACAAAGGCATGTAGCGTAGCAGGTGATGGTATTTGCAGCATCGAGGGAACATTGAGTTGTGTTTCAGAAGTGGTTTCTGCTGCGAAGACACTTCGCTCCGCATGCTCCGATGTTTTGGAGGCCGGGAGCACGAGATAATCAAACTCATGCTTCAAAACCTGCAGCGCGTGCTGCATCAAAGCATCTACCTCGTCATCGCCTTCGTTTCTAGCCTTGAGACGACGAATGCGAGCTTTATGAATAAGCATAAAGCTTTGTTCGGCAGTTCCAGGGTGTCTAAGGGCAGCGTCAATGGCTTTCGTGAACGCCACACATAAAATGCGGAATCCTTCCTCGCCAAGTGCGACATCACGCTGTCGCATCCAGCCTAATGCTCTGAGAGCCTGGTGCCATGCTAGTATGCGCTGAAGACTTCGGCTTCTTGGGCCATAATACCCGGTAAGGCGCTCACGGGTCAGAGCAGATAATATGTGGGTCCAGGATGGGGTGTAAGGAGCACGTCGCAATTTGGTCAATTGGATCGCGTGCCATAAAGCCCTTGGATGATGCTTATTACCTGGATGTTCCTCGGAATATGCGACAAGGTCCACTTTCGCACCGGTCGAGCAGTTGGCGGCTATCAATGCCGGGAAACGGTCGGCTGTGAGAATATTTCGATTGCCCGCATCCAGACTGGCAATATCCGAATGGGTGCATAGAAACTTGATGAACGATGCAAACACAAAGTCCGGCATTTCATGAAAAGCATCAAGGTCCAAGGTGTGATACGTGCGAGACTTGGCCCGCACAATAGAGAGCGCCTCAATTTGAGCAACTGTCAGGCCACTGGATTCAAGGTAATACAACCCCGAACGCAGAGAAGTAGCCGACTGAAGTAATAACCCGAGGAATCTCCCAGAAGGACGAAGCCCCCGTCCGCGCATCTGATCAAGGAACTCATCCACGGTAGGTGGTTCTGTGGGCACATAGATAATGTCACGAGCAGAAGCTGGTTCCGGGTGGACTTCGCGGCCATCTCCTGGTAGAGCATGACTCATTTGGTCAAACTCGCGTTCTATGGCGTTTCGTCGGTATATTAATTTTTCAGCCATCGCAGCGTAGATGGCACCCTTCAAGGGCAGGCCACGATCCTGGTAGGAGAGAAAACACGCCCAGGCCTCACGGACAGTCCTAGTAGAGCGAATACGAGCAACCCACATTTCATGGTGATTCGACTTGAATCCATGTCTGTCCGGTAAAGCTTGCGGGCGACGCATCATAGCCCTCGTCTGTACCGTCGGGCTGTGATCTGTGTCCCAACCCGCCAAAATCGAGGATATGTCCTCCCAAAGACGATGAGAATAACCAGCATCTTTCATTTGTGAAAGTACCTGCATCGCACGACTGAACATGCCTTCATTCCCGCGCTGGGAATCAATCCCCAGTTTTTCTTCCTTCCATGGAGGCCATGATGGAGCTTTTAGCTCAGCGGACTGGCGCTCTTCAGATGTCTTCTTATGGGCCAGTTGGACTGCAACGACTGCTCGATACCCTTGTCTTGTAACAGGAAGGACGGGGTTGTGGGTGGCCATGGCTCGAAGAAGTTCAAATTGCGCTTGCTGTTGAATAGCTGTTGAGCGGTAAGGAGCAATGTTGGCTGGTATGGAAAGTAGCCAGAGACATTCGTTAAATTTGACGGTTTTGACGCGATCGTCATGTCGAGCCGCCAAAACTGATCTCTCAGCGTCATCGGTCCTTGAGGCTGAGAGGAAGCGGGCGAATGCACGTGCAATAGTAAGAAGTGATTGCGGCCATACGCGCCGAGCATGACGGATTAAACGAACTACCAAAATCATGCAAGTGCCAGAATCAATTTGAGGACGGAAGTCCTCGGGTGATAGCTCAGGGTCATTTTCGGCGAAATCAGCGGGAGTTTCAGTGATGGGGAAGGTATGTCCGCTCATGAGGTGTAAAGAGTGGATTAAGAGCAAACGAAAAGTGTGAGCATCAAGGTTGTGCTGTCTTAAAAGCTGGAGCGGGATAAAAGGTGGAATCTTCGGACTAGTAGCGCCAGACTTGGCTCTGTCAGTTTCGAACAAGAACAGCCGGACCATTGCCTCGTGGGGATTCCGGCTCTTCATGATCCAGGCCCAAGCAGTCACATCGGCGACATCGTAGCCACGCGATGATAGATAGTCATGACTCGTGTTTCTGAATACTTTCCGGAGAGCGATATCCAAACCCTTATCAGCACGCTTATCCGACGTAGACGAAAGTAACGAGTCCACCTCTCGTATGTACTCCCCAAGAATAACCGGCAGTGACGGCTTTTTTGGTCGACCAACTGTCCTCAACTCATTCTGTGTTTGGAGTGCAAATTTGGTGTGGGCTCGGTCAAGCCCGGCTGATTGACCATTATGTCCGAGGGCGTGGCCAGCATTTCGCAAAGCTTTGGAGAGATATTCGGTGGGTTTCGGTTTCACTCTGATGCTGGGGGTCTTTTGCAGTCTTTTCTTTCCGAGCGAGCTATCCACTGAGTCTTGGAGCACTGTTGCGCATTGTTCATCGGGTGAGGAATCTAACCGCTTTTTGTTGAAATGATCACCAAGTTGTGAGGGTTGAGTGTCGATTGCAAGTGACTCGGGCACATTGAGGAGCGCAGTGGACTGAAACGAACGGAAACTGCCTGGGCTTAGGCCAGCCCGGGAATTGCGCCAATGAGGTATGGGAAACTCGGTGTCATGATGATATATTGCCTAGGATATATCAAATTCATTTAGCACTGTGTCCAGTGACGGGAAGAGTCGAATTAAAAAAAAATTACCTTGTATAAACGACTATTGAGCAGGTCTGCTCTTAGCCGCGATACTCCCGAAAGGCTTCGGGCATGCTTGAAAACTGATGACATCCATGAACGTAGTCATGGGTGAAAGTGCCTGAACGCCACAGACCCATTCAATAGGCTCAAAGAGTTATTTGTCTCCGAAGATGAGAGAAGTCAAGTCAAGAATCAGAAAAATACAACAATCGCGCGGCAGAAAATGTGGTCACGTGATGGATCGTCAGAAGGCGCGCCATTCCGAAAAGCGCAACCCAGTGAACGTTCTCTCCAACAAAACAGAAAAAGAGACCACTTGACCTATTTGTTCGAGGGTTGCCTATTGAATTGACCATTGTTCTAATACCTTGGTCTTTACTGACAATTATTTCCACCTCATATTCACTACTTTTATTGTGGTGACGTGAAGGTTTTATCTTTCTCTCCCCTCGCTCTTCGCGATCCCCATCTTCTCTAAGGATTCGCTTTAACGCCCTACCCATCGAGGTTACTTGGACTCCGGTTGCTTTCCGAACCAAGTATCAACCTCAACACCAAATCGCCAGCAAATATTTATTTCCACGATCGCCTCCGTCCAATCTTTACTTTCAACCTTCTGATTTGTGAACCCCATCCATCTGCATTGGAGGGGACCGCGTCAAAGCAAGTATCGTAAACCTTGACCTCGGCGCGACTTCGCAACCATGAGCGCCGACGAATCTGAAGACACAACCCCCATGTCCGCCACAAATGGCGAACCTCATTCCGACCCTACTAATGCAACCTCTGGGAAACGGAAGCGCTCCACTCAGGACGACAAACCAAGCACTGAACCAAGTGCCACTGCCTCGCGCGATCGAGCAAATCTCCATGAAACTCTTCGCAGCCTGATTGAGCTTCTCTTGAAGTAAGCTTTGATGAAATTATATGGTCCTTAGTCTTATGCTGACAAGTCACAGGCATGACACTGAACTCCAACTCCTCTCGTGCCCCTTCCCAAATTCAACCACTAAGCCTCGAACGAAACGTGCAAAGATTTCCGGCGATCCGGAAACCTCCAACATCCAAACACGCGTCAATTCGGGCAAATACAATACATTGCAGGAGTTCCTTTCCGACATCGAAAGAGCATCAGCTGCTGTAATTGAACGCAATCAGACTCAAGCCAATGGCGCAAAAGAAGATGGGGCACCTTTGAATGAGGTGGTCAACCGGATCGCAGCATTCAAAAAACATATGAACAGCTTAATTGGCCAATCCTTTGTCAACCAACCCGAGGTCAAAACAGAGACAATGGAAGACGATACCGACGAATCAACAGACCTTCACGCGATTAATGTCTGCCAGCGAGAGGATAAGCCGGCCCTAACACTCTTCGGAAATCCATCGAATCCCAAGCAGCTATTCTCAAGTCTTCAAAAATCGGTGAAGGTGCCGTTGCAGTCAGAATCGGGACCTGAGAAGTTTGTTGAAGTGCAGGAGGAGTTGCGCGAGGTCGCTCTGCCGAATGGCATCACGGCCACCAAAGTAATTCCCTTCAACCTTGATGCTGCATCTCAACCAAAGCGAACATTTGGGGAGGTATTTGCTCCACGCGAAACGTTGCCAAAGCTGGAACCTCCGCGTAAACGATCTCACCGGGCTAATTCGACCACATGGACGGATCGCTTCGACGCCACTTTCGATGTCAGGACATTCTTGGGAGAGCGCAGCAACTATTGCCTAGCACCCCTTCCTTCAACACAATGGCTTCAATACGGCGGAGTCACATCATCGCCTTCTTACTGGGATCGCGTAGAAAAACATGCAGATTCGGATAATGTTCATCGACATGGCGATCCTGCCCTTTGGACTGGCCCCGATTCGTCTGCTTTCCAAGGTGTCTTCTCTTCATTTGCTCCTTCTTACGACAGCTCTGGTGCCATTGTACAGCTCGCTTCGAAGGATATGGTTTGGTGGGGACAACGGGGTGCGAACCGCGTGAACAAGTTGCTGTCGGTCCCATGGGAAGGAGACATCGAACAAAGTAACACTCAAACCGCTCAGCCTGGCAATATTGGCGAACTTGATGAGAGCATTCTCGATGAAATGGTTGAGTCATTCAACGCCCAGGACTTCGCGATTGAGATCACGGAAACCGATCCGAGTAGTGAAGTCGACCCGGAATCAAAAGAGATCAAGCAAATGCTTGAGGAAGTTTCCGACTTACTCGACACCCTTAGTTCCTACCAGCGACTTCGGAGTCTCAAGCTTCCCTCTGATCTCCAGGTGCCTGGCCAACAAGTGCCTGAATCGAATGAAACCCCTGGTCCTGAGTTGGGCGACGTGAACACGCCCTCTGAAGCAGAAACCCTTGTGTATGATACCCTGAAGTCAAGCCTTGCTGCAATCGTCAGCAACTTGCCACCTTATGCCGTCGCCAAATTGGACGGTAATCAGCTCGCTGAGTTGAATATCAGCCAAAAGGTTCTGATTGAGACTCCTGACTACAACGGCACCATGGAAAAGGACGACTTCACTCTATCACAGGAAAGGGCGGCAGCATTGCTCGCAGCAGCCAGTGCCGCAAATAGAACTTCAACGCCCTCTGCGGCACGGCCTAGTAATTACCAAGGCTCGCATGGTGCCTACAACCAACGTGCGTTTGCTTCCAATGCTCGCGTTCAACCTCAGCCTGGGTTCCAGGTCACGCCACAGCACGCACGGCAGCCCTCGGCGCCAACTACATACACGCATGCTTATGGCGCGGGTCGTCCACCGAGTACACCCAGTCAACGTCCAGGCAACACTCCTCAATACGCGCAAATGAACCCGCAGTACAGCCAGGGTAGCCAGGCTCCCCAATACCAGCGTCCTGCTTCTAATGGATTTGCTCAAGTGTCTCCACAGCCATACACACCACAGGCCAGGCAGCCAGGCACATTCAACGCCACGCCACAGGGGCGTACCCCCTACGCGACTGCAACCTCAAATCAGCGAGCTCAGTACCCAGGTCAAACTCCCTCACAAGCTGGCTACTCAAACTCCGCAGTCAGTGCCACGTACTCTCGTAGTGCGGCCGAACAAGCTGCGCTGATGGACAGGAATAAGGCACAACTGGCAGCTCGACAGACCGGCCACAGTCCTTCGACGCCTCAACCCCAAGGGCTGGATGCCCGTGCTTCCCAAGAAGGCAGCATCACACCAGGGAGTAGACCAAATGGCACACCGCTTTCGACGTAAAATTTGATACTTGCGCGAACTCGAGCATTTTAAAGGTTTGTTTCAGAAGAGAGGCAAAGCTCCAACATCACTTTCCTCTACAGTCAGTCGGCTTTCTGCTTTATTGACTTTTGCATTTTTCTTCTTACTATTTTCGTTTCAAATTATGAGCTCTGGATGTGATCCGCGTCTCCGATTTTTTTTTTTCCCCCAACTGTGTTGTTAATGAACCTCTTGATCTCTGGCTTTGTATGATTTCTCTTTATTTGGTGTTGTATTATGGACTAAGCGATTGGCGTGGATGGTTTTTTTCAAGACAGGTCGGCCTGGGTGTACAGGCTGCCATTGCGATACAGCTAAGTCTTGCTTAGAGAGTTACTTGTTTTTCGCTTCCGATCCAATTCAATCAATATGCTGCATACCAGTACACCTCGCGCTTCCCGATGTAGATATTCGACTGTAAAGAGAGATATTGAGTAAAGAGCTTCCAAAGGCTTGCACAAAGTATGCTTTTTTCACCCTTCATATACATCTTAAAAGACATTTGGAAAGACATCTCAAAAGACCAAGTGAGAAGACCAAACCAACTAAAAGACGTACCAATAAGATATCACGAGGCCGCAAACTCAGCCGATTATTCTTGTGTTCCTAAAATCATATCTCATAAATAGTACATTGCCTAATAGGACCCCCAATATAACAAAACACCCATACTGCTATAGCATCTCGCAGTCCATTAGATACCAGGCCCGAGATAATCGTCTATCTGCCCTACCCAAATTATTGCAGCGTTCGCCTGAAAAATGAACGCCGTCTCTTCCTTGTGTGCCCAGCAATATCCTTCCAATCTCCCCTTCACTAAAAAGACAAAAAGAAAATCATGGTACGATAGAGAGTTCATCGCCAAGGAGCCCCAAAAGATAGAACAAAGAAGATTCGTAAGTCATAAGAAGTTGATGCAAGGGGGACTTAATCCAAGCTGAGGAAATAGACCATCGAAGCTAGGGAATGAACATAGCAGCCATAGCCATGAAACCGAAGTATCTAGAAAAGAAAAGTCAGTCTCAAATACCGCAATAACAGAATCGAAGCAATCATACATCGTAGCACAGCGCCATCCATCCCTCGAGTCAACCAGCGTATCAATACCAGCCGAGTAATTCGCTGCAATAGCCGCCGCGGCGCCACCAACAACCGTCACAACGACAAGACGCCCAGAGAACTCCGCAATCAGGCTGAATGCCAAAAGTGGCAGCAGGAGTGCACCAGATGCAATGATAATGGCGATGTAGACAGGTGCTGCGGCGGCAGAAGCAGCCAGTCGTGGAGTGAGCGAGACCAGATCCGCGTCGTGAATTAGAAACCGCGTCTCAACACCAGCGACGGGCTTATTCTCTCTCATCCAATTGCGGTATCCCGTGATGCCCTGTTCCGAGGCCCGCGGGAGTGTCTGTAGGACTTTGCTGTAGGCGCTGAGAGCGGTGTCTATGTGCTAGTTAGGTGGTCTGTTTTGTAGAATAAACAATATGAAAGAGGGAAAGGGACTTACTATATTGTTCGGTCTTTTGGATCAAAGCACTCATGAGGTCCATGCGACGGTAATGTAAAGATGAATAAGCCTGTGACTGGGCGTCCCGCCGTCGTGAAGCCGGTAAGGGCTTTGCGCCTTCCTGCTCGGCCATGTCCACTCGATGCATTTCTTCGTACTCATCTAGTGTGTGGAGATCTTCTTCCATTTGGGAGATCTCGTCTTGGAGGTGGAGGAGAACGCGGTGGTTGATGGTCTCGAAACGTCGGTATAGCGGAGGGAAGCTCCCGCTCTCTTCTGAGGTGGACTTGGTTAGGTGCGAGGCTAGAAGACCGTATCCAGATGGCTCTTGTGTTGTATTAGAGTCCCGTCTCTTTGTCGGCGTGCGGTGGAGATTATCTTCTGGGCTTCTCGGGGGTGATGGTGGGAGCGGTGGTCTGTGGACAGCACCGCTGTCTCTTGAGGACCCATGGTAGGTTGGTGGTCGGGACAATTCCAGTTGGCCTTTTCCGGGGGAAATGTTTGCAGTTGAGATCGGGCTCGGCTTTCTGGTTGGTTGTCTCTTCCGGGTGACTAACTGATTGCCTGTAGAAGGCGAGGGTGGTGATGCGGGCTTTCGTGCTTCGTTTGGTGGTTTGGATACCACTGGGGCTGCTTGGGTAACTTTCTTCGGGGGTATGTTTCCTCCTGAGACCAACACTCCGTGAGGTACGGTATTTGCCCGTGGTTTGGGAGACTGGATCTTAATGGTAGTTTGTATAGGGCGTGGAGGCTCCGCCTCCTCGTCAGATTCGGATTCGGACTCCGACGACGACGACGATGCCGATGATGAGTCTGAAGACGTTTCTTCATTCTCTTCCAGGAACTCAAACACATTAGGCAGCTTCTTCGCCGGCTCTGCGGGTCTTGGTGGTGGGTTCTCTGGAACGGCAGGCGCATTTAGGGCTTGTCTTGACCCATTAGCCTGTTGTGAAGGTGAACTGTTCTCGACAGTTTTAGGACTTGCGACAGGACCAGCCTGTGCGTTTGTAGTATTCGACACCAACGAGTATGTCCTCTTTCTCCCATCCTTTTTTGACTTTCTAGTTTGGAGCGGCGGCATGGTGATCGGAGCAGTTCGAAATCAACACCCAACTCATACCTCTTCAAAATATAGATATCAGATCTGGGCATGCCCGTAAGGAAAGAAAATGAGAAATAAAGTACATGAAATTAATCGTAGTGATCAAGGCGCAATGGAATCAGGAGTATAGGGACTCCAGGCATGGCCTAGGGGGAGGGGTGGAATTCCAGGTCTCAGATGGAGTCGAGTGTCAAAGGCGCGGAATCTAGGGGGGTTGAAAAATAGTATGATATCCCCAATTTCCCCGCGAATTCCATCAGACATTCTCCAAGATAAAGGGAATATGGTATTATTATATGAACACGAAACGTCAGCCCAAGTTTCAAATTTGGAAATAGGTTTTTGTGTCAGCTGCTGAAAACGAGCCCAAAGTGCTATGCTTGTCGAAATGGAGTCTTGTAATTCGTCACACCAGTCAGTCCGTGAACAATCCGAAGCAACTTAGAAGCGCCGAGGGTTTTATTTAGATCAACCAATGACAATGGTGTCGCAAGGAGGGTTCCTTGTACCCCTGTTGATCGACCTCTTTATCACGATTCAAAGTAATCAAGAAATAGGAAAATGGTGAGGAATTGCCGAGACGCTGAACATTCTGAACAGTTCAGAGTGGGCCAAAGTGTGACAGCAAATCAGGCCTCCTGCTTAATCGGAAATGAAAACGCATGTGTGTCTGAACGAAGTTAGAAAGGAACATGTAGTTATGCGCTGGTCGATATTCCTTGCATCTGGCGGTCTAGCGAAGCGGGGGAATGTGATGCAGCTATGTGAGCAGTGTATGTACTCCGTACAACGCCACTTGTCTGCCATATTGCGTGCATAAAGCATGAAGTGTCAAGAATGTATATTGATATGGAGTTGAGTATTTCTAGGGAGTATACGGAGTAGTAGGTCCTATAGTCGGAAGGATAGAAGATGAGAGGGAAATTGAGATGATCAACAACGCAATATAGAGAATATACTATGTACATATATATAGAATTTTATATTTTGAAATACTATAATTGAGTTTAGAATGACGTCTGAATTCTTCTACATTATACATAGAGTACAATATACAACATTGTATGCATAATACAAAGTAGTGACTGACATATATACCTGCGGCTTTCCTATCTCAGCTGCCGCTTTTACGAGGTTACTCACATATGCAGCTATACTGCCGCCGCTTTTAGAAGTATTCTCAGGATCAGACTCGCTAAGTATATATCAGCACAGACTCAAAAGGTCCACTGGTCACGTGGTAGATGACTGATACTTACCTACATACCTAGGTAGGCAATAACGTTAACCAATCAGTCATCCTGCTACATACACAGCTACATATCAACATTGAAGACAAGAATCATTTTAACTGGGATAACCAAGGACTAAGCTACTAATGGCTCGATGTAGTAATTTGCTAGGATTACTCTGCCATCAGTAGTTGTATTCACAAGACCGAAGTTCTCTTTTCATACCGGAGCAATGGCTTCTTTGCCGGTTGCATCTGGGCTTAATAGAAAGTCCTGGATGAGGTTGGAGAGGTTGTATCAGGGTTAATATATAGCTAAGAAGCCCTGGTAGATCCATATGTCTGATTACGCGACGATTTGTCTGATTTCCAGAAATCTTTACTGGTTAACCTGTTTCTAGATCCGATGATCCTATAATACTCTTTGTAACGGCGTTTCAGTTCATAGATAACTCGATTTCTTGAGGAATCTACTACCACAATCCTCTCCCTCAAGCATTAGTTTCCTAGAAGTCTACCAAAGCTGTCACACTCGGAGACTGATATTTAATTCGCCATCTTCTTGTAAAGAGCAGATGCACCTTTGATCGCGTAGGCAATCGTGGTCAACATCGGGTTGCCTGCGATGCATGTTGGGATCACACTGTTTCCACCAATATACAAGTTCGTGGAATTATGAACGCAACTATTCGCATTCACGCATGAGTCGTCCTTGGTCGTGCCTACACGAGTAGTTCCCTAGTAGATAGATTAGATAGATACTTATTAGGTCCACATGATAAAGGATTGTAGTTTGGGATCGGGATTAAAGTACTCACATATCCATCCAGGGCTCTTTCTGGATCCGCAAATTGGGGCGTTGCATCTGGCATATAGCCTCCCAGTCTCGCAGCAATCTCCGTCATACTTATAGACTAGTCAGCTGACCGGGTTCCATGAATGCGTAGAGGCTTTAACTCATTCGCTCATCATATCTTGCGATCTTTTGTTATCTTCCGTGTTTTGCTCAATTCGAGGCTCGTTCTGGACGTCGAGTCAGTTCCCTTCAAGGCCATACCGATGAAAAAGACACTCACCATTGGCATGCCCCACATATCCGTTATATCGGTTCTGAACTTGAGGTGATTTGCTGCGTTAGGTGTGCTGTATCCAAAAGATTGAAGATGAACGACCACCCGCTGATCTATGGCATTACTAGGTTTACCGCCAGAAACAGGGTTGCTGCCAAACTGCGTGGTATTCCAGGTTAGTAGAAAGTCTAATCGAACTGGAAGTAACAGTCCCATACCATGGCGAACGGCAATTTCTCCTCGGGGATGGCTGAAGCAGCATCACGGTGAATCTGCGTGGTGTTCCAGGTTAATAATCGGGTTGATCGGAGTGGAAGCAACAGGTTCATACCTCAGTGTACCACGGTTTCTTCTGAGAGAAGGGCAGAGCAACCTAACTCAGTCAGTTCCATCCTAGCCCCTGAATTTCTACATCTATGGCATACCTGTGGATCTGGGTCACCTTTGGGGATCTCAATAACATCCTCTGGGTATTTCCGCTTGTGTTCATTGATCAAACCCTGCCAGACCTCGCTGTTGGCTCTCGGTACGGTATCAGTCAAGTCCTTTGTAAGGATTACTTGACATAGTGTCTGGATCCGCGACGATAGGTAGCGGCCCTGCAATGCATAATGTAAGTCAAAGTCAAATTACTGGCAGAGATGAAATAGAAGCCACTCACTAAGGCAGGCAAACGCTCGCTCGAACCCGATTGCTCGCAGCCGGAGCTGAAAAGTAATTGGGGATTACGGATGCCACCTCCACAAATGACATAGTAACGCGCGGTGATTTTTCTTTCTTTGCCTTGGACAAGGTCTTTAATAATCGCATGGGAAATCTGATTGTTATCCTTGTTCGAAGGATCTTGAAAGACCAGCTTGGTGCACAGCTGACTGTACAGCAGCTCGAAGTTTTGAGACGTTGAAGACTTGGGATCGATCAGATCGCCGAGGATGGTGGAAACTGACGACCAGCTAACCGAGCTATCTGTGGCATTCTTTTTGCAGGCAAGCGGGAGGGATTCAATTTGTCTACCCGCGAAGGACTTTTCCGATGTCTCTTTCACAATTGCTTGGCGGAGAGACGTCTCGTCAAACGCAGTGTTGTTGACATTGATCAACTCTTTAGCCTCTTTCATGAGCTTGTCCCAGTCTTCAGGTCGGTACTTGTCTGGTAGCTCAACTTGGTGCGGCTCGGGTGCTGCACATGTCAAAGCAACTTTTAGGGAAGTAGTATATCTAATGTGTATCAGGTTTTTGGTGCTCAAAGTAATACAAGATCTGACAGAACTGGGGGTTAAGGGATGACTGACTCGTCTTCCAACGTCACCATCGTGATTTTCGGCTTTTTCTGGGAATTGGCACTCAGATCCATGATCTTTCTCGCGTAGGTGGCTCCTACAGGACCTGACCCAACGATGAGACGGTCTGTAGTGATATCTTGACCCGCCATTGTGAAGGATTTCACGAAGCAGTTGGAGTGGTTGTAAATCGTTCAGTTCAAGTATACTCGGGAAAATATCACTCAGGGAACGTACAGCCATGTGTTGAATGAATAATCAAGCTATATATACCTCTGTTCACGTAAGGTATTCACCATTGGTTCGGGACATCTTAAGCATACAACATAAGCGAGTATTCAAGATCTGTCTGCCCCTCATACATATGATAGCAATTTTACGTAAAGTTTTATTTTAGACGGGATTCATGATTGGCCAATTTGTATGTTTTTCCATAGGTCGCGGTTATAGTTTACCATAGTGGGCTAGTAGTCAGCTGTAGCCACCGACAGAGAAATGTAAATCGGCTTGATAGTTGATCATAGTAGACTAGCGGTCAACTCCAACCCCCGATTCACGAGTGTAATTGTAGATCGCCGTGATAGTGGACCAATAGTGGACTAGTGATCAGCTACAGCCACCAACTGAAGAGTGTAGATCGATCCCATAAATGAAGTGGGAAGTTACAGTTTACGACCTATCGATTGTAGTGTCCACGGACTTGACGGTGAAATAAAATAGATTAGCGCTTTTCGGGTTTATTGTCCGGGAATGGATTACAGCATAAGAAGAAATATAATTGAATTCGAAAACTATTGTACCTCGGTAGCCGCCAGTTCATCTCGGAACGGAGATCAATGCGACAGCCAAAGATGACCGGCCACTTTGATGTGTGACTGTTCAAGAAGAGACAGAGATGGTGATCATGCTATTAAACCCTCAGGTAGGATCTATTAGGGTAGTTGAGATGATAGGTGAATGTGGGAAATAGAGAACAAATGGGAAATTATATGCTGTACGGAACAGTATGTGAGCCTATACTGATGATAACCCTCTCAGATTTGTATATACTAAGGCTAACACCGTCTTCTATTAAATTAGTACTCTCAAAAAAATCTTACCTCTTAAGCTAATACTTAAGCGCGAACAAAATTGAGAGCTTTACTAGTGGACTTTTAGGGGTAGACTTAGGTGGATAAGGGTTTGTATAAAGCCTTCAAATCTCGCGCTAATACTTCAAATTCAACTCAATACAACTCTAATGGGCTCAAAAGGCACTTTGTAATATTATCCTCTTTTTCTTGGAATTTTTAAAGCATTGTAGCCGTACAAAAATGTTAGTTGAAAATGGTGGGATATATTCCCTTGAGACTGAAGTTCGATGATCTGCAGATCGCCAAGTCCTCCGAGCCCGAGCTTCTCCCGCAAGTTCACGTCTTTCAAGGTTCAACACTCTAACAACACGAGTCCAATCTCTCTATGCTTCGGTCATGGATTGGCAGCGGTACGGTCCGCTCTCTTTGCGTTCGACGCTTGACTCGGTCATCCCTTTCATCCCCTAAAGCCCCATTTTCCTCCACGCCGAACCGCTATCTCCAACCGCCGGCCTCCGCAGATCGCGTCCCCCTCCGCAAACAACTAAAGCAGGAAGCTAAAGCGCTTCGGTCACACAAGAAACAACGCAAGGAAACAGAAGAGGCTTCGAGGCAAGAATGGGAACTCACAGTGGGCGTGGAGATCCACGCGCAATTGGATACAGAGTCCAAATTGTTTTCCCGTCAGTACGCCTTTACACTCGGAGACTACGAGTCATATTCTCATAAATTGAATAGGGGCAGCAACATCGACAAGTGATACTCCCAATTCCAACGTTGCATTGTTCGATCTGGCGTTCCCAGGTAGCCAACCGGTTAGTGTTATGTACAAATGCTGTGAAATAGCACCAGGGCTGATCCGAGACAGGCATTCCAAATCGCAACACTCCTGCCAGCCCTCCGCGCCGCCATTGCACTGAACTGTGAGATACAGCCAGTCAGTCGGTTTGATCGGAAACATTACTTCTACCAGGATCAACCGGCGGGGTATCAAATCACACAATACTATGGTAAGTATTGCCCCTCTTCAACCCGTAGAATATACTAACCTGTACTCTAGAACCATTCGCACGAAATGGCTACGTTGACCTATTTGACTACGACGGAATCGCCCCGGAAGACGGTGAACGGGTCCGTATTGACATCAAGCAACTCCAATTAGAGCAAGACACAGCCAAATCCCAGGAATACCCACCCTCGACACAACTTCTCGACTTCAATCGTGTATCCCATCCTCTTATCGAAATCATCACCATGCCCCAAATTCACACACCGGCAACGGCCGCAGCATGCGTTCGGAAACTACAAGCCATTGTACAATCGTGTGGTGCCGTGACTACGGGAATGGAGATGGGCGGCCTTCGTGCAGATGTCAACGTCTCGATCCGACGCCGAGGCGAAGCACCTGGGCAACATCAGTACGATGGGATCAGCGGCCTGGGTCAGCGTACCGAAATTAAGAATCTCAGCAGCTTCAAGGCGGTAGAGGATGCCATCATTGCTGAGAAGAACCGTCAGATCGAGGTGCTCGAGAGTGGCGGTGTCATAGAAGGAGAGACGCGTGGCTGGACAATCGGCAGCACTGAAACTCGCAGACTTCGCGGCAAAGAGGGCTCGGTCGACTACCGCTACATGCCTGATCCTGACATTCCACCACTGATCATTGGAGAGGACCTGCTCTCTAATCTTAGAGAATCTATTCCGACAGCCCCAGATGCTCTACTTACACTGCTCGTCGGATCCGAGTTCAGTCTGCCAATTGAAGATGCCAAACCACTCATCGAGCTGGACAACGGAGCCCGCCTCGAGTACTATCACGATGTGGTAGATATCCTTCGCACTCTCCAAGTAGACCAAGACGAGAAAACGCGTGCTAGTCTCGCACGGGTGGCAAGCAACTGGGTTTTGCATGAGCTGGGCGGTCTCTTGGCCAAGGCAGACCAGGCATGGGACGCGCAGCTCGTCCCAGCCCGATCCTTAGCCCATCTAATCGATCATCTACAGCGGAAACTTATCACTGGCCCGACAGCCAAACAGGTGCTGGCCACCATCTTTGACGGGGACCACCGACCAGTGCCGCAACTACTGGAGGAGGAGAATCTTCTGCTCCGGCCGTTGTCGCGGGAGGAGTATCAAGCTCTGGCGGAGTCAGTCATTGCCTTGAACCCACAGATGGTCGAGCAGATCCGCAGCAAGAATCAGCTAGGTAAACTAGGTTGGTTCGTGGGACAAATGATGCGCAATGGTGAAAAGGGCCGAGTAGAGGCGCCCAAGGCAGAGGAGATTCTCCGGGAGTTGATTCTGAAATAGCTTGTATAGTATAGTATAAAATGTATTCTATGGCATCAATGATACCCTCATGACTATGACCAATTTGCAATCTGTCTCCATGTACTCCGTACTCCGTAGACTATCTGTCTTAACTTCCCGGACCTCCGATACCACCCCACGGGCCTGAATAAAAGGCCGCAAATGAAATTACAGAATTTCCCGTCTATCGCTCATTGTAACAGGTCAAGACAAAACTTGTGGGACACCGAATGGCCCTAAAGGGGGGAGCTCTCCTCAACCTGTACTTAACGGAAGTGATGGAGATCCGGCGGAGTCGCTTTGATCGCTAAAAGCAGTTTTTAGCGACTTCGCGGGCATTGCGCAAGGAATGAAGGCACCGCCCCGGTTGAAGTCGGGGCAATGTGTAAGATGCTTTGAGACAATTCTGGAATATTTAAAAGGAACAGTAATCCTCTATTTCTCTCTTTTCTTTTTTCCAAAATCAAATATCACATCATCTTGACCTTTTCTTATCGAGAGCCTCCAGAGCCTCCACTTTCGATCTTATCTCAGATCGATAGCTCCTCTTTTCTTCTTTCCTTTCAAAAGACCTAGTCACCTACATTCTACACAATGACACAACCTTCAACAATCACTTCGAGGTTCCTTACAAACCCTAACCAGCTCGGCGTTGTTGCCGTTGGTTTCAATGGCGGCCAAGTAGGACACCCCGTGGAACCCGAAGCTATAGATCAATGAATCATACTAACCCCACCGTTAACAGTGTAAAAAGGGCGTCGAAGCCGCCCCAATGGCCCTCATCGAATCAGGCCTCCTAACCCAACTCAGCGAGGATCTCGATTACGAAGTTCACCACGACGACATAGTCCACTACTACGAAAATGACATTCCCGCCGAAGACCCCGACCACCGAGGCATGAAGAAGCCCCGCGCCGTCAGCGCCGTGACCGAGAAGCTCAGCACACAGGTCTACAACTACGCCAAGGACGGAAAGTTCGTCCTCACTCTCGGTGGCGATCACTCCATCGCCATCGGCACCGTCTCCGGCACAGCAAAGGCAATCCGCGAGCGACTGGGCCGCGAAATGGCCGTCATCTGGGTCGACGCCCATGCCGATATCAATATCCCCGAGACTAGCGGCAGCGGGAACATCCACGGTATGCCCATGGCATTCCTGACCCGGCTGGCCCGGGAGGAGAAGAAGGATATCTTTGGCTGGATGCAGGATGAGCACATCGTGAGCACGCAGAAGCTCGTCTATATTGGCTTGCGCGATGTCGATCGTGGGGAGAAGAAGCTCCTCCGTGACAATGGTATCAAGGCTTTCAGTATGCACGATATCGACCGGTATGTTTTCGCTTTTCCTTGGGTTGCAGTGGTGAGCTTCGTGGCTAACTTGTCTGTCCTCTAGTCATGGTATCGGTCGCGTTGTCGAAATGGCTCTCGCTCACATCGGTAACGACACTCCCATTCACTTGTCCTTCGATGTCGATGCGCTGGATCCTCAGTGGGCTCCTAGTACCGGTACACCTGTCCGTGGTGGTTTGACACTGCGTGAGGGAGACTTCATCTGTGAAGCTGTGCATGAGACGGGAAATCTGATTGCGATGGACTTGGTCGAGGTTAACCCCAGCTTGGAGTCCACGGGCGCGTCGGAGACCATTCGAGCGGGATGTTCGTTGGTGCGCAGTGCATTGGGTGACACTCTTCTATAAATAAAAAAAGAACTTGATAAAAGGATCAAAAAAGAATATTAAATGAAACTTCTAGAGAATTCAAATTCAGTG